CTGCCCTTGTTAAGCTCAGGGTACACCTGTTGGGCTCAAAGCCGTTTGTGATCTATACCGATCATGTGTCATTACGCACAGCGACACAGTCGCCTCATCTCTCGCAGAGAATGGCTTGTTGGCTCTCCTTTTTCGCGGAGTATAACTTCGAAGTGAAGTATAAGCCAGGAAAACCGAATGTTTTGACAGACGCGTTATCGCGTAGACCTGACTATGAGCTTGCTCATCTCACTGTTGTGAGTTCGTCAGTAACGGATCGTATCCGTGTGGCGTATGCACGCGATGAGACATGTGTTGCCATTTTGCAGGCGCCAGGTAGCGCAGAGTTTGAAACTCTAAGGTGAAGTTGTCACCACGTAATCGTGCGAGATTACATCGTTATGCACTGACCGATGGTCTGTTGTACTATAGTACAGGGTCGGATGACCAGCCTCGTGTTGTGGTGCCTCATGATGAAGACCTCAAGTATCTGATACTTTACGAGGCTCATGATGTACCACTTGGTGGTGGTCTCATTTAGGTCGTAAGAAGACCTACAGCTCGGTGAGCACCCATTATTGGTGGCCCAAGTTGTACAAATGGGTTGGTACCTACGTACGCACGTGTGAAATGTGTCAAAGGGTGAAACCATTGCCAAATATGGCTGCACCTTTGGCGGGTTTGTCTGAACCCTCGGGATTGTGGCGGTAGACCACACGCTACACTGATTTGATCAGAAACACACCACGCATGTATCGACTACATGTCGCATAGTTGTCCCCATCGAATTTATCGATGGAGACGTTGGAGGATGCGTGGGCGGCAGAAGACGTGGTACTTGGGATCATTACCTGTTTCAGAGAGAGCGCGGAGCGGAGAGAGGAAGCGGAGAGACCGAAGGGAGAGCGGAGCGAAAGAAAATTGCTCTGTAGTTCACATATAAATCATGTAGATCTTCCTATCAACCTACTCGTCTAATCACCATCACTCTGCACTCCGACGATTGATGTAGCATGCTACGACCAATCGTGACAATCGTCCGAATTGCTCTCTCCGCTGTTCCGTTGGTTTGATGCGCGTACGGGACCGTGGTCTGCTGCTCAATACCTTGGTCTTGGTAGAACGCCTTGAGAGAGTTGGTTGCAAACTCTCGAGCTCCATCGTGACGCACGAACTTGACTTGCTTGTTGAACTGCGTCTGCACCATCTTGATGTAGGTCTTGAGATGTTCTTCGCTCTCAGACTTGGCACTTAGGCAAAAACCTTTCATGGATCCGCTGGCTTCGTCCACGATGAGGAGCAAATACTTGCTCCCACCCATTGTTTCTTGCTCCATAGGACCACAAATGTCGAAGTGGAGAAGCTCCAACGTGTCATAGCGGCGCTTGTCACGGTTGCTCGGGAACGGTTTCTGGACCATTTTTTCCCTTGCTGGCATCCGTGGCATATGCCAGTTGTCGGCGATGGTGCCTTTGCGTCCTTGATCATACCGCTGTTGACCATCTTGCGCAACACATCAACCGGAGCATGGCTCATTCGTGCCTGCAGATTCACACTGTTTGCCGAAGTTGTTGCATTTGCCGAACGTTGTGGCGTGCGAAGCCAGTAAAGTCCATCGACGAGGTCCGCCGTTGCCACCGCTTGCTTCGATTTCTTGTGCGCTATGTGCATACTCGCACCGTCGAACACCACTTGAAACTTGCCACTCTTGTTGATCTGCGGCACCGATAGCAGATTCTTGTTCATCTTCGGCACGAACAACGCATCCTTGATTTCGATGTCGCGCTCTTCGCCGTTGGGCAGAACCACTCGTTCGATGATGGTTCCCACACCCTTGATTGCGGCCTTGTTGCCGTTTGCCACCAACATTTCACCTTCATCTTGCTCATTCAGCGTCGTGAACTTGGCCTTGTTGTTGCATACAAGGTGCGTTGCTCCACTGTCAATCAATCGCCCACATTCCAGGCATACTCTTGCCCGTCGATAGTCCTGCTTCCAGCGAAACCGCAAACGCTACTCGATCGTAATCGTCGTCGTAGTTGTTGCTGCTGGTTTGCCACTGCACATTGTTGGCTCCGCGTCCTCGGTTGTTACCGCCGCGTCGAGCACCTTGATTCTCATCCTTCTGCTTGGTCCAGCACCGCTCTGCCGTGTGCCCCAATTTTCCGCAGTACGTACACTGGCGAGGCTCGCGTTCGGTGCTGAAAGCCTTGAGCCGCTTCTTCAGCTTTCACCGATGCCGTCTTCTCGCCTTGCCTCTTGATGTGCTCATTCGTAAGCACCCTCACAACGTCTCTTGATCGTAATTCAGCGCTGTTCATCTCCAAATTCAGCACAACATTCTCGTAGCTCTTGGGAAGACTGCGCAACAAACAGATCGCCACGTCTTCGTCCTCCATCTTGGCGCCGATGCTGGTAAGCTTGGCGCTGATGTTGAGAACCTCGTTGCAATGATGCATCACATTGCCGCCTTCCTTCATCTCCATACTGAAGAACTGGCGCTTTAAAAAAATACGCCCAGCCTTCTGCGATCCACCGTAAAGCGCCTTCAAACGCGCCCATGCGACCCATGCTTCCTCACAATCATCAACCACGTGATGATAGTCGGCGTCCATGTGGAGCAACATCAGTCCAAACGCGATGTTGCTGCGACCGGACGTAATCTTCCATGGGACGAGGGTCCGCGAAGGTCGGCGTCGTCTCACGGTTAACGACGTGCCAGACCGACTTGGTCAGGAACACGCCACGCATGTAACGACTCCAAGTCGCGTAGTTGTCCCCATTGAAACTTATCAATGGAAACCTTGGCGGACGCGTCTTGGGCAGTGGACATCGTACTTGGGCTTATAACCTGATGGAAGGTATCTGGAACTTGGTCTTGCAAAGCTTGTGGAAGAGGGAACGGGGGGAGTCTTTGGAGTTATGCAAGGACGACTTGATCAGTTGAATGAAAATTGGAAAGTGATTAATTTAGTAGGAGCTTATTCTTTCTACCACCTGATTTATATGTAGTCCACATATAAATCAGTTGCGACTGTTCACGTCCTGATTTATATGTAGTCCACATATAAATCATGTAGATCTTCCTATCAAGCTACTCGTCTAATCAACTATGACGTAATTACCTGTAAGAACTCTGCCGTAAATACTAAGCCTTAGAGTTTGGATTGTACCGGTAACCCTCAATACGCCCCCTCAATGCGAACTCGCATGAATACCGAGTGCAGCCGTCAAGTCCTTGTGACGAGGTCCCGGAAGTGCCTTCGTCAAGATGTCCGCGAGCATGATGGAAGTCTCACAATGCTCAAGCTCCACTTCACCACGCTTGACTTCATCACGGATGTGATGGTACTTGATGTCGATGTGTTTTGCACGACCATGGTTGACGGGATTCTTCGTCATCTTGATGCAGGACTGGTTGTCTTCGAGAATCTTCAGTCCAGGTGCCGACTTGTTTGACGCTGCTAGAATTTCGATCAGCAGTCGGTGAACTCACTTGCCTTCTTGGATCGCTAAGCTGAGTGCAATGTACTCAGCTTCGCTCGTTGAAAGTGACACACTTGACTGCTTCTTGCTTCCCCAACTGATTGGTGCGCTCATCAACAAAAACGCATATCCCGAAGTTGACTTGCGTTCGGAATGGTCTCCAGCCCAGTCCGCATCAGAGTATCCACGAAAATCAACTTCTTCACCAGGCTTGAAACAAATTCCATGTGACGTGGTCCCTTGCAGATAGCGGAAAATACGCTTCACTGCAATCCAGTGCTCGACTTGGGAGTTTTCCATGAAACGCGATACGTACCCCACAGCAAAAGCTATGTCTGGGCGTGTTGCGGTCGTCAGATGCATGAGCGCCCCCACAGCTTCTCGAAATGGAGCGCTTACCTTGGTCAACGCATCGCTTCGAGTCAGTCGAGTGCTTACATCAGCTGGGCTTATTGCAGCCTTGCAGTCTTCCATCCCAAAGCGCTTCAGAATGTCATCCACATAGCGTCGCTGGCACATCGTCACGCTATTGTCAGCGTTTTCGACCAGTTCTATGCCCCACACAAAAGCACACTTGCCACTGTCGGTCATCTCGAAGCGCGTCTTGAGGTCGCTCTTGGTACACGCAATGAGTTCCGTCGATCTCCCAGTCACCAGCACATCGTCCACGTAGACCAGCAACAGTACGCAGTGACCGTCCACAATCTTGATGTAGAGGCACGGATCATAGGCCGAAACTTGAAAGTCGATGGAGCGAACAAACTCGTCGAAGGTCTCGTTCCATACACGAGAAGCTTGCTTGAGACCGTAGATTGCCTTCACCAACTCGAGGCAGTTGAAGTCTCCGTCCAATTCGACGCCTTCTGGAACCGCGCAGTACACCGTTTCTTTCATCACACCATAGAGAAAAGCTGTGACCACGTCAAGTTGGTCAAGAGGCCAGCCAAAGTACTTGGTAATCGCGACCACCATGCGCAGCGTCACATACTTGACCACTGGTGAGAATGTCTCCGTGTAGTCGATGCCGTACTTCTGCTTGAAGCCCTTGGCCACAAGTCGTGCCTTGTACTTCTCGATTGAAGCGTCCGCTTTTTGCTTGATCTTGAACACCCACTTAGCTTGGGTTACATTCCAAGAACATTTGTGTCTTCCTTGTCAAGTCACTGGTGTGACGCGCGTTACGTCGGACGAATGTTTCTCCGTTCTTCATCTTGTGTCATACGTCGTCGAGCTTTACGTGTAGATTCCCTGTTCAGTATTCAATACACTAGTAGTAGTCTTGTTGTTTCTACGTACTATCTATCAAGTGGTTCAACAATTGAACCGCATTGTTTACTTCCATCATCATGTCGCAAGGTATCAACAACGTCCATACTAAACAACGCAACAAAAGCTGCAAAACGTGTGGGACGTGACTAGAACATTGCAATGCTATTGAATTCTATTAACAGCTTTGTACTGAATGAAGCTACTTACTTCATCATACATTGGAATCATGTTGCAGGATGAAAGCGTAAAATGGACTTTGATTTACAATGGAGAATTTGCTTAATCTGCTTGAAAAAAGTTGCCAAGAGGTAGGTCAAACGTTATTGAGTGATCCAGTGAATGAAGCAGTTATTGACTTGTCAAGTACTGTAGGAGGACACGGACCAAGAACTGCAGCATTTGCTGCATCTCTATGACGTTCTCAAACCGCACAAGGAACGAGGTAATTAAATTACATGGCGATCTCTCCACTGACACGGACACAACATAAATGAAGGAACTTGTGTGAATACTACGTGTTTGTAGGTCTGGACGTCTTTGAAGTCGCTTTTGGCATTGCACGGTTATATGGTGAGGAGCTGGAAGATCGTCAGACAGCCATGACCTACTACGAGATGCACTTGCAATTTTAGAAACCATCTCGATCGACGCAACGATCTGGAATGTGTACATGCGCGTGACAACACTCGGTGCTCTTGCAATGTGCCACGAAAACCTGTACGTCATCTTTGCCTGCTGTAATGTTTGTCTTGTGAACCTATGCTCATTTGTTGCTCCTACCAGTAAACCGACAGAAGATGCCGAGAATTACTTTAACGATGCTATCAGCGTGTACGAAGAGCATTGTGGCCATGCTTTGGAAAGTGGATTTAGCGAAGTGGATGCGTCCGAGTCCGATATCTCGCTTCTAAAGAATCTTAACGCCACGGCTACCATGATTCACTATCACTTTACTGCCAACTTACTTACACCAAGAGCGTTGGGATGAGGCCAAAAACGACTTTTGCTGGCAGAAAGTTCTAGCATGCCAACGGAGGTGCTAGAGCAACTGCAGCACTGTGTGTTCACGAGTTGTGGCTGGAACTAGAGTAGAGACCGCAGGTGAGAATTGGCTGATGTCGTGATGTGGCTATATAGCATCCTCAGGAACTGGTAGTATCAACAAAGGATGGTGGCGCTGCTGCATCGTTGCGATCTTGACTATTGGCAAATGTTCATGCCACCAGATTCAGTGATGACATTATCAGTCCGATAATCATGGCAACCAAATATTGTTATGCGCAGCTCTAACCTTGAAAATCCAAGCTTTATTGTAAGCCTCGTTTCTGGAAGACCCCACAAGGTTTGCCTCCACATGATGCAATCATGAGTCTTACTTGTCTCTTCTTCCGATGTACACAATGCACTCTATGGAGCTCAAACGCCTTGAGCTTGCACGTGTATTTTAACACCCAAGACCTCGTCGATCTCGTCAATAGAAAAGGGTCCTCGACCTGCAATATTAACGTGGTCTAGATAAAGGTGGCTGGAACGCTTGAGCTGCAGCTTTTGCCAAGAAAGACTACGCAATGCAGGCAAGACGTATATGCACGTTACAAGATACTTGACTGAACTTGATCAGAACTGGTAGGTACATTTGTCTATTGTGTCGTACCAAAGAGCGTTACGAATGTGCTCGGAGCAGTCCAGTGGTCATCTAGGTCAAACATGACTGTCTATCTGTATAACAACATGACCGACAGAATCTCCTCATCGTTGTATGATGTGGCAGATTCTGGAATGAGATAAGAGATTGGTGTTGGTAAGAAATACCCAGGCTTGGCTTGATGACATTAATCTTGCTCGTCCTTTTGATGCCATTGTCAAGAACCACCTCATTCATTTGAACCGTTTAAGAATAGCTCTTGAGAAGAATCCTGAGAAAAAAGGACCTGTCGATCGAGGTGCTGGTCTTCCTTACTGACATCTACATATGGAACGCTCATCACGGACTTTTTTTCATGGGAAAGATCGGCAGTGAATAAGGAGAACTGTCTTCTAGCTTTACAATCAACTTTTAAACACTTCTCGCTACCTTTTGTACCAGAAAGAATAGCACCTTACTGCACTGGGCAATGCACTAAGTTAACAAACATATATATATATATTACTCTCCTAACATACATATAAAGCTGTTGCACGTATTTATTGCTTGTTGTATAACAACATTGTTCTATGGTGCATCTTTTTGAGGTAGCGACTGTAATGTCGGATATTCAATGTCATGTGACAAATGGGCGTCTCTCACACGCATATGTTTATAAAAGACTCACTTTCGGCTATTAAGGTCGATAAATGATGTATAAAACCAGTCAAAAGTGATACGTTTTGTATGAAAGAGTCATCTTTTTTGCCAATACGATAGAAAAACGGACGTTGACGTGCTGGCTTTGTCATGTAAAATCAATCATTACCACGTACTGTATCTCTCGCTCTTACTACTTATACTACTGTATGTATATAGTTTTATTTATATACATAACATCCATATACTGTCGAAAAAAACAAAAAAAACATGCAGTAGTGGTTGGTTGTTTATCGAGAGTTCAGTCTCATAATGATGTATACAAACGCTCAAACAAATCCAAAGCATAAAATTGGTTGCTCAAGTTTTTTTTATGATTCGGTAAAGAGATTTTTACAACGAAAGCAAAAAAAGTGAGTGAAGAAGAAGTAAAAAAGTGAGTGAGTAAAGAAGAAGAAGAAGAAGAAGCGACGACTTGACTCATTTTCGATCAATGCATTGTCATCGTTCCATTCGATTCCAGTCCGAGTTATCAAGTGATCATCATTCATTAGATACTCCTACACATGATGCTCATCTTGAGAATGAAAAACTCTGTCAACTCGTGCCTATAACACATTATCATCTTACTCCTAGTTCTAGTAGTTCTAGTACTTTACGTCGTTTCAATGTAAAAATACGTGATCTTACAAACGCCGTCTCACCGTCTTCCTGTCATGAACAACAAGGTAATCAATATCTACAAGACACAGAGCGAAATGGAGATAGTAGTGATCCAAGTCAAGACAAAGTTATTTTCTCAACAACAGCAACTAGTTGTAAACGATCCAAGACAAATAGTGAACGTGGTCGGGCCTTTCGCGCACGCCGTAAGAAGTACAAGGATGACCTTGTCACGATCGTTAGCTCGTTACGTCAAGAAGTTTCTGGCCTTGTCTTTCTCCGGGGTATACGTGCTGAAAAGGCCCTCCACAGTCGCAATACCATGTGTGGCTCACTTGTACGACTTGTGAGAGAGTACTTTGCTTTGTTTGAACGTGGCATTCCATCGGTTCGAGGTGTTGGTCAGAAACGATCACCATTGCTCATGGATGGATCGACCATGAACAACACGTGTGACGTCTTTGCTGCAAAGCAAGAAGCTTTTCTAAAGAGCGCCATGCACCCGGAGATGCAGTTTGGTCAGGTTACTGGACCGCAAAACTTATTGGAGCAATGGAAGAGATATACGAATTATCACGCGAGGTTTGAGGTTGAGGTTGTCAGCATCAAAGTGTCGGGAGACGAAAACGACCCTATCGTGACGGTATACTCGAATCTGAGCGTGGTATTTTCGCGCGCAACGTTTGACCATGTTTTCCCCCATGTGGTCGTCAACGAGGAGCTTCTTAACAGGTTTATCGGTCGTAAAATAGTCTACCATGCTGTGAATCGTCTCCGTTTCTCACCAAATGGCCAGATCTTTGTCTATGAATCCGACGTGGGTTTTGTTGCCTCGTTGGTCGAAGCTGGAGCAAGTATCTCGGATATCGCATTGCTGATGCAGCAGGCAAAAATTGCAGACGAGTGTAGACTAGGGAAAGAGGATGAACACAGCAACGGGGTGCAAGAGCTTGAGCCGGATAATCTAGACACGATCATGTTCTACGACCACAACGTAATCCATGCCACGCATGAGAAGACAACTGGTGCAGATAGCAACAAGGACAACATTGAAAGTAGCGGATCGGGTGCTGAGGAAGAGAGCTTGTTGGAGACCAGTGGTCGCTTTGCCATTGATTTCCTCCTATCGTAGGTTTATACGTGTTTCACTCACATGATGCAGCAAGTTTGCTCTTTACAGGTAGGCTTATAATTTATGCAAGCACAAGCTCTCACTGAATGAATACCAAAGGTGGAAGTTATATTGAATTCGGTCAAACAATTCAGGTTGTAGGTACCAATTTTGAATCTACTTGTTGGTGTAATAGGTTTGTTTGAGCATCAACGTCGTCTAACGAAGCGCAGCAGCAATAGCAATAATGGCACCGTACGTGACAAAGGACATAGCGGTGGTACCTGAGCCAGATGTAGAGGATGAGGACAAAGTTGACGAGCTGCTGTCGTCTTCAAACGAGTTCGAGTTGCTCTCATTTACCAATTCGACGGATCCGCTGCCCGAGTCGGACTCGTTGCCCGTCTTACCATTAAGAAAGGCACTGATAAGGGTTCCATAGGTAATGGTTGTTCCGTTCGCCTCGATCGTGCATTGGCTAGCAACATTAGCTTGTCCGTTGACAGTGTTAATAAGCTGCGAGCAATAGTTGCTTAACTGAGCATCCTGGGACTGTTTCAGCGTTGGAAAGACGGAAATGTCAAAGATGTCGTATCCCGTGTCCTCGAGGCATCCTGGCTGAGCCGTACTCATTGTGGTCTTGGTTCTTTTGTCGGACTTCAGTGACGACTCAATGGCCGATAGATCGCACTTGGAGGCAGCATACGCAACGCTAAGCGTGATAGCAAGAGTCGAGACGAATAGAGTCTTCATGATGTGAATGAGGGTTGATAGTCGACTTGCTGAGAAGATGCAAAATTGGTTTGTGTGAGTTACTTGGTTTGGCTGTAGGACAAGATGAAGAAAAGAATGCTCTCTGCAAGAAAGCCGTGTTTTTTGTGTAAACATCATGCAGGTGTTACGCCTGTGTTGCTTCAGATGGATGGTCACATTTTATTGAGCTTAAACTAATGTTAGAGAATGCTGGATGTATCGGCGGCATGAGATGAGACGAACAAGTTTGTTTGAAAAAGAGTGTAAGGGTCTAAAAACCTCCTGAGATGAACAAGTTCTGGCATAGGAAGAAGACTATGGTGCGATTTTACTTGATCCAAGGATGTTTTGATAAGAAAGACCAAGCAAATTATGCGACTGACAATGTGGTGTTGGTTTCGTGGCAAGAAGGTCAAAACGACGATAGAGAATACTGGAAAGAACAGAAAGTTCTTCTTGCATTTGGTTTGGGATACCAAGTGATACGCGCCTTTCTCGATCTCTTGTGGTTCTTCTTGGACACTCAAGCAAGAGTCAAGCAAAAAAGGTCAAGTGTCTGTCTGTATCTTGTTTCGGTGGAATGATGTTTGCGTCTTTCATGGGTTAGGAGAATGAACCTGACGTAGAGATATGGAGCAATGTTCTTCGATTGGACTACAGATCGACTTGTTTGCTACACCAGAATCTTGTCTCGGCATGAAAGCTTAACTTGAACCTACGTGAGATCATAGTTACGTTGTTCTTGCGCTTTTACGAATGGCGATGCATACCAGATCATCTGCAATTGCCATATGAGGAGTCTACCTACTCGTAAAATCGTATGGAATTCCATGCTCTTGGTGAAAGAACGACACGAATAGACAGCTTTAGTGTTTATTTTACAGACGAATGATAACATACAAGCACACGAACTTTGAATGCTGTCTACGCCTTACTACTTCTTCAAACAAGCTATGCGTCATTTGAGAAAACGAAAGCAAACCTTTCGTTTTGGAACGAACGTCGTTCCTACCGTTTTACTCATGTTACCTTACGACGGACGCGTTAAGGCGATGTAGTAGCATTACCAACAGCATACGAATAATGAGGCATGACGAAAGAAATGAAGAGCACATGCATCCGGCAGCGAATTCTCTCAAACGAAACTAATCTTGACGACGTATTAGTTTTCAGTACTCCATAAATGTCAAGCCATGGCTGAGAATACATGTGTGGTGGCGATAACGGTGATCCAAGTACTACAGATGCATGTATGTCTAGAGTACTCGTTTAACGTGGTTGTGCGATCCTGAATTCACTAATTCTGTCGTGATCGCATGATTACAATAAGCCCAGACGTACGTCCCATGCTGTCCTAGCTGCGGCATCGCGCTTTTGCTGCTGCGAAGCGTCATGATCAGTGGCAGAACGGCTGCCCTACATCGAACTGCGAGATGTCGTTGACGCGATCTTGTGCGAGAATAGCGTAAGCTATACAGCGGTAAGCGCTACAATTTCTGCAGTGTTGAGACGGTCGTAGCAAGGCATAGTGTCTCCGAGTTATATTTGATTAGTTACGCCAACAGAATGATATCTGCGGAACGTTCAGCATTGGTGCGCATGGTAACACCACTTGTCGAAGGTATGGTACGTTGCGTATTCATGTGTTTAATATTGTTTCATGCTACTCTGTCGACACGATAACCAATGTTGACGGTTGTCCACATAAGAACATTGCACTCATGGCGCAATGAGACAAAAGCTCTGTCGCATACAAACAGCAAGCACATGCTCAATGACGACTTCATACAACAATATGAGGAGAATGCTGAGGATGAATCTTGGAACTGAGACGAGGTTCTCAAAGTACCATTTCTAGCATCTAAACCTTATTCTGATCTTCTTCTCCTCTGAGATGTTGGCAGCGTCGCATATCTGACGCCATGTTACCGTCTCTTCTCGTAATTAGTCGTCAGTCTTATTGCACAAGAGTCTAATCATTCCATGATGATGGATCCGTCATCGTCATCATGAATTCACTGGTTCCACAATATCGTAGTAGTTCAATTGGCTAGATGAATTCATTCCTGTTGCTTCGTCCACGTAGATTTCTGCTGCTACATATTGTCGTGTGTCGATGGCTGGCTGACATCATAGCAGCATGCAGCGTCAACAAGTAAAGTGTAACAACAAAGGAGCATCTCGCCAATGCACAAATTCTATCAGATAGAATTTGCACCCCAACGTCCATAACTACTAGTAGCGGCTTAAATGTACAGTCCAAGTGCAAGTGTTTCAAATAGATTGAATAATGTCTAGACTAGGAAGTGTCCAGCCTCCACTTTTCGTAGATTTTAGCTATGTGTGCGTCAATCAACGCAGTTTTGTTTCTCAATCGTAGCTTTCAGCTCATGCAACGACAGGAAAACGACTAAGGCTGTTGTACTTGACAGCAGAAGACAGAATGGAAGCATCAAAGCCGACAGACACGCCCAGAAAACACGCACTAGCAAAGCAAACTATACTTATTAAAATCTTCGAGTACGAAAAACAGACGCGCATATATAACTCCATCATATGCTTATAGACACGTGTAACCAAACAGCGGCTTCAACGCGTCAATGATGGTATTCGTCAGCGATAGAAGAATCGTGTGTGCGACATCAAGGAAAACACGATGGTAGTATCCCTTTTTCTGGTTCAAACGTTCGACTGAAAAGTCATACAGGCCACCAATAAATTTAGAGAGGAACCACTCTGCTTGGTAAACATCAAAGTAAATGTTGGAAACGTAGTCCCAATTCAATGCCACCGTGTTGACCCTTGCATCCTTAAAATTCTTCAATATGGACGTGTACGCGTGTGTGATGTTGCCAGCCATAGCATCTGCCATAATACTACTTACTGTCAAGTTTTGGCACACGGACGTGGGAATGCCTGGCGCGCATTCGTACAAGTTGGCCCGAACGTGAGCCGCAATTTGTGGCTTATACACTGAGAGTATTAGTGCCATCTTGATTGTACTCGGCTCGCAGTAAATTGGGCGCAATGGATTGACCCAGCAGATTTGGTACCATTTGTGATCATGCTGAGCAAGATCAACTGTAAGTGATCCCGTAAGTGTCACATTACCTGTAAATCTCGTACCTACATCTAGCGTACTGGCGCTCGTGACATTCACTGCCATAGGTGCCATTGTCGTAGTACCCGTCACGTTCAACCAGTCAATCGCGACCGTCGCATTGAACGTGTAGCCGCGGAATTTGAATTTGAATGTAGGCAGCGAACGGTCATTAATGACGAAAGGATCAGCGACATATTGCTTGAGCACTGACGGCGACGCATTGATGATGTCCACGATGTTGTTCAGCGCAATAAAGTCTTCAGTTGCAGTCGTAAACTTAGCAAGAACGCAGGCGTTTTTTGCTGTAAGACCATTTGTATTGTTTCTACTACGAGAGGCGCCCCTTAGACTTGTAGCAGTGACATTCTTATCAGGAATCTCGAGCGCGTCAAAGTTGGTAGCAACCACACGACCACCATTATTACCAAAGGAGAAAACATTAGTCATAACAGCAGCAAATGCTGTTAAAACCTTGAGATACTTGACCATTGGAAACAAAGAATAAAAATGATCTGAATGGCGTGGAACAGATTAGAGTGCGTGAGTGTCTGTAAAAGACTGATCGGAATACCCGATTCATTATTTGAGGTCTATTGTAATAGGAATGTTATTAGATTAGTTCGGAGGAGCATGAAGAAGCACTTTAGCATGGCAAATTAACTAGACAAGTACTTGTCCATATCGAATTAGATATTTTGGAAGTAAACTGCAGCTGTAGGTCAAAACAGACGATACATTTGTCCAGACTCTGTACATGCTCAGCCTGGGCGGAAGCCGGAACACTGAAGCTGTATACGACATAGAAAGACCAAGCACGCGAAATGGACACAGCTGGTTCATGCTGTATCGGTATGACATACAACCAACCATACACGGTCAGTGTTCGTCTACAACTCAAAGCATGTCCTTTGTAATGAATTCGAATAGGAATTTGTAGTAAATAGACACACAAAACACGTTGTTGTACTTGTCTTTCGTGTTGATTTTGAAGTCTCCGTGGAGATTTTTGTCCAGTAGATCTTGTGAAGTAGGGCTAAGACGCCTAAGATATTGTCTTGTAAAGATTCCTCTCGTGCTTGCATCCCGTATTCCTATTTAACATTTTAGTACGATCGTTATGATGATACTATTGACTCAAATGTGGTCTCATTCTAGGACTGAATTGAAGAGATCACTAAGTCCAGTCATTCAATACTAAACATGTAGAATGCGTAATGTGTTGAAATAAATGTGTCATTTGTGTCCTCTCTCTAGTTGACTTAATAATAACAAAGTATTATTAAGTCAACTAGAAAAAATATGAGCACGATACCAACCAATGTCATGCGTTTTAACGTGCCTAATGGTGACTTTTGTGCCTATTTAAAAGGATATTGGAAACGTAACCTCGAATGGCGTCATTTTGGCACTAGTTTTAAGCATTTACGATCTACAAACAATGTCGTATTGATTGAAGAAGATCTCGATGCAGCTCGACAACCGAACACGCAGTCCGTATTGCGTCGTGTCTCTCTTTCTCTAGTTACTATATGAATGATGATGAGTAATCCATTCTTTCGATCAGGTTTCTTCGATGGTCATTTGGACGTACACACAAGAAAGAAGATCTTGCGAGTGCCTACACCGTACAGGTTTGACTCTATCTATCTTCTCTCGATTATCCATTTGATTGAGTGTTTCTCTCTAGTTTATTCCAAATGAACAAGGAACATTCATGGAGTGGAGTTTTGAAGGAGTGACATGTCATGGAGTTTTTAAACCTGAGGCTAGCGTAGCCATTCTTAACTTTTGTTTACAAGAATCTATGGTCACGATTACATACCGAGTTCTTGATGTGAACAGTGAGATCTCTACTGCTGCTTTGTTGTTGTTGGAGTTACTATTAAACGTTCGTGTGTAAATGTCACGTGATGATAGCCATGGCCGTGTGTATTGTGGACGTCGATAGTGAGCATACGCCTACGATTCAATATGGCAACATGTACGTGACATTAAAAGCAAGAGTCAGCTGAGAGATCAATCTATAAGCTCATGAATCTGTTTGATTGTTTCTTTCATACTGTTAGGTATCGCATTAATCCAGCCAAATATGAGCGTGAACCAGAGGATTAAGGCAGTGTCAAGAGCTTGTTTTGATCGCACTTAGTTGAGATTGCGGGTCATACTAGTACACACAATAGTACTGGAGACTATGGTCCTCAAACGTGTGGCAATTGGAGGAACCTTTGCATGTGATGACGCACTTGCCATGCCATTGCAGTATTTGCTACAAAATGTCCGTGTTGTTTGTTACATCTGTTCTTTTGTATGACATTTTGCATCAGTCTGAATGTACTTGCAGCAAAAACATGTTGGCAGACTGATCAGCTAATGATTCATTCACGTCTTTGAGACGGCTAATGTGGCAGCATGTGATCTGTGCTATGATATAGGCTGTATGGGGCGTCAATGTCGACTTGCAATGGCTTCAGTATGGTAGTTTGACAAATCTTGACGAATGGTCACATGACGTACTGCATTCTGCACATCCAATGGACTTAGTGCTCTTGGTTGTTCGTCTGAGTGACCTTGAAGCTCCTCATCCTGAGTTGCATCTTTCCAAGAATATCAAAGACAATGCCACTGCAGAAAACGGGATCGCTGGCAGCCCAACCAGTCAATTCCTGAAAGATCTTGAGCGGTACGATGACATGGCCACGAACCTCGCTGCTGCCCCTTTAGTTGTATTGCTGTGCCCTTATCCACCGACTACAGCAGCACAATATGATGCAATCGAACTTGAGATACAAAGCAAGACGGAGGCACTGCAAAACGTGACCGTCCATTCGACAAAGCGACTTGTAGCGCTCTTTCAACAGCAGTACACAACTGGGTTCTACGACGCTATTGCCGATAAGCGCCAGCATGCACCGTATACTCAAGCAATGTTGAATGTGCTGGGTTTGTCACTATGTAGACAAATATGTCGCCTCTTCCGATCGGCTAGCAACCGCAAAAAGGCAATTGTACTAGATTGCGACAACACGTTATGGAATGGCGCGGTAGCTGAAGTTGGTGCAAGCGGAATCGAGTTAGCTCCACGCTTTCTCGCACTTCAGCGTTTCGTGGTTGCACAACAGAAGCGAGGTATGTTGCTTATGCTTTGCAGCAAAAACATTCTTGCAGACGTCATGGCGGTGTTTGCGCAACGTCGAGGTGACATGATACTCGATCTGGATAAGCACGTGATAGCCGTCAAGGTTAACTGGCAGCCGAAATCGGAAAATATTGCACAGCTTGCCAAGGAACTTTCTCTCGGTAAGTGAAAGACTGTGAACTGTGGTTGGAGTCGTTTTAACGCTGTGTGGATGTATGTATTCGTGCATGAGTAGGGCTGGATTCTTTTATTTTCATTGACGATAACCCGATCGAATGCCATGAAGTCGCGGCTGCATTGCCATCCGTAACAGTCATTCTACTCGAACCAAATTTCTCGGAAACATTTTTAGATGATGAATGGGTTTTTGACGACGGTCTGAGCGCAAAATCACACGGAAGAATCAGCACGAAGGAAGATGGCAAGAGAACACTGTTTTATCAGCAAAACCTTGAGCGCGAACATCTTCGGGAGTCGTCATCAACACATAGGGCGTTTCTCGGTGCTCTTGGTGTCAAAATCGTGTTCGAAGAGCTGGATCATGAACAAGAGCTTCAAACAAGAAGCTCTTCATTTGCCCGAGCGCTACAGCTTCATCATCGCACGAACCAGTTTAACACGGCAACAACGTTCGCAAAGCGTCTGGAGGAAGACGCGCTTCTAAAATACGTTGCTGCTCCGAACCACACAGTCGTTTGCGCTCACGTGACTGACCGATTTGGCCACTACGGCCTCGTTAGTGTTGCTCTTTGTCAGCTTGTGCACCACAGCAATGTTTTGCGCATCGATAGCTTTTTGCTTAGCTGTCGTGCATTGAACCGCGGAGTGGAGCATGCTATGACGCGACGACTTGGCGAAATCGCTACGAAAAAAGGGGCGGCATCTCTCGAGTTTATCTGGGAACCAACCGAGCGGAATCAGCCAGCGCTTGCATTTTTCTTAGCGTCATCCAATATGAGCTTTACAGAGAAAAATAAAGATTCGAACAAGACAAGTCTCAGCAGCTCTGCCTCTGACACGTGGGTAATTACATCCGATAAAGCGAGCAAGGTGTCGTTTTTTGAGTCGAATGACAGCTTCCATCGAAACAGCGTTAAGATGGACCGGGGAATAGGAACATTTCTTCGCCATCAATTTGTCCTGTGGCTCCAATATCGCGCACTTTCAGTACTCCAGTGGATACTGTCTTTCATTACGTTGCCGCATTCAGTAGCACGTTTACTTCAGCCGTCCCACACCCAGCGGGTTAGTGAAATTGGGTCCGTTGGGTTGCTGCGCGTACCTCTTCGCAATCATGGCAGTTTGGAGCAGTTTCTCCGTCCGGTTTTGGATATGCCAAATCAAAATAACTTCATGATCTCTGGTGACAGCATGACGGATGCAAATGACGACAAGTATCGAAGGAAGGCACGGCACTTAACCAAACTGGCACTTGCTAACTGCACCAATGAAAGAGGGCCGCGCGTAATTTGGTCTGCTAACAGACCATACGCGAATGAACAAGCTGAAGCTCTAGACGATCTGAGCCAGAAAGCTGCCTCCACCAACTCAAGCGAACCTTCTTCCATCGGCCTCCAGCCAATTTGCAAGTCCCCACAGTGCTCTTTGATCATCCAACGTGACAGCCGATGTGCCTTTCAGCGATGCCGCAACTGCTGCTATCGGACCCAGCGGCTCCTGACGCGTTCATTGTACCATGAAAATGCTGATGCCCGACAATCGGCAACACGCCAGCTTCGAGCAGAATTTGCTGACAAAGCAATGCACGTGTCTAGTCATACGTGTAAAGTGCACCAAAACAAGCGGCGCCTTGGAGGGTTGTACAAGCACAAGCAACAAAGTTTACGCGAATAAATTTTCATCGCGAGATCTACGCGTAGATGCGTACGATGCCACCCTGTTTTGCCTCGTTCAAGTCACGCCTACCTTAGTTTTCCTCACCCCCTATTTTCTTCGTACAAGTCATCTCTGCTATCGCTTTCGGTACTGCTCCCGCTAATATCACTGCTGCTGATGCTGTCGTTGCTACTCGTGTCACTGTCACTCTCTTCAACACTTTCTTCATCGTCGTCAACAATAGGGCCATACAAAGCTTCGTATCTCTCTATCCACAAAAGCGCTTTGACTTCATTTGCTGTTCGCGGTGAATTCACTGTTTTGAGCTTCTTGAGAATCTCTTCAAGTGTATTGCAATCCTTTCGAAACTCGGGCGACGTAAGCAATCGCGTTGAGCGCGACGGTATCTCTTGAAGTACCCTGTAGTAGTGCATTGGTAAAATGTTTTGCAGTGTTCGCGCAACATCGATGCGTGTGACCACTCCTAAAAGCCCGTTTTGACTGCAAACCAAATAGACTGCGTCAACAAAAGCCTTCTCATCCACGTATACAATCTTTTTGAGAATAGGCTTCAGCATTTGTTTGAGGTCCATCAGACGAAGTCTTCGTTGGCGGACAAACATTGCTGTTTTAATGCGCATCGCATCCTCCACAACATCCACACCAGGAAAGTGTGGGTGCGAGCTTGGAAGAACACGTTTCATCTCCTCAACGGCTGCCTTTGCGGTGTCTTTTGTCACCTCAAATACACCCTTTGCTCTCTGACGACGCACATACGTAGCAACAAAATCATCGTACCGCATCATCAGGCCGCCGTGACCGTAGGTCTGTATGTTTTTCTCCAAACGACTCCGAAAGAAGTCTACACAGTGCGCCAACGCTTTCGATGTTGGCACTAGCATGTCCGAACGACGTAGCTTTTGATATATCGCCGTGTAGATGTGCTGCACGGTGGCTTGCGGGTTGTTGTAGACTTCTTCTTCGACCATTCCGACGAAACCCGGGATCAATGCTGGAGCTGTAGAAGTAGAAATAGCATCAGCTTTGCGCTTTCTCGGGGATCGCCGATCGTTCATGTTTGAAAGCCCGACTTCAGACTCCAATACTTCATAGAGTTCGTCTAGAAATCGTTCATCGACTTCTGATGTGTCGCCCGTTCGTGTCACCACCACGTTTGCTTGCTCATTAGCTGCCTCTCTTTCTACAACACATCTTCGTTCCATTACGTGCACAGTGTCCGAGCTTCCTTTGAACACGGGTAGCTCTTGTTTCTTCGTATCATCGACATCAACCACGAGCATAAACGGCATGTCTGCAAAAGGCGTGTGCGCTACCACATCTGGTGTCGTACTTGTCACAGAGGTGAAAAAGCTATGAGGATCAGAACATGTTAGCGCTAATCAAATACACACAGATTCAGCACGTCAAGCTCAACATATACCTTTTAAACAAGTGAATGTGTTTGTGACTGAACGAAACACCTGGCAAAGCCATTGCAGAGCGCAGGGCTTCTGTCATAAGGAGCTGACCAGGAAAAAGCCGATGAGATACAGCTGCACGATAAATAGACACCTCCAAAAAAACACTGTCACGTTCTGCAAGGGCTACTACTTCTTGTTCTGTGCTTGGTCTGGCAAGATAAACTCGTTTCCACCAAGCATGTTGCATGCCCACATCTGCAATGGTTTCTTGACTCGACGAATCCATCGCTTCTCCTTTGATTTGGTCCATCAAAAATTCATCCTCATCTATTGCTACAAGCAGTTCTGCTAGATTCCTCCATAGCGCCAATGCCATATCTGGATTCTGCTTTACGTACAAATCGCTACCACACGTATCAAGCGCCTCAACTAAAAACTTTGTCAGCCGAAATGACGACACTGCGCCAGCGCTGGAAAGCTCTAGCATTTTTTCTAAAGGCTGACAACATGATGGGTCATTTTTCATCCATCTAAAAAACAACCGATTGTTTTAGACAGTGAAAAATCAAGCAAACAGTAGTGTCATCCAATACCTGGAAAGCACAGCAACCTGGCCATCTACGGAATCTGGAAAGTAGCGTTCCAGAAAGCCTACAAGCTGACAAAGGGATAATGCAAGTATTCACGTAAGAACCAAACATCGTAACGACAATTGCACACTAAGCGTACCATTTTTGGTCCATGAGGATCATCAGGGTTCATGTGAAAAAAAGCCTCCAAATAGTCACACGCTGGTTGGATGTCTCCTACCAGCACAAGAAGCTGCACATAATACTCCACAAACATTACCGAATTCGGGTTTAGCGCGGCTGCACGTCTCAATGAATTACTGGCTTGTTGATACAAAATGTGAGCCCCAATGGGTGTTTTGAGTAAGTATATGGACTCAATCACTGATTCGATACTTTCACTTGCGCCAGAATCATTACAAACAGTGGCGCCCAGTTCATACTCGTCCTCTACCTCTTCGTCCACGTCTTTCCGTCCAAACCGTTCACGAAGCTCTTTGGACTCGATAAACATGAGCCAATAGCATAGAATTCCAAAATTTGCAAGCAACCTTGCATCTTCTTCAGCTTCTTTCATCTAATGACATCAACAAAGAGCAAGATACAATAGTGAGCCTCGTATGTTGCTGCCAATGGAACGACCTCAACGTTTCTTGAGAATGATAGACACGTTTACCTGCTCGATTTTGTCTCGGTATATATGATATGCCTCATAAAACTCGCCATGAACGACGTGAAAGAGCCATATTTCTTTCAAAATCAACATTTTCTACGGCAGACACAACGAGTGAGACTTTTTACCTATACACTGGGATACAAAAATCAAATAATTACATCGATATGCTGACTGTTGACTTCGAGTGCTGCCTCATAGAAACTCAACAGCTCATTGCGGTAGTCTGATCGCCTGCGCAAAATCTCAAGGCTGGCCTAGTTTATATCAACCGTTAAGTGCCACAAGCCAACAGCATTAGTTCCGTTAATTAAAGCGTCTTTGGAGCACAACTCACCTCAATGCACACCGCTGTGGTTAGCGCGAATCGATGATACATGACTCCCAATACTTTTGCGGCACCTGCATAATCCCGAGCTCCAAGAAGCTGCAACATAAACAGAAAGCATACATCATAATTTGTTGTGAGCATATATGGTCGTCAATTAGTTGCTATCTACACCAATAACATCACCACTTACCCGTGGCAACAACTCCTCAAACGCCAGACGAAGACGCGTAACCGTGCTCTTACCGTTCAGTTTGCACTTCCATTGATCGAAATAGATATATGAGGTCGAGTTATGACTAGTTACCATGGCTTTGACTTGATAGTCATAGGACTTATTGGAAGGCAGGGTGCTCTTCAAAAGCGGGTTTTTGTTTGCATCGGTTGCTATCTCCTCATTGTGTGCTACCTGACCTTGCACACTGTCATCACTTATCGAGAAAGATGTTGAAGCATGAACTCGCATTCGACCGTCTTCTTCTTCTTCTTCGAGCAATTCTTCCCTGTCGCCCGCCTTAGTAGCTGCAACCTCATCGTCGTCGTCATCTTGTGCCTCTCCTCGTCCATCACTTCGAGATGATACCTCAATCGATTCTCCGTCTATTGCAAGCGCATCCTTATTTTCATCTGAATAGTCATGCTCGCTTTCCACGTGTGCATCTGCTGCAATTTTGTCCGCTGTATGTACCGTGGTGATGACCATTCGTACGCAGAAAACAAGCTTCTAACGTGATATTTTGGATAAAACTGTAGCCATCTGACGAAATAAGAGCAAAATGTAATCTTTGGATTTTGTTGAACCTGTTGCTTTCCTACTCGAGCTCTTGCTCGTTGTCGTCCTCACGCAGTAGAATTGCTGCAATCATCTTGAGTTTCTTTTCCATCTAACACCAACAGATTCATCCCATTCTCTTAGTTCCTTCCTACTACTAAACAACACATAGCAGACGCTACAACACTCGCACGAACCTGATTATGTTCACGTAAACTACGTGCGAGTTTCGTGTCCGTAGCTTCAAATTGTGCATGTGATGCAGCATGACGTTCCTGGAATCCACGCATCATTTCCTGCATAATGGCTTCAATCTGTCCAAATGTATCTATCTCAATCCAAAAAACACGTACAAAAAGCCACCATATCAGTTGCTTTATACAACTACTTTACTATCTCGATTCAATTGCTCTCCACCTTCCACCAACGTCTCGACTTGCTCTTCCTGCTCACGTTTTCGTTTCCTTAATGTCTCAAGATGTCCATAGCATTTTGTTATATATGGTGTCAATTGGTCATTTCCTTTACTTGTATCCTCACTAATAATTGAATGAGGTATTATTTCTTCCTGCTCCTTGTCTTGTTTCCTCATAGAATGGCGCATCAATTCTCCTTCTCCTTCTTCCTCTTCTTCTTCTCCTTCAGTTGCAACACCGTCACCACTTGACTGGATTCTGTCTTCATCTTTCTATTACATTACACAGTTAAAACGCAATCATGCATTGTTCTACGTATCTTGATACAATGCAACAGAAGGGGCGAGAGGAATGGGAAACGTACACAAATGGGCGGCATTTCATGCGACTTTGTCCTCATCATTCTTCAATGTGTATGTGAGTGTATGTATGTGTGTGTGATTGACAGCGCGGGTTGCACTTGCTGATACTCAAGTCAAATGTAAAAGTGAAATGGAAGTTGAAGTTGGTACCAAAAGGGAAACCAAATGACCATCATTCTTGTACTTTTTTCCTCAAAACTATCGTCGTGCAATGCGGATGGACTTTCGAGTGTAAAAGAGTGAGGGTACATCCTTTTGAATGTAAGGAGTGATGGTAAACATGATATCCCAATTTTTCAAGTCCAGCAATCGTATCAGTTACATTCAATCAACCTGTTTAATTATCCTTGTCAAGCAGTCAGGAATGTAGCTACAAGCACCACATGGAGACAAAAGTCGACAGAATTCTTCGTGTTTCTCCAAGCTGACGCACGGATGTTTACACATATTTGCGACGATAAATGGTTCTTTGGCTACGCGTCGACAATTCAACGTTATGTGTTGTATCCATGCGCCGTTTTACGCCTTCTTGTTGACGTCCGGACGACGTTCGAGATATTGGCGAAGCTCTTCTACCTCTTTCAGGTCCCGATAGTATTTATTCTGCAAATAACTGCCCAATCCAGCACCTAAACCCATTAGCAATACGTGTTCCCATGGATCTATACAGAGAGATAACAAAAGCAATAATCAGTTACACTGAGAAGGAGAGCGCAGACGGTAGCCATTTATTCTTCTGCATTGCTGAGGAAAGAAGCTTCCAGTGTTATAATGATGTATAGTTGTACGTACGGCGCATGTATGGGACCTTTTGCAGTACATTGCTACCAAGCTTAGTGGAAAGGCCCATGAGAGTGCCGACAGCAATGCCCGTAAAGCCCATTCTTGTTGCAAATACTCAATGATTATGCCCCAGATGAGACCAGCGGTCATAAATTGTTTGCATTTATATGTATATGATTGGTTAAAATAATAAATCAGGTGGCATACGCTATTTTCAGGAATGTTGAGCCAATGTCGCTCCAAGTTCAGACGACATCCACGACGGTTGGTTCAGCCTGACCTTAATACGCCTGTCACACATACGGCAGCAATGAGTGACATGGAAAGCACCACGAAGCACAGAAGCAACAACAATTATGAGGAGCGTATAAAGCATATATCGATCATTGCCAAGCCTTTAGCCACCAAGAAACAGACCAAGCGTGTTTATAAAGTAATCAAGAAGGCTACAAAGGTGAAAGGTATTAAACGTGGCGTTAAAGAGGTTGTCAAGGGTATTCGCAAGGGTGAAAAAGGTGTTTGCATCATCGCTGGCGACATTTCACCTGTTGACGTCATCTCGCATATCCCCGTGCTATGTGAAGAGAATGATATTCCATATATATTCACCCCATCCAAGGTATCCATTGGCCTCATACATTGCCAGTAGTCAATTGCTGTTTGTTTGACTATTGTTATTCTTGCTGTATCAACAGGTGGATCTGGGTGCATCGGCGTTGTCAAAACGGCCTACGAGCTGCATCTTGATCACGCCTAAGAAGGCGGGATTCAACGTACAGGAAGCCTATAACGAGCTCTTGGAGGACGTGAAGCAGGTCCAACCGACATATTAGATCATTGATGAATGCAGCCAATTGTCTGCTGCGTCTCGTCAACTTACATGTAGCACTTTATCACTAGTCTATGCAGCTTTATCTTCATTCATGCAGTTATGCTTCCACATTGAGCTCTCGATTGCTGAAAGACATAATGAGCACTGCTCATGGTGTCATTGTGTCATTGTGTCGAGACAAGAAACAAAGAACGCTGGCTTAACTCGTAGCCATTCATCCATCTTGATCTTGAAGCACGACGCTCTCAATGGCTGACGTTGCGTTACAGGTACACTGACCAAAAGTGTTCGTGTGTGTTGTATGTCGCATCATATACGCATGTTCACTCCACAGTAATATTGCAATCAAGTCTCTTTGTCATCGCCACGTTCGATAACCGTGCACTTCGCTTCAAACAAGTCGTTAAAAAGTTCACATGCGAGGTCCTCCCAGCTTGCAAAGTTTGCTGCCTGAGGGAAGTAGTGAAAGAGAGCCTTGGCAGAACGACTCGGATGCAACAGTACCAACTGAAGGAAGCGCTCTCGAAGACAACGCCGTGGTGGTGCACAAGTTGTCTTCTCGCGATGAATGTACTGTTGCCAGTATTCCGATGCCAGTGTCGTCTTCCACAGCTCGCGATCACAGTGCTGATAAATAATCACGTACATCATATGCAGCTAACGTCAGTACATCATACCTGCAACTTCATTGCAATGAATGTCACTTACTAAAGCAGAAAAGAAGACGGCAACGAGCTCGTACAATGGATCGCCCGTTTTGGCGTCTGCAAAGTCAATCACGGACGTCGGAATCCACTCATGTGGCCCAACAAATTTCTCCTTTCGCTTCGCTTCGATGGCGGCCAGCCCTACCGGTGTTGTGTACTCACTCTCATTATCGCTTGCACTGCTATCGCTGCTACTGGTCTCCCAATCTTCCTCGGCATCAAAGCGACAGGCGCTTCCATCATCTTCACTTTCCACAATACGAGCAGGAGTAGTGGAGTGCTTCTTATTTAAAATTGCAAGACGAGGTCCCAAAGGAATACCTAAATCTTTCAGATGAGCCTCATCAAGTAGCCTCAGCGACTCAAAAGTCAGTCCCTCCTGCTCGACAAGCAGCGAAATATACTTCTCGCACCCGATGGACTTTAGGAATGACGACAGGCCACAGTTTCGGTGTTCATTCGGCATTACCGCATTGTTGTTTGTGTGGTCATCAATTTCGGATCCGAGAATGTTTTCGTCTGTCAAGTCGCCGTGAAGCAACACAGGCTTTATCTCCATAGGTTTCACTGGAAGCAGCTGCGAGACGATAGCATCACTGTTTGCATCAGGGAGAAAGTGCTCGAGCAGCTTCATCAGATGCGCAGGAAGGTCACTTTCGACCAGGTGGACTACAAAGCAACATATCAAGGTTAACACTGCATATGAATGTGCAACACTCGCTGTACGTACATGACACGGCACGCTTCCTTTGGCGAAGCATGTAATGAATGTACCAATCCCATTCAGCTTTGCTGTGACCGTAAACCCCTTGAAATGATGGGTCGATAGGAACCGAGTGCAGCTTGGGCAAGAACTCCCGACTGATCCACGTGGCCACTCGATTCCAACTAGGAGCAGTAGCACCACCCTTCTTCGTGATCAAGTCGAGGCCAATAACGCTACTCTTGTACTCAATGACAACGTACGGCCATCGCCACATTTGCCCTTCTTCTTCGTCATCATCCACCTCATCCGTATAGAGAAGGTGCCCAAAACAATGCAAGTGAGGAACCATTCCTCGGAGCGACTGATGAGAGCGCTTTGAGCCCACTGCTGTTTCCATCATTCGGTAGACAGCCTTTTCAATGCGAAAGCAATCCTCCATTGCGTATCGTAAGGACATCGCATTTTTCAATTCATACGGCTTCAAAACGTTGAGCTTATGACGCTTTGACGGAAATTCAAACACGTTGTCGGTTGAGCCGTAATTTGGTGTCATGTACGACTCAAAGTCGAACTCACCCCATTTTCCGTTATACTGGCTAAAGAACTTTACTAGCAGATGCTTTCCCACCCCAAATGTCGGGTTCACGCGCGAGGTAAGACTCTTTATCTTTGGGTATCTCACTTTTTCCACAACTTTCTTAACTACTTCAGTAGTTTCTGGCAGAGCTAGCACTTTATGACGCTTAAAAATTCTTTTCACCTGAGGCTTCCAATACTCTAAGATACGAAACGATTGCTGGAACATGTCTTCACTCAAATACCCATTCACACGAGGAATCTGAACTAGACGAAAAATATCAAAGGTCTCCGGCCGTGTAGCTCGCAGTTTATGCTGAAACACTGTTAGTGCTTCAACTTGTCCATCATTGAGCAAATCTTTCATGAACATGACTGCATTATGCGAGTCCACAAAATTATGTGTGACTGCAATCGTGAGATCTAAGTTTAATACAAGGTGCCACCAGCCATTGGGAACGTATATTGTCTCACCCTCTTCTTGAATGATTTCAAGCGGTTTCTGATCAGGCGTGAGAGTGGGGTACACGTGCAAATACCACATCAGTGACGGCATGTTCAAGCCATTATCAAGGTACTCGCCATTCTTGCCAACGTTTACACCTGGTGGGAGCGAATTTGGAGGATAGATTGCCCATCGCTTTCGCCCCTTAACAAGTGCATTCCAAGCAGATGTTCTTGCAGGATCCTGATGCCATGGCGCGCCAGTGCGCTGAGGTCCAACGACAATCCAGCGGAAATCGGGCCTCATAGAACCTGAGACACGCTTTGTTTTCTTATCTTTACGCACCTTTTTACCTCCAGATTCTAATTTCACCCCCTTGGTAGGTCTCATTTTACTATTTTTATCCTCCTCTGGATCAGTAAGGACGCTTAGAAAATCTTCCTTAAACACCTTCAAGTCATCAACTCTGTAATCCTCGAGCATACTAGGCATCTTCTCGCCAAATTGTGCATCAAAGATATATAGCGGCGTCTCATCGTGCTGATTATTGGCGTACTGGAAGTAGTCGGCAAAACTCATTTCCATCGTCGAGGTGCTAGACACGATGTCTAAATTGTGCGTAATGCGATGCTTTACATTGGTTGGAAACCTGGCAACCAACTTCTCACTCGTCCACTACACACAACAACTGCATCAGCCATAGCACACCCTGTCAGCAGCTAACATCTCAAGACCCTTCTTACCTCCGTAGACGCTTTCCAGTTCCCGATCGCATTGCAAATAACAAAAGGCACTTTCGAATATTGTCTAGCAGCAATAACAAACATGACACCAATCAAAATCGTCAATTACAACCCAAGAATGACTAGAAAAAAGTAACGCCAACCCAACAACGTCGTACTCGTAAAAGTCTTGAAATGTCAGATCTTGTATATGAATCTTCTGTAGACGACGAATAGTCGGATCCACCTCTTCACTTGGTACTACAAAAGCATCTTCTAACTTCATATGACAACGACACCATCGTCGATACAAAAAGTCCGAGTGAAAGTTTCTGACAGCTAGAGGACGAAAACCATTCTTCAGTAGCTCGACTGGACGTGGATCCTTTGGATAAAAGGTCGTGAGTTTCCAATTATAATGAAAGGAAAAGTCTCCACCATGTAAGTGTAAACATTGTCCCATCCAGAGTGGATCTTCCTGACAAAAGACATAGAAAACTGTAGCCATATTAGAAATAAATGACCAAATATGGACATAGAGAATGGAAAAAAACAATGGAGAGAGACCGGAATTGACTTGCGATAAACGTAATAGATCAAGAGACTCGAAGAATAGTGTAAAATAAGCAATTAATTCGTCTGAAAAGCCTGTAAAAGCACTCGGTAGGAGCAATGGTTGCGTCAACATGACGTCTCGATCAGTCAATCAGTCAGTCGGTCGTGCGGTCAAGAGAGGAAATTGCGCACTGACTGACGTACGTCTCGTAAGGACGGTATTTTATTTTAACCAATGAGAGAGCAGAGTGAGTGAGTAATGACAAAAGCTGCAGTGATACAAAACATGTAGCCCCTCTCTATTTTGTTACGTAGGTTGTAATCACTTTCACGTTATTGTCTTCCTATTAGCGTTATGACGCGGTTCTTACATACACACGTACTTGATCCATTGACTGTAGGACCACATGTAGTACCGATTGCAAATGAAACAATAGACGATGAAAAGGAGGTCCATGTAACCAATTTACACCCAACTACTACTCCTAACGACGTACTGAAGATTACATCAAGACCATTAGTATCTGATTCAATCACTCGAAACAGTGTACCCCTCTATTCTGATTCGACCAGTGTACCCCTCATTTCTGATTCCGTCCAACAGCTTCAGGACCAGCTACAGCTACAGCATCAGCAGCATTCGACCTTGAGACGTTATGAACTTGAAGCGTTTACACGTTTTGGACATTCTCATCTATGGCAACTCATGATGTCTTTCTATGCATTTCAAGGTGTCAAGTCGTGGACAAAAGGGATTGTACCACATTTTATTACATCGAATGTCTTTATTGCAAAGCAATATTGTCATGTAGTACGAGCTTATTTACGAGATATGCTCACCTTGGAAGGTATTTCTTGTATGGATAGGATGGAACCATTTTATATTATTGAACTTGGTGCAGGATCGGGTAAATTCAGTTTCTATTTCTTACTGGCACTTACACAATTAGAGGTACAAGGTACAAATAGTTTCAAGTGAGATTGATCCACATCTATTGACACAGAGAGAGAGAGCGGGCTATGGATGCTGTGTTAGTGTCTTGTTACTTGACTTCTAATCTGTCGTTGTTGTCTTGTGTGTTTTTTTCTTTTCATACTAGAGTGTGTTTGAGTTTCCAGTAAGCAAGATTCGTTACATCATGACAGACTTTACCGAGCAGAATTTAAGTTTTTGGAAGACACATCCAGCTCTTGTACCGTTTATCAGACGTGGAATCATTGATTTTGCCATTTTTGATGCAACGCGCGATACGGATCTGCGTCTCCACTTGTCTGGTGACATTATACGACCTGGTGAGCTCTGCAATCCCGTATGTTTGATTGCAAATTATCTATTTGACACACTTAATCACGATCTATTCCAAGTGGACGGTGGTATATTGAAGGAAGGTCTAGTCAGTGTTGGTTCGAATCGCGATGAAGAGCCGGATCCGTTTGATCCTGAGATCATTATGCGCTTGAATAACACTTTCAAGTACGTGCAAATTGATGAAACGTACTATGGAGAGACCAATCCACACTGCAACAATATTCTCAAATGGTATCATGAATACTTTGACCCTGCATCGTCAGGTGCCACAATTTTGGTGCCTATTGGAGCCCTTTCAGCCATCGAGCGTCTCGCGGCGCTATCAAAGAATGGACTTGTGACTCTATCAGGGGATAAGGGAAACAACAATCCTGATCATTTTCGAGGAGTTAGTGACCCGCATATTGCTATTCATGGCAGCTTCTCTGTTATGGTCAACTACCACGCGATTGGTGTGTATTTTGCAAGTCGCGGTGGGTTTACATTGCACAGCCCACAAGAAGAAGCTAGCCTGAAAGTGTCTGTATTTGTCCTTCCAGCAAACGCAGCTGGCAAAGACGAAGCTACTAGCTTAGCAATGATGGATCTACATGGCACAGGACTGGACGAAACTTGTGCGAAGCGAAGTCTCCAATTTCCGCACCTTTTGACAGCATATGAAGGCAATATTGTGTCGTTTGGGCCCAATGATTTCTTTGTGCTGCAGAAAGCCACAAAGGAGGATGCCCAAGTTCCGAATTTGAAGACCGTGTTGTCTCTGATGCGTCTAAGTGGGTGGGATCCAGATGTGTTTTATAAGTTTCGCGATGTATTGTTGAATCAATCGCCAACTGCTGCTGCCAAGCTGAGGCAAGATGTGATGTACGGCATCCCGCTGGTCTGGAAAAACTACTACGCATTGGAAAAAGAGAAGGATATTGCATTTGAAATTGGGCGCCTCTACTACGGCTTGCATGAATACGACAGCGCATTGATCTTCTATACCTTATCTGTGCAGGAAATGGGCAAGCACCATGTCACAAGTCATAACATGGGGCTATGCTATTACAGCAAGAAGCAACTGGAGCTAGCGGCCACATGCTTTGAGGAGGCTTCGGCGCTTGACCGTTCGTATCAAAAAGCGGCTACTTGGCTTCAGCGCGTCCGCAAAGAGCTAGGTGTTGTGCCAGGCGATGATGGTATATCTGCAGTGCTCAATCACAGTTCAGCAGCTCACAGGTAATGAAGGCAGTCCAGTTGCAGGAAGACACCGCAGATATTATTGACCATGCTCGACCAAGCAAACGAAAGGCTAGCTTGAGCATAGCACATTGTGGAATTGCTAGTGAGATTCATTCAGAACAACATCGGTAACGTTCAATGAGAATTCGCATGCAGCTCTCAAATGGCTTGCTACTGAAGCATCTGATACAGTATTGATGCTTGTAGTGCAAGACACAGTTCGACCCTAAAGACTGGAATATTATTTGTAAAGCGTGTCGACTTCCACCGTCAACGCATGCTGTTTACCGTGCTAATAAGTCCATTACTGCTGCTTCTACGTTGACTATTGACGGAAATCTTCATGAAACCAGCACATATCGGTTGCCTACAACAAAAGATCTACTCGGTGCTCACGTGCTGTCGTCCAGCACTTTTTTGTAGTACACGTTCCTATTCTGGCTGTACATTTTGAGCTGCTGGCACGTTAAGACCAAATCATTTACTTGGACTGAATGGAGGCGGCATCACCAGTGATTTGCCAAGCAATCATCTTCCGATCATTGCCAGTGGAGAAGAACGTATTGCTTGGACCGGTAGTAATGCGCCGCACAGCATCCTGGTGCCCACGATTGAGATTGGCACCCAATGTCGTCTTGTACGCGAACGATGGCAGCTCTTTCACTGATATTGTACCATCCTAAAGCAGCAAGCAGTCGACATCAATACGTTAATAATACGTTTCAAATGTCTGAGCACATACAAATGTCATAGCACAACTCACCGCCATGCCAATAAGAAGAATTGGAGATTGTGCGGCATCCTGTGTGCCACAAAGTGCGGTAACTTGTGAGTCCTGCATCTCTTTAAACAGCTGCTGAAATGGTGGCGTGAGACTCCACACAATAATTTCCGAGTCCAAGCCGCCACTAATGAGGAATGTCTCGTTATTATTGACCCAGAATTCAAGGTCCATGACAGCTTCAGTATGACCATTTTCCTCAGCTGATAGGACTTTGACACACTGATAAGTAGCCAAGTCCCAGAGTCGAATTGTCGAGTCTACACTCGCTGATGCCAAGATGGAGATACCTCCGACTGCAAACGTCTTGAGTCTCGTGACACCACGAACATGTCCTTCCATGACACCACGACATTTGAATTGATTCGTGACTGTATCCATTTGCCAGTATCGAATACACCCATCGGCACTACCACTAAACAACGTTGCATTCCCCGTACTGTCCGTAGCTACTGCTAATGCTTGTACGTTCATCGTATGTGCAAATGGCATCATATCCGATGCTAGAAATTCAAACGGTAAAGCCTGTGGATTCTCTAGATTCCATCCTCTTACCATACCAATGGATACTTGATGATTTGATGGAAAACGACCTTCAAAACCTGCAAAAAGGAAGGGACCACATAGCACAAGTGCTACAACTCCTTCTGTATGAATCATTTTCTTTTCTCGAAACTTATGACCTTGATCTCGTCCTTGATCTCTTCCATTAGTACCACGAGCACCACCAGTCCCCCACCAGCAGCACCACCAGCAGTACCAGTACCACTTGTACTAGGTCCTAGACAAGATGATGTGATTGTATCTTGTACATGAATCGTTGTAATTTCTTGCCACGTTGCACAATCCCAGAGTTTAATACTTGCATCAGCTGAACACGTAAATAATTGTTGTCTCTCTCGCCACATGGTCACATCTTTAATTGGTCCATTATGTCCATGAGTTTCGCCAATTGTCTTGATAAAATGAGGATAACGACATGATCGTCCACCTGATGTTTGTTCAAATGTACATTTACCACCATCAAGATAACGTCGACAGACTTCATTACCAATAGAAGAAGAATATGAATATCCACTACTACGTCCAGTACTCGTCGTATGGTTAGTAGTATAACTATGATTACCTCCTCTTCCACCACGATTACTACGTCCACGATTACTACGTCCACCAAAACCTCCTTGTCGATTGGTATTATAGCTCATGAATAAAGGATTAAATGGAGGAGGAAGGAGGAGGAGAAAGGAAAAGGAGGAAGGAAGGAAGGATGGAAGTAGACCCTTTGGTTCGTATCAAGTAGTAGAGTATGGAGATAAATGGTGGGAAAATGGGTGTTTTTTGGCAGGTTTTGGGTAGCATGATCCTTTTTTGTTTTACACACGTCACAGTTTTGACACATTTTTCACATACATTTGGTACCAGTTCGATGGAAAAATGGTTTTTTTTGAATGGGTCGATTTGTAGGAAAACTGATGGTGATACTGGTATACTATTACATACCGGTACGTCCTGGATCAATCACTTTGATTGGATTTTGTCCCATCAACCGTCACTAGTACAAAGAAAGTACTGATTACTTTCATTCTCGTAGGTGTCATCATCACGCTCTTGTTTGTATCTGCATGTATGATCAGATACAATCAATGAGTCGATTGGTATACTACAAGAACGAACCGACAAGCAATTGACAAGAATCAAGACTAAACATAAGCAATTGATTAGTTTTCCATCCCCCTATTGAGCATTCTTAAACTAAGCTGGTTGGGGCACGACCATTGATAGGTGTTTCAGCCTCCATGTAGGTCGTATGGTCCTCGTCGTGAGCCTTCATTGTCTCTCGTTGGTGCTCCAAGCATTTCCAGAACAAAGGTATTGTCCCAAGATAATGCAGTGTTGCAATGATCATCAAGAAGAAAGAGGCCTTGTAAGACGTGTCATCCTCTTCGCCAAGTGGCTTTGACTGAATGATCCAGAGTATGATCGTCAGGATGGATGTCAAAGCCGCCACACCAACGAGAAAGTAACCAGCACCGGTCCACTTTTTGTTTCCTTTGCTGCACGTGATTGCACCCACCATCGCAATGAGCGCCATGAGACCATTTGATAAGCTCATGCCACCAGTCGTCATTGTACCCATACCGAGCATACCGCATGACTTGTCCAAGAACTTGTCAAACTCTACCGCGTTCATACCAGCAGCAGTCGCGAGTACAGTCGAGTATGCGAATTGTTCTGCATCGCTCACGTCGCCTGCATTGTCATAGCCTTTGCATACACCATCGGACGTGTATTTTGACCACAATTCACTGTCAAGTACTGACAGATTATCGCCTAGTGATCCAAACTTGTAGTAGAAGCAATCGTCGAAGGACGTGCCATCGGTCATTTCGGTATCAACACAGAATCCCAATAGACCAGCTTTAAAGTTGGTACTGGATATAGTGCTACTGTACGCTGAGTTGACAGTCTTATTGGATGCCCACATTGGAAGAATCACTGCGACAATATTGTAGATCGTACCAAAGGTGACCATGGCAATGGCACCGAGAGCAAACTTGTTTAATACCATGATACGGACGGATACTATTAATATCTAATGTAGTTGGAAAAGGTATGACAAAGGTATGATGATGGTATTGTAGTAAATTGAAAAGTGAAGTGGCAAGTAAAATACCTCTTGAAATCGTCTGACGTACTTGTTACTGTTATTATTAACGGGTAGAAAATCGAGTAAAACGTGCAATCAAACATCACCTTTGAAACGGTGTAAACATTCACTGGACAGTATCTCGGTATAACCGGTAACTTGTGAACAACTCGAAACATCATACAAATCCTATAAAACAAAGATGGCTTCGAATGTTCAACGCTGAAAAGCGCATACAAAAATCAAGCTTAAGTGTGTTTCTACTGCAACTACAACTAAAGATCTGCGTTTACAAATACCTCACTGTCATCAACAAGATGGCGATGCAGTAGAATGCATCGTGATGTCGTCATGTGAGGTTTCAATTGTGGTAGCGAGTATTCTAATGATTCTTGTTACACTACGATCACACGACGATATGCAGGACTTCAGTGCGTTTCAAATAGGATGGATAGATGGATACCTTTTGAAACTACACGAGTATTGTATTCATTAGCAAACCACTTTGTCGGCGGATACCGGTACATCTCTGCTGTGATTACCTTACTGTTTGCACCCAGCAATTTGTTGTGTCCTTTGGGTGGATTTTGTTTTCGCAAGGCTTGCGGTTAGACAAGTGACAGTAACAAAGAGAGTTCTGGTTACTGCTTGTACGAAAAATCCAGTATGATACTGGATTTTGGTACAGTATCCACCGAAATGTATGTGCGAAAGAAAATACCATGAACTTGACAGCCAGCTGTACAACTTATTGAGTACAAGTCATTTCATTGTAGTAAAGCAAATTTGGTGGCACTATGTGAGCAAGATACAAAGGTCTTATTGGGAGCTTTACCTACCTACCTACCTGACTCAACAGTGTTCGTTCGTTCGGGGTTTGTACCTATAATTGTAACAGTTCTGTTGCTGACTCACAACTAATCCTAACGACAGCTCCATGTCATCGCACGACACAAGTCAATAAAGATATTGCATTCTTCTACAAAATCGCACTACGTTCTTTGAAATCAGACAGATACAGCTTTGCTCGTCCAAGCAGCTCAATAACTCAACGCACGATTGCTCCATTTTGTAGATAGCACAGACGGTCAAGCGTTGGCGTAAGGATTGCATTGTCATTCCATGATTGTTCTCTACGTCGCTGATGATATCATTTACCGCGACAAATTCTAGAATACTTGGATTCCTTCAGCTTCGATTCACACACCACCATGACTACTCACGGACATAATGCCACCAGATTCTAATGCTAGCTTCGTATCGCCGTGATAGAACATTAGCGTCAAATCACCGGCATTCGTGGAACAATCTGTAAAACCATCTGGGATCACCATGTCCACCCATCACTTTGCAATACCCACTGCGTGTGCAAGAAGACCAATAAATGACCAGCTCACTTCGATCACCACTTGCGTTTTCTTGCCTTTGCTGTCTCTACGTATATGAATCTCGAGAGCTCGACTACTTTCCACTTACTTGCATGCTGGCACTTGACGACTTAAGGAACGTCTTTCAGCAGAGACATCACTATCATCATTATAGCTTTGCATACGAAAATTCTGAGAGATATACGCTCGCTTCTACACAGCGACTCGATGATTCTCTACTTCAGACGTGTCTTTAAGCTCCTTTGGCTCAGTTGGTAGAGCGTCATCTCATAATCTGGAGGTCAGACGTGTCTTTAACGTCAACAGGTACAGGTCCAGCTTTTATAACCCTTGTATGCTCGTGCATAACGCGGTGACATGGCAAATGGCAAAAGGTACTGTAACATACAGAAAGGAGCACGTCTAGTCAATATTGTCGCAATTGTAGGTGTTGTTGAGTACCTGACTCTACAGACGAAGCACTAGGATTTATATCTCTCTACAACATACAGTCTAAAGATTGTAATGCGGTTGTTCATAACGGGGTATTGCAGTCAGGTTTTCCACAAAATTGTCTTTCGGGCTGCAGAAGGCTTCCATCTTGCATGATTGTGGCGTGTTGTTTTTACTCTGTCCTTCCCTCGAGTTGGCTCTCAACATTTGGAATCAATTGCTTGTAATTGTGACCTCTTTCGCAGTCGCCTTGTCAATCCTTGTTTATGGTTAGCGGGGTTTCATTTTGGTTCAAGGTCGACTTCAGTTCTCTTTGCAGTCGTGTTACAAGCCGACTAACAAACTTGAACAGTCTTCTCACAGTCTGTTACATGGAATGTGTACATCCTCTCCTATACAGCACATATCAATGGCAAGTTAGTTCGTTGACCACTGTTTTGACGTGTCATTTGAAACTATCTCGTTACAGGTATATATGTCATTTCCCTGCTACCTGCAGCACTTTCAAGTACTGCACTTCATCGTCCTAGTTGGCTGCAACTCAAGTATCTTGGTCGCACTCATTCAGCATGTTCCGTGTCTAGCATAATGCCACGTATCTTACGTAAGGTGGACCCAGGCGTTGATCTGCTGCGAGTACCACACTAGGTGGACGACACTCATCCAGTAAAATAAAAGGCGTTACAATAAATACAACATGCATCCAGCAAACAGTCCTGCGCATTGTAATCTTCTCTGCTTTTCTAATGTTCGTACAATCAGTGCATCTCGAACAGCTCTGAAAGTTTTCTCACTACTGCTTGTAATTTATGGCCATTCATTTCACTGCCCACGCGTCCAAACATCATCATCAGAGTGCTGCTTGTCGTAGACATAGTAACGTCTGTCATGTTGGAGGTTGTCTGATACAACATACTCACTCACTCATTGTACAACAAACTAGAACACCAAGTCACGCCATGAATTCTCATTCAAAAGAAGCGTAAACCCCTTGTGTGCATATCGCATACATCTGGTCTCGTTATCTCGAGTCTGGATCTTCTTCTTATTATTATAAAGCCGATGTTTACGATGATGCAAAGGTTGTGCTCCAATTGCATCTTCTACTCGATTTTCTTCATGAATGATATGCTAACCCAGCTCTACGCGATACTTGTCACATGAACTAGGGATTAGCACTACAACTAACACCAAACTATGCTTTCTCTACTTACTACTTTCCCCTTCACACTTTTTAATTTGCTACGCCTTTCGCCCTTCGTGCTTTGTTATTTCTCCATCTCGCTCCATACAAAAGCCTTATCAATTCACTTGTATCCATCATGGTACTAAACAAGTTTGCTCTCGGCGCCATTGCTATGATCGTCCTTGCTACAATCTACAATATTGCTGCCATTATCCTTCCAATGTGGACATCCAATACGACTGTCAACTCAGCGTACAGCGGCACTATATCCAGTGCAAGCTTTAAAGCTGGTCTGTTGGGATTTTGCTTTGATACCGAAATGACCGATGGCACGTCCTTCGACGATTGCTTGTACTACAAGTTTGGATCATTGGACGATGATTTCTCAAAACTGAATAGCGAGATATGGTCAAAGTACGCGTCCGATGGTGTATGCAAAGGCTATGACAATGCAGGCGACGTGGGCGACGCAGAACAATTCGCGTACTCAGCTATGCTCGCGACTGCTGCCGGCATGGACGCAGCACAGTTTGACAAGTTTCTGGACAAGTCATGCGGTATACTCGGTATGGGTACAATGACGACTGGTGGCGTGAGCTTATCGAATGGTCTCATGGCGATCATTGCCATGGTAGTCGTGATTACGTGTCGCAAAGGAAACAAAAAGTGGGCCGGCGCTGCTATCTTCCTTGCTGGTGTGGCTGCACTTGCGGCCATGGTGACGATCATACTCTGGATCTTCCAGTCAAAGCCACTTGGTGAAGAGGATAACACGACTTACAAAGCGTCGTTCTACTTGATGATCATTGCAACGCTGCACTATCTTGTGGCAATAATCTTGTTTTGGAAATGCTTGAAGCAGCAACAAGAGAGAATGAGGGCACAAGCGGAAGACCACACAGGCTACAGAGGTGTGGAGACGCCAAAGTTTGATGAAAGTGCCCCGGTGAATCCTGTCTAGTACTCGTCCATAATTGATTGACCAAGACTGCGAAATACAGTTGACGCTTGTTCTATTGCCTTTTGTTAGTCACTTGTTACGGTCGAGCAGCATTCTATGACCATCTTCTGTATTTCTCATTCTCTTACTTTGTCGTGCACGTTACAATCCCCATCTAACGATGTCTGGTACTCTTTACCTTCCAATTGCTTCATCTAGATACAAACTGAGTCTATGGAGATTCCCTGCATCTTGTTTTGATCGTCTGAGAAGAACAGGCAAAGCAGCAACAATGAATAACCAATGACTACCGGTCTGTTCGTGTCATGCTATATATTGCCACAGTTACGCGTGCATAGTACCTTTGCCCATAGCGTCTACTCTAAGGATTTGTGTTGAACGTACTGTACTATACTATGCTACTGTTTGTCAACGCATTCCACGGATGTGTACTGAAAACATCCGCTCGTGATAGTACGTGCTTTATTTTCGAAGCGATCGACACTTAGCATTAACAATCATGGAAGAGAGAGTGACGTAGATGACATTGACTATACTTAGAAATGTCGTATTCGATGGGCATGTTTCTACTAGAGCATTGAGATCTGCATCCACAATCAATGTCCTATGGTGTTGTAGAATCCTTTGAAGCAAGATAGTTTACGCTAAAACACAATGCAAATGCTACTCGATTCTTAGTGGCGCCCCAGTAGTCGATATGGTCTTTATAATGCACCGAGCAAGTTGTACAGGAGGGTGCACACAACGACACATGTATCGACACTGCAAGACCTGGCGTATGAAATTTAATCACATGATGTATAGCAGTCGTGTTAGAGTTTGCTCAGCCGTAATCAAACAGTTGGGTTCCCACGTGGATTTGTGCTTTCATGGCTGAAACTGGCAGTGACATAGAACAAAGCACCTCTACATTCCCTGCTTGCGATGTCTACGAGGGTAGTCATGATTACTCATGGATGTATCTGGTAAGGAACGATGATATTCGCAAAAGCCTAACTACAGAACTCTCACTTTTCCTTTCACCACTGAACCACGGACTCCATCTGCAGTCTCGTTTTGCAAGATGTCGATTTCTAAACACGGATATGGAGCTATCGCTATGATCGTCGTCGGCACGCTTTATAACGCCGTTGCCATGATACTCCCCATGTGGACCGCAAACACCACCGTGAATCCCGCGCTCACCGCTGTGGTGGCGAGCACCAACTTCAAGGCCGGACTCATGAGCTTCTGCATCAACACTGAGCTCATTGAACCAAGCACCACGCTCGACCATTGTTTCTACTACAAGTTTGGGTCCGGGTATCAGGACCTCTCTGTCATCAATGAGACGATATGGGCCAAGTACTCGGAGTATGCCACCTGCGAGGGCTACAGCAAGGCTGGCGATGTTAGCGACGTTGAACGTATAGCATACGCATCGGTACTGGCGACAGCTGCTGGTATGGACGCGATTCAATTTGACAAGTTCCTGGACAAATCGTGTGGCATACTTGGTATGGGAACGATGACGACTGGTGGCATGAGCATGTCAAACGGTCTGATGGCGATCATTGCTATAGTCGGCGCAATCACATGCTGCAGGGGAAACAAAAAGTGGATTGGCGGTGGTTTCTTCTTGGCTGGTGTGGCTGCCTTTACGGCCATGCTGACGTTCGTGCTATGGATCATGCAGGCAGGACCGTTGAATGAAAAAGACGATGCGTCTTTAAAGACGGGATTCTTCTTAATGATCATTGCAATGCTGCATTATCCTTTGGCAATGTTCATGTTCTGGAAACACTTGAACCAGGTCAATATAAAGAAAGACGTGGAGAATGCATTTGTTCAGGAAGCTTCAGATAGCCAGGGCGGTTCGCGGGCGTACATGTAGTTCGATAGAAACAGTGTCGGTTTTACAAGGTGACTATCGTCTAATTGAAGCTGTTGTCTCATTGTAGCTTTATACTAAATAATGTAACAACGACAGTACAAAAGTGCACGAAAATCGATACAATTATTGACATGCGTGTCGTTATTTTAGAGCTAAACCTCTTTTTTTTTATAGAGACGCAAGCTATTGGGTAAAATTCGATGCAAACAGGGTACCCAAAATAAAGTGGGTCTAAGATTATGCCATCGACCAGGTGTCGCTGCGTTTCAAAGTCAATTGCACCATGGGTCTATATCCTGCATCGAATGTTTACTCATCAAAGGTTATAACTGAGGAGCAGGTGGTTTGCGATATTCGTCAACAAACGGAATGTAAAGTCCATGATACTTGATCCTGCGCCATGTACTTGCACAAGCATCTGTTACGGTCATCTTCTTTCGTATACAACACTTTAATTAAATTGGCACAAAAGAATTGGCAGTCACCACGTGACGTTCAGAATGCTGACATGGATTTTACGTCGCATCTGTTATTCTGAACAAACAAGTCTTTAATGTTAATGTTTGCTTCCTAGAGCAGTATCTCTATACGCATAAGACTCAAATGTTGAAATATGTATAGTAGTGAAAGTCTAAATGTTGACAATGGATAACGCCACTGATCATGACAGTTCTAACAGTGAAAAATAATAATATTCAAAAATCATTCTTATCTAAAGTAACGATAACAATAATTCGAATCAAACCCTTGAATAACAATATCTTATCGCTACTTTTCACCACACAAATGAAGTATTCCTCCGAGTTTAACGAGAAGCTCAAGGCAGCAGAGAATCGTCACACACGTGACGCTTGTCTCGAGTTCCTGCAGTATGTACGAAAAGAAAAAATACGTGAACCTCGTGCAGTTGTAAACGTTGGCAAGCTATTGATTACAACGCACCAATGGAGACTTGGCGATGAATGTATGTCATAATGAATGATAGTGATGTGTTTAAACGCTTTTACTCGTTTGTCTGATGTGATTGGTTATTTTTCTCTTATAGTATGGACTGTATACGAACAAATGTTTATGGCTGCATTGGATGTGCATATGAAGGAGCTTGCAGAGGTGGAGATGGAGTGTTTTGATATTCTTGATACTATTCTTACGATACACTCATCCACATGTGTGACAATGTGTTGAAACGGTTTCGAATAGACGTGTTTACAAGCACTTGACAAGAAGTTTCCAGGCAGTTCTCGTGTTGCAAGATTTAAAGGAATGCAATTGGAGCAGCGTGGAGAATTTAGGAAAGCACTGGCGTTGTATGATGAATTACTGCAAGTTAATCCCGTAAACACATTGGTTCTGAAACGAAAGATTGCGGTGCTCAAGGCACAGAAGAAAACGTCGGACGTTGTCATTGCGTTGAATGAGTTTCTGCGCAGGTTTGGCACGGATCAAGCTGCTGTACGTGGTGGTGCTACGACTGCTACTTTAGGTTGCAAAGGTCTGTTGACATTGTAGGTTCTAAACTGTTGTTTGTGATGTACAACGTGTTACTGCAGTGGACGGAACTGGGTGAGACGTACCTCTCGATGGGCACGTACCGTTACGCTACTTTTTGTTACGAGGAGTTAGTGCTGTTAAACCCCATGGATGCCATTTTCCACAGTCGTTTAGCTGACGTACGTCAAGCTTTGAGATGTGTTGGACGCTTTGATTGTTAATCCTAACCAGTCATGGCTACACTTTGCAGATTTACTCGACAATCGGTGGACTGGACAACTTGCTGAAAGCACGCAAACATTATGCGCATTCGCTTGAACTGAATAAGAAGCAAAATTTGCGTGCGTGCTTTGCGCTGGTAACATGCACGAAGGCCATTGCGTTGCAACGTGGCTACCGTGCCGACCAGGATGATGATGGACTCAATGAGCGCTTACAGAAGTTTGCGCTTGACTACATCCAGGACATATACGCAGTGCAGTCATCGTCTGACCTCGCCGAGATAGGTAAGGCGGACATAAGCATTTAGGACCACATTGCGACCTTCATTTATTTAACCGGTGACATGCGTTGTTTGACTTGTTCTAGCGGAAACTACACTCATGGCGCTTTAAGAGATGTTAGAAGATGTTCTCAATACAGAATCCGACGACAAACGGTTGAGGAGGTCAGATTGGTTCATGTGTCTAATCAGCATGAGCTCGGTGATACAGCTAGCTTGTCTGCTTCCATAAGCAAGCGCTTAATCTCTATTGATTCTCCCTCTCACATTAATCCAGCGTGCGTGCTGCTCCAAATGCCACCGCAAGATCTGGATCGATGTCTGAGAGTGGCGCGCGACCGTGGAACATGTCAGTAAGACGCTTACGCACCCACGGAATACGCGAGGAGCCCCCTACAAGCACTACGGCATCGATCTCTTCAGTTGCCATGTTGTTGGTTTCTAGTACTTGACGCACTGGAATCATCGTGCGCTCCAACAATGGTCTACAAAGATCCTCAAATTGTGCTCGTGTGATTTTCACTTCAGCTCGGATACGGCTGTTTGCCTGCAATTGCAAAGGTTCTGTCCATACGCAGGAGGCGACAGCATCGGAAGCATCGGTAAGTTGCCTTTTTACGAGCTCGGCAGCATAGCGTACTCCAGCCAGTGTACACGGCGGGTCCTTTTTATCGTTGTCATAGCTCTCTGTCTCGGTTCCACGCGACGTGATCGCAGTTCCAAGCTGTGCTTCGAATTGCTTTACCAACCAAGCGGCGAGACGTGCATCCACATCCTCACCCCCCAAATGGTTATCTCCCAGTGTGTCAAGCACATTGATCGCTCCATTTCGTGCAAAAAGCAGTGACACGTCCAGTGTGCCTCCTCCAAAATCAAACACTAGCAAGAAACTCACATTTGGATCCTGATGTAGCCCATAAGCAATTGCTGCAGCTGTCGGTTCTTCCAGCATACGCGACACCTGCAATCCAGCCAACCGAAATGCCGCCACTGTCGCATCCCGTTGTCTCGCGTTAAAGTCCACTGGTACTGCAATTACTGCTTTCGTAATCTGATCGTGACCAATAAAGCGATGTGCCAGATAGCGGAGATGGCGTACAATTGCACTACCAACTTCGACTGGAGTCACGCAATCAGGTTGACCGTCGACGTCCACTCGAAAGCATACTCCATCATCATTATCATCATCTGGAAGCGCTTTGACACGGAATTCATACGGCGTCACACCATCGGAGTCAACCATCGAGCTCACAACCTCTTCATACCTGCGACAAAAGAGGTTTACTATCATATTAGTCTTCTCAACCATCTCTTTTCTCTCCTTCTTGTTCACTTGATACTTGTCGCACCTTCGACCGATAAAGCGTTTAGCATTGATAATAGTATGTTGTGGGTCTTTAATACGATGCGCTCGTGCGTTCCGACCGATTAGTATTTCTAAAAAATAGTACATACAAGTACTATTAGACGAACAACTAATACAATAAATTACTTACGTAAATATATCACGGAGTAAATGTAGAAGAAGAAGAAGACGACAAACCTCCATGGGACAGATATGCAACGGTCGATGGGACTAAGATATGACCCTCACTGTCTGCAATTGCAGTCACGTTATTCTTGTGAGCAATGGCTACAACGGAATATGTCGTGCCCAAGTCAATACCGACCACTAAATAGTACAATGTGGTTAGTAATAAATAGTAGTAGTACTATATCAGTAGTAGTACTATATCATCAGTATCTACTACACATGTATTAATATGTTATTACGTGACTGTACCGTGAGCTCTGCCAGTGAATCCGAGACGAGCAAGAAATGCTGCAACTACAGCAAAGACACCACAAAGCAACAGCAAGAGAGACCCGATATTGACATGCACTGCTCTCGAGGTTGGAACACCTTGATGGCTGTTCATCAACGAGGGCATGGTACGTCAGCAATAGTACTTTGAGACGCGTACAAAATTCTGAACAAAACGATGGGCAGGAAATAAGTATTATGTAGTACTATTTGATAAAATAATAGTACTTGAGCAGTAATATATTGTAAGGCAGCAATCATTTGCTTGCATTAGAAATACGTATTTTATTTTATCTTGCATTTTTATCCGGCACCAAAGCGCAACTCAATGAAATGTCATTATTCATCATCCAAATGTCATCGTATTTAGAAACGACACGCTGACTTTTTCTATTTTCTCGACACAGACACAGAGTGATTGTCTTTTTTTACTTGAGACAGAATGCAGGTAGCAGCTACGTCCAATGATTGACCATTGGAACGCCGAGGACAAGGAATTACTGGACATTCTGCTTATGAAAGAGCCAACCGAGGAGAAGAAGGAATTGTCACAGCCACAGGATACGCAGCTATTTACAGTATCATTGTCACCATCTTCACTGTTGATGACAACAAGAGGAAAAGACTCTAAACTCTTACGGCGTCTGAGACATCGCGAAGTCGTAAAGCGAGCGTATCATCGCAAGAAGGTTATAAAATGTTGGTACATACGATATTGACCCTAGTTGGTGCTGCACATATATATATTTGCCAATAGTTGGTACTTTCAAGTGATCAACTTTTGACATGTGTGTCTTGTGTTGGTGTCGTAGGCTGCACTCAAGAACTTACGTGATACCGTGAAGGAATTGGAAGAGAAGATAGAAAAGCTCTCATTATTCAAGCACAAAGATGTGACGTTGATGCAGAAGTGTCAAGCCATAGATCAGATCCAGCGACGATATGAGCTACTGACCACTGAGCAGGAGGAGCTGGGCACGGAAGCAGCGAGACTGATGCTTGTACTGAATTATAGACATCAAGTTGCTACCGAGATGGTGACGTTGGTCAAGAGATCCGTGTCCATTTCATCGGACGACTTGTATCATCCAGACACGGACTCAGACACGGCGATGATGTTGTCTACCACCTCGGTAGACGTAGCGTCGTCGTGTCGGATGCATTTTGATGTAAACACACCCATGGTCATGCCCGAAGTGGTGGAATGTGTCCCCATTTCGACCCACCGATGGCTGTAGCAATGCGGAAACAGCTGGTACAAGCCACTGGGCTTTAGTGAGGCGACGGCACTTGTGAACGAGTCTTACCGTTCCATCTTGGCGTTCTCGTTGAAGTGGCAAGACTATCAGTACTAGGGCCAGTATCATGGGCTGGGAGGATAAGCGGCTGTTGGAAGGAACGAGCCTCAAGTTCTCACTGCGCAAACAGTTTCCTGGACAAAATGCTTTGCAATTGATGACAAGCACGTGGCAGTGCTTGTCGGATCCGGAGTGCACAGAGACCAAGTTCCGTGGTCTCATGACTCTTCGCATCTTACAGCGCGTGAATGATGACACCATTGTGGCGTTACGCGAGTCTGAGAGCGAAGGTGGATTGAAATTGTACCGCTGCGTGTATTTGTTATTTCGTGTGCGCACTCGCAACGGGTTTCTCATTTGCGTGCAGTCGGTGGCACCCGAACGTATCACTGACTCTTTGCTAAGTTGTGTCAGCCAGGACGGAAAGCTCGTGCAGTGGACAGACCTGTCAGGTTGGTTTGTGTTTGAGCCTATTGCTCATGGAGAAATGTACGATGCATCATTCTACCAGGAAGGTGCACAGGTAGAGTATGGTGGATGTATGGACTATGGCGACCACGAGTCAGTCGCGACTCTTGCGATGAATACGTTATCCATTGTATTCAAGTGGGAAAGCATGATGGTTGGTCCAACCTTCAGCTTACCGTCATCCTCATGGTGATCTCTACTTGGCTTTGCAGTTGTCACAATGACGAGATTATACTGTTTGGGTTCTATATTTACTGCTAGAAGGAATGGAGCTACGGTACTGATAGTGGAAGTAGTAAATTATATATTATACATCACGTGTAAAAGAAGGCAAGAATCGAATACAACAAGAAGGAGATGGAATCTCATTTGTCAATAGGAAAGTCATTCTTCCATGAATCTGAAAGTGTTTCAAGTCTATATGTATGTGTCTGAGTCGTCCTACTGTCTGATGGTTACAGTAGGTTTTTTCTATATCGTATAGCAAAACCATGATTTTCCGGCATTACGTATACTCAAGCATCAAAAACCGGTACAAACAAGTATGTTCTGTGTGTTGTTGTCATTAAGTATCCATAATGGTGACTAAATTGGATACTTAAGACAAATCGAGCCAACTCTGTACATCAAATGCACCACAAATTGCTCTGTACATGTAGTAACAGTCATAATACCTTCACTCTTGCTGGCCTTTATGCTACTACAGTTAACCCTGTGTCATTTCTCTCCCCATAACGTCTTCCTCTGCAATACTTTCTTTGCTTTTTTTCTTCCGTTACATTCATGCAACAGACACCAATGAAAAAACATCATGTAACATTAGATGACGTTGAGCAACGTATTGTACAGCTTAATGCACACTTACCACCTGATGCAAAGCGTCGCATGGCCAAGGCGGAATTTAAACGGCTTAAACATTGCGAGACAGTCCGCCAATCACGTGTGCGCAAGAAGGTATACCGATGATGTATACTTGATGTATACCTCCTGGTGGCTATATGATGTATACCGGATGTATATATCAAGTAGTATGTTGTATCCATATTGTATACATACTTGTAGACAGTGTATGCTTTTATACGGATATTAATCGTCTATCTGTCTTTGTTATTGTATGTAGAATGAACGGAATGGATTACGAGAAATTAATGAGCAATTAGAGACCGAGTTAAGTACGATCCTAACCGTCTATCGTCAACAGCACAAGTGGATGCAAGAGGTGGATGAAGGACAGTCTCATCAAATCAAGGACAGTCTAATGAAGAAATTTGTATACTCAATCTATGAAGTTCGTGGTCTTCGAAAAGAAAATGCCGACCTTCGTGATCAATTTCTCATTTATGATGCACTGGGAGAACAATTACAACGACTACAGACTGATTTTCACATTCCGAGACAAGTTGAAACGCGATTGTCCATTGGAACAATTCATGTTCAACAACTTAGTGTCGAAGAGGCACGAGGAATTATGTTGGATTCCCATCAACAATCGACGTCCTTTTTTGAAACAATGCAACGGATTGAGACAGATGAGAAGGATAAAACCATGGGCTGGACACATCATCAACGGATTCTGCCAGATGGACGCGTACAGTTTAATTTTACAAAGAGAATTCATACCATTGGCACGGAAGAACTTGTGCACAAGAGCTGGGAAATGTACTGCGATTTTCGTCTCTATCACGGAATCTACTCGTCCGTACAGAAACTTGAGATTTTGCAAAGGATTAATGAAAATACGCTCTTGATTCGACGAGATCTGCAGGAAGGTAGTTCGGCGCCAATCTTTCGCACGGTATTCCTGCTCTTTCGTATCCGATTGTCAAATGGATACCTTATCTGCTTTCGATCTCACAACCCTGCAGTATGTATTGAGGACGATGACGATCCGAATGTGCAGTGGATGGAGATGTTTTACTGGCTCATGATTACAGACGTGCCAGTTGAGGAAGTGGATGAAGGTGTTGTGAGTTCGTCGAGACCGCCAGTACAAGGATGTGACGTATCATTTGGTGGCAATCTACTGAATAGCCGTAGCGCCCATCACGCGACGATCTGGAAGTATCAGATCGCCATGGCATTGCTGCGATGGGAAAGCAATGCTGCTGCGCCATTATTTACGCTCTATGGATAGTGTTTCTCGAATTGTATCAAATATTTAACGCTTCAGTCGTGGTGGCTGAATTGCCGTTGGTAGCTACGATAGCTACGTGTACTTTGTACTGTCCATTTTCAAGCGATGCGTGGAACCCAAGACAAAAAAAAAACAAGCAAGTGTCAAGTGGTCATTTGGAGAAGACCGATATCAAGCGTCTTTCGTGAGTCCATCATGCACAATATCGTACTAAGGGTTGATTGGAGCTTGCTCTTCTGCCGCAATCTTCAAGTGATTGTGCGTTTGGCGTTGCCAATTGATTCGCATACTCAACGCTATTGCTTCCTCTTGTATCATGTACGGTAGAGTTTGTCATTCATACATGTGTGTGTGTTAATATACAACAAAGTCTCAAAGCAAAGCTTGTACCCGCTGGCTGCATGTCTAGTTTTTCTCAATCTCAAATCAAGCTGCTAAGGTTTCAATCCGATCGGATCAAGCCTCCGACATTCTTCAGCTGTATAATTTGTCCCATTCGTTTCATCACTTAGCTTCATCTGTCACAAGGTTCGCGGTAAGGAACCGTATCGGATACGATCTCGAGGTTTTTACATATGCTGTTCAACATGTAGTAACAAGGAGGTGCAGGAAAAATGAGAACGTGCATTCGTGCACGCTCATAAACGTGGAAACGTCTTCCAACGAAGCGAAAGCATGTGCAAATTCAAGGATGGATCAAGCTTCAGTTCCCTGTGTGTCAACTCGTACTCTTGTCACACATATCGCCAATATGAGGTCGTGGAACTTTGAATTGTGCATACGACCATGGTATATCAATGCTTCAAGACAGAGATACACCGATAAGGCCATCACATGCGATAGGTCATACCAGCAGATCAATTACTACTGGTTGTAGTCAACGTCTGTCACTCCCGCTCTCTGGTTCGACGCACCTCAAAACCTGAATTGGTTGGCTTTTTGTGACAAAGACTTGATGCTATGCACTTGAAGAGCTCATGACTCGACTCCAGATGACTTTGTATGTGGTGACTACTGCCTCAACATCAAAGCTCAAACGAATTGCAGTCCCCAATTGACCAGCTCATTTTCAATTCCACCGTCTTTGCCATAGGTGCCTCTGGTTCATCGTCAAAGCTCTTTACTTTCCAGATTGACAACCATTGCTCAACCATGTTGAAACGCCCTTTTCTCACTGGTGAAGACTACAAGTCAGCGTTTAACCTCTTCTGCTGCATCTACGGTATTGGCACACTTGGTATGCCCGGTAACTTTGCTCGCGCTGGTCCGAAGATTGCCGTAATTGCCATGGCGTTTATGGCATTTGCCAACATCTACTCGTCCATTACAATGTCGAAAGTGATGTTACTGGCCCCCAAGTCCGTCAAGACGTTTGGAGACCTTGGAGAATGGAGCATTGGCATGACCGGTCGGTGGTTATGCACTATCTCACAAATGGGTTCTTGTCTGCTCATTCCGTGCGTGTTTTTGGTTCTCGGTGGTCAGTTGCTTGATGGACTCTTCCCCAATGCTTTTAGCCAGACTACTTGGACTATCCTCATGGCGCTCATGGTCTTACCGGTGTGCCTAGTGCCGACGCTTAAGGAAGGGTCAGGAGCTGCATTTGCTGGTTGTATGGGCACAATCGTCGCCGACGTTATTGGCGTCACAGTCGTGATCTATGGCATGCGTGGCCATCCGAGCGTACCGTTCCCAGACCTCAAGTTCTCTCAAGTCGCTAGTGTATTCGGCAATCTCTCACTTGCCTACGGTGCCGGGATTGTTATTCCAGACTTACAGCGTCAACATAGCGACCCCACTCGTATGCCTCGTGTGGTTGGATTGACTGTTGGCTTTGTGTCAATCCTGTTCTTGATCCTTTCCAGCACTGCTTACTCAGCTGTAGGGTGTCAGATCTCGGGGAACTTGCTCTTCACGATATACCCTGACAAAGAGACAGGCATGACACCGCTTGGATTTGTTCCAAACTGGGGCATTGTCGTGCTCGCCTACTTGTTCATGCAACTCCACATAACGATCGCCTTCTTTGTCATTCTCAATCCAGCCTTCTACATTGCTGAGCGTCTGTTTCTTGGCATGCATAAGAGTACAACGGATGGCATTGAGATTGAAGACGGGTTTGAAGAGAACACAACGCCTGTAAACGTGCATGGCAAACAATCGGATGCAGGGTTTTCCAATACCAATAATGACACCTTGTTCCAACGGAACCGCCGCTCGAAATTGTCGTATGTGTCGGTTGCTGACTCGGAGCGTGTGCATAAGGACAATGAGGAGGAAGAGGCTGCCGAGTACACTGGTTCGAACGTATTCAAGTACGTTGCTCTCCGTGTTTTCATTGTTGCTATCCTGGTTGTTCTCGCCATTGTGTTCAAGGATCATTTCTCGGAGTTTGCTGACTTTGTTGGCGCTTCGTGCATCACAACGAATTGCATCTTGCTGCCGATTATCTTTTACCTTATCAAGACATGGGATCGTGTTCCAATGTACGAGAAGATTGCTGCGATTATGGTTGTTGTGGTTTGCTTTGTGCTTGGATGTTACGTCACGTACACGACCGGTAAGGCTCTCTTCTTGCCCAAGGAGAATGATGTCGAGTTTCCATTCTGCAATGCCGAGTATGAAAACACAATCTACTACAACTACACGGCCGTGCACGAGGCGTAGGAACTTGAAGAAACATGGTGCGTCGAATGGGACACTAGGAAGGCATTCAACATGTACACACTCTTACATTCTTTCTAGTCATGTGGTTCTGCTTGCAGCGAGCTTGTACTTGGCGCGCCAGCAAACGTTGGTATTTGAATGGTAATCTACTTTGATGTGACACTAATTGTTGTTGATACATGTATGTAACGGTCTACTTTATCTCTTGACATATCTAGACTGACGCTCTTCCAACATGACGTGACGACTGCTATCCTTGGCTCCGAACCAACTTCTTCTACACTTAGTTCGATGCGATGCAGCATTGTCAAGCACTTGCGTACCATAGCTACCTTGACCTCCTTTGTTTGCTGCTGCTGTTGTCGTCGTGTGTTTTTACTTGTCACTGGAGCATCGTCAAACCATTCACGCATCTTCTCTTATGGAATCGCATCCATCTATGTCTCGTGTACAGCCGTGTAGTTGTAGTAGACCGTGTTTTCAAACTCTGAAGCGCAGTATGGAAAGTCGGCGTCGTTATGAACAGGAGCCAAAAGATGTTTGCCGGTCGTATACGAGACGTAACATCCAAGAACAGAGCACACGACTACCACAATACCACCAGCAACCTTTTCATAGATTGGAATGTTTGCCCATGCCTTCATAAAATAGAAAATGATAGGCAAAAGAATACAATTCATCGTAAGGCATGACGCACCAACAAAGTCGGCAAAGTTGGCAAAGTCGTCCTTAAAGACTATAGCGATAACAACCAGGATAACAACGATGGTAATTCGAAGCGCAATGTACTTGAATACATTGACACCAGTGTACTCGGCTCTCTCGTTTAATCTGTTGCTCATAAAATCATGATCCGAGTGAAAAGACGTCTTGGAGCTCCTAGCCGGGGGATTGACACGATTGTCAGTGGGTGTAGTATGCTCGTCAAAATCAAATCCATGGTCCATGTCATTGTCTTTCTTCTTGTGCATTCCGAGGACCAAACGTTCAGCAATAAAAAAGGCTGGATTGATAATGACCGAGAAAGCGATTGTAATGTGAAGTTGCATGAACAAATAGGCAAGCACAACAAGGCCCCATTTTGGTTTAAATCCGAGTGACGTCATGTTTGTTTCGCTGTCAGGATAGATCGTAAAGAGTAGATTGCCCGAGATCTGACACCCTACAGCTGAGTAGGCAGTTGTTGAAAGGATTAAGAAGAGACACGAGATGAAAATAACAGTCACCCCGACAATACGAGGCATTCGACTTGGATCACTATGTTGCCGTTGTAAGTCTGGGATAATAATTCCAGCACCGTAGGCAAGGGACAAGTTACCAAACATATTGGCCACTTGTTCAAATTTTAAATCAGGGAATGGAACAGCCGGGTGACCTCGCATGCCATGCATGACAAGAGCGACACCAAAGATATCGGCCAGAATTGTACCAAAACAACCAGCAAAAGCAGCAGCTGAACCTTCTTTTAGTGTTGGAATTAAACACACTGGAAGAACCATTAGAGCCATAAAGATTGTCCATGTACTTGGACTCCATGCATCTGGAAAAAGACCATTGAGTAATTGACCACCAAGGATTAAAAAGACACAGGGGAGGAATAAGCACGACCCCATTTGAGAAATGACACATAAATACCGTCCAGTTGTACCCATACTCCATTCTCCAAGATCACCAAATGTATGGATGGATTTAGGTGCAAGGAGTATCACTTTTGACATGGTAATTGATGAATAGGTATTAGCAAATGCCATAAAACCTAGTGCAAGACAAGCAAGTGTTGGACCAGCACGTGCAAAATTACCAGGCATTCCAAGTGTACCGATTCCATAGATACAACAAAAGAGATTAAAGCTCGTTTTCAAGTCTTCTAGGGTAAGAAATGGGCCTTTTGTCATCGGAATAGGTCAAATATGAAACACACGATGAGGGTAAAAGAGTCAAATGAGAAATGATCAACTGAAAAACTAAAGACGAAATTATTTTGGCGATGAGGTATTCTTTTTTCAACGTCATAGATTAATAATAGCATTGATCTACACATCAGAGCTATACATGATGACGACCAGATTGTGTTCGGCTGCATTAATGGCTTCAACAGTGCGAGCTTTTTGATCTTAATCAAGAAATTGTAACTTCCGGCTGTTGCTGGCGTATGACAGATTGTTAATACTTAATACATGATTGACTGACATAGAAGAGGATGGCATCGATATGCAGTGCAGAATTAGAACATTAACTGCGAAAGGGAAGGCTACAGTGGGATCAACAAGTTGCATAAACCGGGCCGTCTAGACGGCAGAAAGACAGTTTTAGTTCTAGCTATGTTAGAGGAGTGTATAGGAGGAGCGAGAATTTTTTTAAACGTGAAATCCTGGGAAGATACGCACAAATCAAGAGGTAGTCATTTGAGTACGACATGAATGGACACAGTGATCGCGTCGGTAGTTTGGGTGCGGTCTCGCACAGCTTTGTGCGAGGTTGATGATGGACTTTTTGATCCTGACTTTGGAATGTCGCATTGACAAGAAGAGAAATCATCTGCTGGAGGTTATTAGAAATCAAGTAACTGGACTTTTTGAAACGAATCATAATGCTCATATGAACTTGTCCATCTTTTGTAACTGATACATAAACGTTATGTGTTTTTGCAGTTAGATTAGTTATAGCATGCGACTGTGATAGATGACGAAGTCGCAAAAGACGGGGAAGGATAATGACGATGCCAGTCAATCCACAGGACAATGTAATTGATGGCGTGACCATTCCAGTTCTTCTGACATGATCATGTTCAAATGCACGATTCTAATGTGGTCACAACTTGATAGAAAGCAAAAGCTGCCAAATACACTGATGATTGGACGCACATCGTGCTCGAAGGGTTGTGATTACTCTTGTCACGGATGATCAATCTCGTCTTTTATCTGTTGCTCAAAACTGCTTATTGACTTAATTCTTGGCTTCAGCAGCCAAAATGATTTGTCTGCACGGTGTGCTTAGACATTCTGCACGTGGCCCAACCTTGAGCATTCGCTTGAGCAAAGCAGCCTCGAGGTGGCCCAGACTTATGCGTTTTTGCCTGAATGAAGCAGCTTGTAGCTTGTATTAGTGTACTCTATGCTATTTTAACGCGTTGTTGGCTCTCTGATTAGTGTTTGTCACTGGCTGTGCGGGGCTGCAACCTCGTTGCTCAATGCTCAATGTGAAGCGTCAGTCAAGTTCGCCTCATTCGTATAATGTCAAATCAATAACATACTTAGATTATTGTTGTGGTCTCTTGTGCACTTTGCTGCAAGTCGAGTGTCGCTACTTGAATGTAATTGACAGCCTATCAACTTCGACGTGCTTATTGAGAGACATGGCAATCTATTGATCTTGTTAACATCAATTGAATCAGTGCTTGGCGCTTCTAGCACGTGTAGTATCGTGAAGTCTTGACAACCTCTCTAAGTGGGTCTAACACAGAGACTGTGTGTGTTATCCTAGAGACACCAGTGGTCACAGGATACATACAAGATCGTCCTGCTTGCTCAATAATCAGTGCAAGTCCACAAACGAGCTTAGTGGACTCGCTGCCAAATCAAACTATGCGATCATCTCGCAGTACCTGAGCGCATACTTCTTTGTACCAAAACCATAGAAACGTGACAGCCAGAAATTGCCAACTCGCATGGGCGGCACATCACTGTAGCCAGCTCCCGAGTCATTCATTTGCTTCACTGTTACTAGTGATGGTGTGTGGTGCACATCAATCCATCAAACTTCATATGTTAAGACAACCTTTACGTATTTTGTAATAATATAGTGTCGTGATGTACCGTTTATGTTTGAGTCACGAAAGCATCCTTAGACATTGTCTTGAATGCATTCAAGCCTTAACACCTGAAAATGTCGTCTTAGTATTGAAAACGATAGATAGAAACAAGTAAGAAACGCCACGTATCGTTATTGGATACTGACGCAAGGACATTGAGACATGAATTGCATGCAGTTGTGGTAGCAATTCGATTTTTCGAGACATCATTTTCATGGTATTTGCACAAGTTTTTTGGGACTTGATTAAGGTGACTGAAAAAAGGACTCACGTTCTTGCTTGGACTGATGAGTTCACTTGTTCACCCTGACGGCTTGTTGTATGAGCTATCTCGACTCTACGTGGATACGTCTTGAAGCTTAGAGACATCTGCACATACAAACTCGCTTGACGAAGCTTAATATGGTCTTGAAAGTCAGTCATACAGACTTTGTGTGTAGGTTCATGCATTTGACACCTGTAAGAGGTACAGTTTGCAGAGCATGAACAGCTCTGTAGATTGTCAATCGCTTGACGTGCCTTTGACAATACAAAGCATAACACTGGGTAGTGTGGTATCATGCGACGATGTCGTCAAAATAGCCTCGAAGCTGCATCTTTGAGTAGTGGACTGTTATTGATTTCGTCGACGCACCATGGGTCACATGATGCTCAAGAATTGCTCGCTATTATGCGTTCTTGCTGGCTTATTCTACGATGAGATCATGCTGCGCGAGGTCGCATCCAATCCAGACGTGGGTAAGGGTGGACGGTACGACTGTGACGTCCTTGGCAACATCGAAGCAGTCAAGCCAATCAAAAGCTCCGCATGTGAAGACTTTGAGCTGAGATCATGATTCCTTGATCATTAAATGTTCTTGTTCGAAGAATAGCTGCTTTTAGACTGCACCACAAAACCGTTTAGTCGAGATGACGTTGCTTTACTACCCTAGCACCAAACTAAGATGAGCCAAGTATAGTATTACATGGTAAATAACCATATCAAGTAGAGTAAGTTGTTGCCTCATGCAAAGGACTATAAAACTCAGAGTGTAGCGCAGACACGGTCGATGTAAGTAAAGCATGGTGAAATCACAGCAGAGCCTACTGTGCTTCATCCAATATAGTCGCCAGTGTCGCACTGACCCTGACACCCTTTCGTGAAATGGTTTCATAACGGTCACATAGCGTCTTGCTTGAATCTTTACCCATGATGGCCAATGCACCAGGTGATCAGGTCAATGCCTCGAGTGCCTTTTCGACCGTTAGCTCAGCCGTCAGCCTCGAAAAATAGCTGAGGATCAAAGATCTGTAAGTAGTGGTCAAGAACGTTGGCGACGGTGTATTGTTGCAAATCCTTCAGGTCTCGCGTCCTTTCATGATCGCGCTGCTCTCTTCATCAACCATAATCAGATTCACGTTTGTGCTGGTGATAAGAAGATTCCACGAGCCCAAATTACTTGACTTGCACATCATAATCCAAGTAGACGCGTTTCAGCGACACAGCTTAAACTTTTCTCGCCATTAAGAATGCTCTACATTCAGCTTCCTGAGCATCCGACCCTCACAAGTGACAGCAATTCCCCATCGTCACCTTCACATAGTTTACAGACGGGTAAAGTGGAACATTTCACGGAACTTCTGGAGATTGGATCGCCTTACGGCTTCAAACATGACATGCATGTCTATTACAACTTCCAGGAGGCGAGATTTGAGGGCATCCCGGACAACTTTGCTGACTTTTTGGTCAGCGGCACAACAAAACGAAGTCGTGCAAGTACGATCTGTGCATTGGATACGACGATGTCTCAAGACTCCAAGAGCATCAATCTGACCAAGCGGACACGCACAAGCTCAGCTCCGTCGGGAAATTTTTGTTTGTATAGCACGACCAGTAGTCTTGACAAGAGCCCGGACCTTTTGCAGACACTGAACCAACACTTCCAGCTGCCATTTCGACAGGTTCCACGTGTCGCCGTCCCGGGCTATGAAGAACGAATACCAGCTGTGCTGGTCATGCTACAACAACACTTTTCAGTAAAGCATGGCTATCTGACGCCTCATATATTTCGTGAATCACCTAGTAAATCCGAACGCGACCAAGCCTTGATCGATATCAATTGTGGCACCTTTCGAGGAGCTACGCAGGACGTCCGAGTACTAGCTGATCTGATCAAGCTTTGGTTTCGAGAGCTACCACTACCTGTTTTGCATGAAATTCCTATAGGTGAGATGGAACGTCTAGCGTCGGTCCAAAATGTCTACGCAGAAGTGCTGAATCTCTTGAGTAAATCAGAGCGCAGTATTGTGCTCTGGTTAGCTGATCTACTATCATCCGTGGCCAAGTACGAGCCACAGAACCATATGGGCGTGGATCAGCTTGCGATTGTCATGGCACCAAATCTCATTCGTATTGAGACAAAGAACCCGATGGTAGCTGTTACTGTGTCAAAAGCTGCTGTTGACCTTTTTCGAGGAGTATTACGAGTACGATTCCAGCATTGTCACGAATTGACCAACCTTTGAACCGATTGACAAGTAACAATCAAGATGTAATTGATCAAAGGCGTAGTAAGGAAGTAATACACAAGAAACATTGTAATGGTCGTAAAGGTGTTATTCAAGCATATCTCATTCTAGTACGAATCAAGATGTATCAAGCTCTTTTTCATAAATTTCGAGAACAAGAGTAGGGACTAATTGTTTTGCGTCGAACGTGCGAACAGAACCCATTCAACCTCAAACATTCACGTTACATTATGTAAATATTCCATTACTTATTGTAAATATTCCATTACTTATTGTAAATATCTCCTAAACCTAGTCGAATATTAACTCGTATCAGCAGCAGCATCCTTCCTCCATTCCTTCTTCTTCTTCTTCATGTCTTCCTTACAGCAAAAGAAATGTATGGAAGCACATGAACAATTCAAACAAGCAGAAAAAGCACTAGCCAAACGTTCTTTCTTTCGTCCTGCACCTGATTATCTGGTCGCTGCTCCATTGTTTGAAAAAGCAGGTGAATGCTTTCGACTTGGTGGAGACTTTGAAGCGAGTAAAGACGCTTTTCGACAATGTGCCAATGCGCATCAACATAATCAATCCTACTTTCGGGCGGCACAAGCATGGGAGAATATAGCCAAGACAGCATTACAACAGTCTCAAGCTCAACGTTCAGAAAACAAACCTATTCAGACTGTTCAGGAACGTACGATAGAAGCTCGTCAAGCTTATGAAAAGGCTAGTAGTCTCTATGTGGAAATGGGAGAGCTAGGAAAAGCTGCAGATGCATTATTAAAAGGTGCACAGACTTGCGAAAGTCATGGATGTAGTAGTCTTAATCTCGACGATCTCTTGCCTCTTTATTGGCAAGCATGTGATCTACTGGAAGCACAGGATAAACCTCATTTTGCAGTTGATACGTTTCGTAAGACACTGAGCTTTCTCGTAAAACATGGAAAATATATGGAGGGAATCAAGCTATTGGATCGCATGGTTATACTATATCAAGCGATGGATCAGTCTCATAATGTACACAAGGCCCACTTGAGTCAAGTGATTCTCCACCTTGCAGTAGGTGATGTCCCTGCAGCAGATGCACTCTACTCACGTTGCTTGCAGGACGATTCGTTCTTATCCTCAGATGATTGTGCACTTGCAGAGGACTTGGTACGGGCATTCAAAATGGGGAATGAAGATCTCCTGCAGGCCACCGTGCGCAAACCTGGTTTCATGGCGCTTGACAATGAGACCGGTCGGCTCTGCCGTAAATTGTCCGTCTATGGATCAGAAAACGCTGCTTCAGCACAGCCGAAGCGCACCCAGAAACCTGTTTCATCGCGTGCAGGAAACATGCACCAACAACAGCAGTCAACGCAACATAATCCGGTTGCGTCACCAGCACGCGCAAGTCGAGCCCAACGCAATCCGTTTGCGCCTTCTTCGAAAGTACCAGCTCAAGCGTCTTCGCTTCACTCGGAATACGAGTCGTCCGAGACACCGACAGCGTTGACCACTGATGCGCACGACAGTGACTATGAAGCTGCGCTGGCCAAGGCCCTTGGCGAAGTCGACGTGTCAAAGAAGAAAAAAAAGCTCTCAGCACCAGCATCGGCCTCCAAGACCAAGCAGCATGCATCGCCGACGCCTACTGCTACATCGTCCAGATTGTCGCCAAACCTGGCCTCATCTCCGCCACCTGCCGCACAGCGTGCTAGCAATCGCGTGGATTATGAATGCGATGGTCTCGAGTTTGCCATGTCGGATTCAGACTTGCTTGAGTTTTCGATGAGCGACTCAGCACATACTGGCACAAATGACTACTGTGATTCATTTGAATCGGCTACAGCACCTGCTCCGAAGGCGAAAGCACCAGTGTCCAAACGTGTGACTAAGGCAGCAGCTCCTGTGTACGATGAATTTGACTTGACATAGGCCTAAGCATGATGCATGAAGAGAAAGCAAAAGTGTTAGCGTGGTGTCTACTAGGTAATGATGTTTTTATCTAGCAAAGCTTGAGTCATTTTGGCAGCTACACCTTTAGAAACACGGCAATAGAACAGAATCACGATGTTAATTGAGATGTCGCGGACAAAACACAGTTCCTCTCGCCTCGCTCGCTACAGAGGTTTTGCCCTAGTTGACACGGTGTTACAGCCGCCTCCAAACGCTTACTTTCTGGCCTTAGTGACGGTTGTTATGGAATTTGTAGCAGTATAGAGACATGGGGCTTTCAATGACGACTGGCGCTGCAACGATGATGACATGCCATTGTTTCATCCACCAAAAGCTCAGCAGCGCTGCGCCATTCAGAAGTCGAATGCTTTTGATGAAGAACCTGTTACGCTATTGACATGTAGCATTCGTGAATAGCAAGACAAGTTACCGTCAAACTAGCAAAAGAGACCGCTGAACATTTTGTTGAGTTCTCAGCCTCGTTGACAACGATGCTGTCCCTATTCAAACGCTCTCGACTTGACACAAAGCAGAGCAGGTGGCTTTCGGTGGTGAAAGCAATCGACAGGAGTGTAGATACATATGCTTGATGGTTTTGCGTGGTCTTGTGCTTGATCGGAATTGCTCCGGATTCAAGTTGACGTCAGTTTTTGAGAAAGGCTGAAGTAGAACAAGCAGCATGAGCACCCCGGATACCGTCGGCCCCATGGGTCGTATCACTACGCCGTCCTACAATCACGAGCTAGCAACAGTGAGAGCAGGAGTGCGACGAAGAACTGCATCGACGGTGAGACGCAGCTACGATGCGTCCATTGTTGTTTTGGCTTTAGAAAGCACGGATGGCACTGATCACCGTCAAGGGCTTTCCACCTTTGATATGTGTTCACGCACTGTCATTTCTGCAGCAGAGCGAATGGTGAGTCTAGTACGAGAGCCTCAAAGTCTGGCCGTGGCTATCGCGTACGATGAGTGTCTGGATATTATTACTGCAGCAGTGAATCAAATGGAGGAGACTGGTCCACAAGGAGTGATGCATGAACACGTCCTTGAAGTGTATCAAGCCATGCGCAGTATCCACGAAGTACTACGACCAAGTTCATCCGTTCGTCGAGCTTTGCAGTTCTAAAACCATTTACATTCAAGCATTGTTCATGTCAATTCATACAAACTTGATTCACATTCTGTCTCTAGTGCAGCAAGATGAAGCTAGAAGGAGTCACTATTGATTCTACAGCATCATTCATTCCAAGTCGTTTGACATTTTGTTTGTACGTGTCGTGGCACGAAGAAATGAATTGATGATGCTAAGGTTACAGGACAACCTTTTTGCGTGTAAGACAGACGTGATAGCCACGACACTACACTCTACTTAAGAGCACAGTATAATGATGTCATCGAGTTGATTTTTGCTTGCCATAGGACAAAGTTCACATCAAATACAATATGAAAGAGCTTTTCCGTGTCCAGTAATTAGGTAGCCGAAAGAGAGACATGCCATATATGGCTATCGATACCCGTTAAGGCTGTAAACTGAATCACTCAACACCTTTGACCTCACTACCATATACAACAACTCTAGATTACGCTACCAGCACCAAATGCTTCCTCAACAGATTCACAACGCCGAAACGCCGTCGGCATTACAAACGACTTGACGGTATCAGCAACTGACATTGCGCCTCTCGTGGCACTCACGGATACAGCCATTTTGCCGCTTTTATAACAACCTTTGCACAGCTGCTGCATTCTTGCGACAAAATGTTTGAACATGTAGACGTAATTGAAGCTTGGGCGAACAGTTTCTTGCAGTTCACATATAGGTTTTGCCTTCTGTTGTTGACGCTCGCTTCACGCGCAATCAATCGATCATCAAGAAAGTCGCAACGTTAGCAAAAAACGTACGTCTAGCATAATGAAGATGTTTTTTTGTGGCTTGTAACTGATACAATTCGTATTCTTCAGAGCCTCATTCATTGTATAATGGAAAGCAATCGAATACTAGAACACTTGGCGACCAGATGCTCTTGAGGCATTGGATGGGGCTTTGTATTCAAGCTAGTATGTCTCACAACTCTGTTGTTAACAATACAGCAACAGCCTGCTTCGGATCTATTATAGAGCGCCAAAAAGCAGTATAATACAGTCGACTTTATCTAGCAAGGTTCATTTCTATTTATCGATGGAAATGTAAAGGACCGAATGTTAATATTCGCCTTTGGCCGTATCGTACCACAAGTGACACAATGACAGGTCTGTTCTTGTTCGTAATTGGTACGTTATATTTCAATGATTACTACCATATGGAAACCATATGGCGTCATGTTTTGAATCTTGGCATGAAACTGCGTGTTGACCTTTTTGACCATACGAAAGTGCTACATCTATGTAGATACCACTGGAAGCTGCATAAAAACGCATTAAGCTGCGCAAAAACTATAGATTAGCGGATAGATTGAATACTTATTTCTCAACATCCACGTTCCAGCACACTTGCTCTCTCTCTCTTCCAGGCTCGCACACTCACTCACTCACTCTGTCCAGGGGCGTCCGTCCTCTCATAACAAACTACCAACCTTCCTGACCTTTATGCTTCCATTTGACTTGAGGGCATCGACTACATCCATTTCCATGAATATCTAGGCAACAATCACGTCTCAATTGGTTGGTTCCTCCTGCTGTGTCTGTGTATCCTCAAGGCCCATCAGATGACCATCCAGCATTGCAATAAACCGTTCGTACTCTTCAAGCTTTTGTTTGAAACCCGTCATCTGTTCTCGCAGTTCATGCATCTCCTGTCGCACATCCGCGTATTTCTTCTGCAGTTCCACAAGTCGAGATTGTTCAATCTCTGCTGTATTGGATTCGACTTTCACCGTAACGTTCCCCCCACTCTGTTCTTGTTGTTGTTTATCTTGCTCTTCTCGCATCAATTTAGCAGAAAAAAGTTGTTTGTACTCGAGTTCAAGTGCCTGGGCAGTTGTCTGTAGTTCCAAGATATTTCGCTTGTCGAGCAGAAAAAAAGAATGAAAAAAACACAAAGCATGGTTAGTAAAATGACACCTTGAGTTGAACCTCATTGTACATCTCTCTCTCTCTACCTCTCTATCTCTTGTCTCTATACTACCATATCCATGCCTACCTTTTTCCGTTCACGGGACTTTCGCTTCAGATCACGTTGTTTGCGCCTTCGTTCTGCTTCTGCAGCGTCCAAATCTGGAATTAGTTCATTGTTATTTGTAGTAGGCCGGTGACTGGCCATTTGCTAGGTCAGTCTCTTGTCTGAGAAAGTAATAGAATGACCAATATGACGCCACTCTAGGCTGTTCCAGTGTCAGACATACCCAGGTGCAACCGAGTCGCGGAAGAAAAGGACGTAGTGCTCGTGTAAGACGTTTCGCATGTGCTTTAGCAGCGACTTGTAACACAAAGCTGTGCATTCGTTTACTGCCACTCACAGTGCTTTGTACCAATATGAACACACAAGCTGGCTTCTCTCTATTAGCATTTGGCTCATAATGACAAAAAATACTTGTGATGTGTGTTGGGAGATTTGAAAACCCTCTATCATTTAATCCACGTTTGCGCGTTTTTATTGATTCCTCCATGTCTTGTGATTACAAGAGCCTGCATAAATCAATAAAGAACACACCAGTCATGAGATCTTGAATCAAATCATATAGGCAGGAACACCGGCCGCGTTTCTTTTTTTCCACCGCAACGGCTCTTGTAAGCACAACCCACCCCAGCCTAAGTGTCCCAGCTGTTAGGACTGAAATTTATTACGAGATATGCATGTTCATGAGCTTGGCACACACACACACATGAATCACCGATAATATACGAGAAAATCCATGAGCTTCTGAAAAGAAATATCTTTGGAAACGACGATTGTTATTAAACTATGAAAAGAGCTCGAACCCACTGATCTGCAAACGTCATAGTAATGCTATGATACTAACTATAAAATTCATTGACGAATAAATGTATGGTCGTATACTTAGTCGTAGATTAAAGATGCCCAAAAATATTGAAAAGGACATTTTGACTTTGGTTTGAAAAAAGGTCCTTTCGTTGAAATGAGATTGAAACCAAGTGTCCATTTTTTCACGTCTTTCTGTTATGTAATGGACTGCATACTCTCGCTACATGATCATGTCTCCAACCCATGCAAATATGAGAAAGTAATGTATATCGCATATAGTATCAATAGAAAGACGCATGCAAGTGGATAAAGCCTCCAGTGAGATAAAACCAGCACCAGTACGACGAAAAGCAGTACAGCAAAGAGAATACCGAGTGCAAGGTCCACGTCGTCTCCAGACACAATCACGGACTCATTGTAGACGAGGTTTGACAATAGAAAGGGAAGACCGAGTCCAAATAAAATGTCAAACACGTTGCTTCCAAATGCATTGGACACGGCCATGTCACCGTGTCCACTACGAGCCACGAGGATAGAGCTCAATGCATCTGGAATGGATGTCCCTACAGCTATGATCGTTAGACCCATGAGCGCAGGAGGGATACCAGCAGCACATCCAAACATTGTTCCAAAGATAACCGTGTAATGTGAAAGCACACCAATCCATACGATCGAGGCCAAAAAAGTTGCAGAAAAACCCAAAGGTCCAGAAAACACGGGGTCACGACAGTCTGGAATCGTTATGCGTGCCAAAGCCACAATGGGCCACGTAAACACAAACCACAGTTTCGGCAGAATACCTGCTGGTGGAACCAGTACTTGATCGAAATACTTTGCTAGTGGCTCCTCACCAACTACACCAGCACGTACGTCGTTCAATGAATCATCTTGTGCATTAAGTTTTTTCTGACAAACTTCGCGCTTCCACGTTTACGGGTTGGTTCGTAGAGACAAGGTCTTCCTGCGCTTCGAACATACCGTCCTTAGATTGCTGCAAATTTTTGTCCTGCTCATTGACGAAATCATGTTGACTGCCCAAATGTCCCTCCTTGTCCATTGACTTTTGCACGTCTCCATTCGTCACAATCACTTTCACGCCCGACGTCAATGCAAGCTTTTCCCTTTCTTTTCCTTGCTCTTCATCCATCTCTGGACGCTTACAGCATGAATCAATCACGCGCTCGTTGATCGCCATGTATCCAATGTAACTTGCGTATGAGCAGACCATGATCACAGAGTCGAATATATCAACATTGCCGTCCCATACTGCAAATACCAGCACCGACATAGCCCATGTATACCAAATCAAATCACGAAGCAAAGGGCGCCAGTCAAGCTTGAGCACTTGGCCCGCCAGTAGTCCAGAGAGTGAGATGATAATGAGAATGTTAAAAATACCTGAGCCCACGATAGTACCGACGCCTAAGCTCTCTGCAGGCTTTTGAAACACATTGTCCGCTAGTGACACAAACAGCTCAGGTGCGGATGAACCTGCAGCCATGAACGTGGCTCCAGTGACGTTAGATGGCAGTCCTAATTGGTGTGAAATTTTCTCCAATGCCGACACAAAGTAGTCGTCACAGATGATGGCAAGTGATACAAAGATATAGCCCATTGCCATGAGATTTAGCACAATGCCTCCACTTGTTTCCCAACTTGCTAATTGCCCACATGAGTCCAAGGAAGAAGAAGATGAAGAAGATGAAGAAGATGAGCCTTCGGTTAAAACACGAGAGACCGTTATAGGCTCAAATAATACACGATGAGTCATACTCACTAGACCAGCAATACAGCCAAGGACGACAACTACTACACCCACCGACTGTCGCATTAGTCGCTGGACATGTCGACGACGAAGTAGCTGCAGAGTCATGACAAGGACGTCGTCAATGGAAATGCGATATTAACGGTTATGAAGGAGGAGGACTTATATAACGTTTAGTACATCGAGATGTGACGTAACCTTCAAATCAGAAGAATATGTATTTCATTACTATCATGATTATTATGAGAAAACTCTTCAATTAAGAGGAGATCTATGATCGAATAAGGTTTGTCAGTTGTTGCAGCATCATACTGACATTCATAAGTGCTCAATGTAGCTGTTCGTGGTGCCGTGAGTCCATCGATTTTAATATCAACGCAAATGCGAATGCATAGTCTTCCTGACCAGACCATGGTGTTATAGTAGAACCTGCTTAACACGATACTATGCAGCTAATTGGATTGCCTTACTATGTCAGTTTATACAGAGTTTTAATCTCGAGCATATTCGTTTGAACAGGATCTACCGAACGATTCACACAAAAATACCTTCTTTGATTTAAACAGGTAACCGGTAAGGTCTCCCGCCGTTGAAACTGCACATCATTTCTACATCATGTCACCGCCTCGGATTCTTGCTGCCTCTTGTCCCACTTTTTACCACAGCCCAATTACACTCGGTACTATGTGCAACCACTAGACAGCGTACAATTGTATCAAAGTAACAATATGAAGTGGACAACCTATGAGACGAGATTGCTATACATGACGTTCCACATCCGTCAGACTGGCTTGTTACCATAATGACGGACAAGATCTTCACACATGTGGCAACAAAAGGACTGTTTAGTCGGGTTGTATCAAGTCAGAAAGTCTACGTATTGTCGTATCAAACACATTGGTATGTATGTTTTGCATCAAGATGGAGGTGATAGATATCCTCGTATGAAGCAACTAACAAGAAAAACGATGGCGGCGATTCCATCGTGAATACACGCAATAAATATGTGGCATGTTCTCTTACTTTACGGCTTTGATTGTCCCTATATAGGCACATTCCTTGGCATTGCAGTCTTGTCACGCTGCCATCAACACTAGTTGCATCTAAACGCCACATAAAACCAACGTCATCTACAGCTCTTTTTAACGTTTCTGTCATGCTGGTTGTCCTGATAATTTCATTCATTCATATATTGTCACCTCACCAAACAATTTCGTGGTCCTAGGACGTCGTATCCTCAATTTTCTCCTCTTCCTCACCGATACCAACCGATCGTCGACCCGATCGACCTGATACCTCGTTCTTGGGAGTCGGTGCGACCAATTCATACACCGACCCGTCATCCATATCAAGCGTAAAATCAGACGAATATGGCGATACAACCACTGACGGCGTACTGGATTCATCCACGCGGTCCGTGATTCCCACCACGTGAATTTTGAATGGTACAGTACAGGTCGTGATTGCTCGATTGATTGGCGTTCGACTCGTAGTTGCAACAGTAGCTACTGCTTGACCTTGGTGACATCGATTCTGCTGCGTTGCTCGAATCTGTGCTAGTTTATGATGCAATCGATTGTCTTCACCATCACCACGTTTAATGTCCTCACGCCATGACGTTAAGCGTAAGGACGAACGCGAACGTCTTGACTGGTATAAACGATACGCTCCATTGATACCCACTCTCTCTCGATGTGGAGGTTGCTCGAGTTCTCTCAATGTGCGCAAATCAGCTTCATCATAGTACGTACGTTGTTTACACAAGATGCTCAAGTGCTTACAGCATAAAATAGCCCGTAGCCATTCACGAAAGACCGTATTTTTCCACACCATGAGCAAAATGAATGACACGCTAATCACTAGAAGTGAAGTGAATATAATATATTGCATAAAGCTACGGGAAGTGTATTCATTCGTGTCAGCCATGGATGATAGATAGTATGTTATATATATGTATGTGTTGGTCAATTGAGCGAAAAGTTTGAAATCGAGGAATGAAGTAAGAACTATTGTTTGATTCCGAAAATGGCTTGTGCTATACCACCGTCAAGAGCTTTACTCAGTATGCAATTACAATGTAATAGCTGGTCAAAGTAGGGTTTTTAGGCCCAATAGCATTCCTAAGATAGATTCGTTCATTTAGAGTAGGCTGCCAAAAGGTGCACCGCATGGAGTCATGCTATAAAAGAGGTTTTTTTAGGTTCTACAACGACATAGCAAGGTAAGTAAAGCAGACAAATGATGATGAACTGTGGGTGAAAGTGACATTTCTCGGATGTCCGTCCATCTATGAAAGAATGTTCTTTTAGCTGGGTATTGTTATCTACATCCTTTCTGACCGTTGACATTGGTAGGTAATGACAACAATTGGCAACAAGCTTCATGTATTGAATATTATTGTGCATATACAGATATCCTAATTTTTTGAAAGGTAGGACGATGTGATGACGCTCACGTTCATTCCTCCCGTCTGCTCACTTGCAGGCTTTCAGTTTGCACTGAGAGACCAAGTTATAGTTTACATACGTCTCATCCAGCTCAATTGACAGTTGAGCTTTGAGAAAGATCCGGAATTTTAATCTACGGAAGAGTGTGACTTCAACAATAAGGGCAAAAAGCCATGGCTTTTTTTATAGATTCAACTTGAAGGAAGGAAGGAAGAGAGAGTACCTACCGTATGATTGCTTTCTGTATCATTTGAACGGGATTTTCTCGTTATTCTTCGTCAACGCCAAGAAATATCTTTTTTTTTCTGGCTGAAACTGACGAAATTCCTGACGAATAGTCATGGGTTGGACACGAACGAGGTCCAAAAAGTCGGACAAAATCACAGGCTCGCGTCATGGGTTGGACACGAACGAGGTCCAAAAGTCGGACTGTTTTTGTATAGCACAGGACTAATCATTGGCAGAGGCGCAAAACTCCGATAAAGACTAATGTTATATGCATACATTCGTAATCATCGTCATCATATCGCCGACAGCAAGATCGAGCTGCGCAGTTGTCGTGCTATAATACTGTGACGTGCTATAATAATATGACGTGTGGGGGGCCACCAACGGACATTTTCACCGGATCGTAGTGTTTCATGCTGTTCCTTAACGTCAATTAACAATTTTGTCGTCAAGCTATATGACGAAATCTTTTACAGCAAGTATCTTGGAATTTGTATGGACGATAGCTCGTCGAAACGACGTTAGAACCTTGAGACTGGCTTTTGTACAACGCCCTACAAACTTCAACTATAGAGTGTAGGCTGTAGGTTATTTGAAAAAACCCACAGATACGCTTATGAAAATTAGGATAAAACCCAGACTTTTCAATAATCTCTAAATTCCTGATTCATCAAAGAAAGTGTTTAAATCTTCACTTCCTTCACAGTTTTCAAAAACACATACATTATCACAACGAATTGATTATATCCTGTCCAATTATCCAGATTGTTTTATCCTTCTCCTCGTCCTCCATCATGAGTCATCCAGTCAAGTCTTATATCGGTGCAATCGATCAAGGAACCACTAGTACCCGTTTTATCGTATTTGATCATCATGGAAGTATCATCACGTCCTATCAAATGGAACATGAACAAATTTATCCAAAACCAGGTTGGTGTGAACATGATGGGATTGAAATCATGGATAATATCCGAACATGCATCGAAAAAGCATTATCTCAGAGTGGGATTAAATCATCACAACTTGAAGCAATTGGGATTACGAATCAACGTGAGACAAGTATTATTTGGGACCGTCTCACGGGTAAACCATTCTATCATGCTATTGTATGGCATGATACACGTACGAAAGAGATTGTTGAGAAGTTAAAAAATGGACAGGGAAATGGTGTTGGTGGGAGAGGAATTGATCGGTTTCGTTCAATCACAGGTCTTCCTCTTGCAACGTATTTCTCCAGTGTAAAAATCCAATGGCTACTAGATAATATCCCACAGTTACGAGCAAAAGCTGAATCTGGGGACGCTCTATTTGGAACTATGGATACATGGATAATATGGAACCTTACAGGTGGCTGGGAGAATGGGATACATGTCACAGATGTGACAAATGCATCTCGTACCAATCTTATGCGACTGGATACCCTTGAATGGGACGAGAAGATCCTACAATGTCTAAATATTCCAAAACTTATGTTACCACGTATACATTCTAGTTCGGAAATATATGGATTTGGTCCGGAAAATAGTATACTATCAAGTATACCCATTGCAGGTGATTTAGGTGATCAACAAGCGGCACTTTTTGGTCAAACGTGTTTTTTACCGGGTGACGTAAAAAACACCTATGGTACCGGTTGTTTCTTGATGATGAATACCGGTACAAAACCGGTTGTATCAACCAAAGGATTAATTACGACCATTGGGTATCAAATTGGTACGAAACCTACTGTCTATGCATTAGAAGGTTCGATCTCATATGCTGGTTCATTAGTCCAATGGTTACGTGAGAATCTCAAGTTAATACATGATACAAATGAAATTGAAGAATATGCCAAACAAGTGGAAGATAATGGTGGGGTATATCTTGTTCCAGCATTTTCTGGATTATTTGCACCTCATTGGCGAGATGATGCACGTGGTGTCATGGTTGGGCTCACTTCATATGCAACTCGTGAGCATATTTGCCGCGCTGCATTAGAAGCTACTGCATTTCAAACACAGGAGGTTGTTACAGCCATGGAGAGTGATAGTGGAGTGCATCTTACACAACTCAAGGTTGACGGCGGTATGGTCGTGAATGAGACGCTCATGCAGTTTCAATCGGATCTATTGAATGTCCCTGTTGTCCGTCCTGTTGTAACGGAGACGACGGCATTAGGTGCTGCCTATGCTGCTGGTCTCGCCGTCGGTTTTTGGAAGACGGAAAATGAATTGCGTGAAAATTGGCAGATTAGTACGACGTGGAATCCAGATATGGAAGCAGATAAGCGCAATCATTTGATTTTGCAGTGGAATAAAGCAGTTGAACGCACGCTCAACTGGGAGGATCAGAAATGAATTGCAGGACTTTGAGGAGCATATGATACTCTGAATCGTGTGAGAGGAGAATTTATAGACAACATCATGACGGTGATCATGACGGTGACGTGAAAGTATGCTCGTGCTGTTTGCTTTGGTATCCCGATTGTACAAGTTTGTTAAATGTTTGTCACGTGAAGGCCAACTACCCGATCAAGCAATACATGGAGTCAAGTTTAAGTGGTCGAGCATTTGCTTTGAAGGAGGAAACGTGAGGTAAGACTTGACAGCGAAGGTGAAGTACGGTCATAATCGTCTTCAGTTAATCGGTGCAGCGGTACGAAGATGCTTAGTCTTCTAGCTTTGACATGCAGGTCTTTTCATGGTAGCACGTCCGACGTGGCTTTTGAATATTTGAGATGCGTTGTTTGCATACGTTCTGTTAAGTTTATGTGAGTTTTCTGCAGGCTTCCAGTCGTCTGAGCATCGCTGTCTGCTGATTGCATTCTCTTTGTCATACGACTCACCATGAGGCAACATTCCGTCTACGGCTTCTTGATGACATCTCAGCTGCAACGTTATCGAAGCAAAGACGGTAGTGACAGTGGCAAACTTTCACCTTGACGAATGCATTTGGTGATTCGAGTTGTGTTGACTTGCGCGAAATAGCTGTATGCAAAAGGTGCTTCCGTCTCGACAGTCTTCTTTGTCTGAAGTCATGCAGCCACCGCAGCAGCGTCGGAATTGGTTGTCGTAAAGACATATGGGGTGCAAGTCCACGATGGCTCGCACGGTTTGAGTTGATGGTTGCAAATGCTTCTAGAGCCGCATATGGAATCCATAGCCGAGAATAAGCTGCTGTCAATGGGCTCGGCGCGGCCAAGCTTGTCCGTCATGACCGAGGCGAATGACTGACTATACATCGTGCAGCACCGTGCCAGCGGCCTTGGCTGCAGTTTGCTGTCGTGATTGAACATCATCAATCGGGTTTTGATCAAAAATGTTGCAAGGGTATTCATCAGTGCTTTGTCATCTCCATACCATTTGCTTCAAGCCAACTCCGATGAGTTTGGACGGTGGAAACCTTGGTGATCCAGTAACTCAAATAGCCTTCAAGAAGGCATTGACGGTCCGTCCTGTCCAGCGTCAAAGTCTCCCACTTGTGGCTTACAGCTTGTGTCTGCTTCTTATGTTCGTCATGAGATTGGGGCCGTAAGCGGTGCAGTCAATATCAAAGCATTCGTCAATCTTGAGTGTTGCTCGATGATGAACTGTGTGCGTCGTCGACACTACATCATCGTCTTCAGTCTCCTTCCTTATCGTCCTCTACGCCGATGTCTCGCAGATTGCCGTCAGCCTTGACAAAGATCAGTTCCCAGTCCCATCACTACGCTACTTTTGCATGGAACTATTGGCATGTTGTAGCTCGATGCATTGCTTTCAATCGCTTGGTGATTCAAGTTTTTAGTTTGCTGTGTCTCTTTGGCCTGCCACCTTTTCTCGCATACGAAGCTTCATTGTTATAAGCCTGTCTGTCGACCATATCGCACCAATGAAGACATACTAACGCATGATGCACAAACGTGGAGCACTACCGATGGTTTAAATACGACCGAGAATGGATGTAATCTCGTCTTTCTCATCTCTTATTCCATAGACTCTTGTTTACCAGCGATAACTAATGCAATTGCGTGTTCTTGCAACGTGCAGCGAAATCCAGTCGGCTTGGGTCATTTTCAAGTCGCTCCCATCCACCCATTGTCTATTGTGTTGGTCATAAAACGACCTTTTTGCAATCCGACATCAACAAAATGTCACATCAAGATAGTCATAACGTCCGACATGTTGAAGTAGTAACCTAGGGAACACTAAGATTCAGAAAAGGTCTTTGAATGGAATGTTGGAATGTTTATTGATCTTGCAAGCACATGATAAGAGTTGAATACCGTATTTGAACCTGACATGAATAAGCAAACACTTTTGTCATGGCGCTTATGGGAGTACACCTGAAGTAGCGCATACAGCGTGGTAGACACTTACATCGCCTATCTCCTTCTTTCTATTCGTGAGCAATGCAATGGTAAACAGTGGGTATCGGAAACAAGAACATGGTCTCATGATAGTTTTTCAAAGGCTGTTGCAAAAGACGAGCTGATGAGACTTCTGCATCAATTGATGGTATTGTTACAGTACTTAATCCACTACAGGTCTTTCACGTTAAATAAGATATGCAGATTCAAGCTGACAAGCAAGGCGAGGCGTGTTTTTCGTCGGTTGGATGGCAAACACACAAAGAACATGGGCGTATCACAACCGGAAAGACAACGACGTCCACGCAAGGCAATGCTCGGCACAAAACATGGTGTAGTACTCAGCGCGTAGGCTCGTAGAGCTGTTGTAGACGCTGGCGGAAAAGATGGCGATCCGCAATGCGCAGGTTCAGTTGTTGCTGCTCTTCGACAAGCGAGCTACGCACAGTCGTGAGCTCAGCGTACAAGTCTTGCGGTGTGATGCAGCGCTTGCCGTCGCGGAAGGCTTCGGCTGACTTTTCGTTCTGTCGCTGCCAGCGCTGGAGTACAAAGGCGAACTCGCTCTCAAGCTGGGCCACTTCCTCGACGCAGGTTCTTAAGTGCCTCGCGTTTTTTGTAGTAGCAGCGCTTGACGAAGAGGCGATTCTTGGCCTGCTTCTCTTCGTTCGAGAGCCGCTTGGTGGAAAGTACTTTGACATTGTTGCGCTTCTTGAGTTTTGTGGCTGGGCATGGCTTGCTGCGCTCCGAGCAAGAGGAAGACGCGGAGGACAGGGGTGTGTGATGCTCCATATTCATATCATCCATGTCGAAGAAATCAAGCGAGATCGACAGTGGTTGTACGGAGGTTGGCATCTTTTGCACAGAGTATGCATTAACAGCGGTGGTAGCAATGGCGGTCGTAATGGTTGCTGGAGCGGGACCGGCCACAAAGTTGGCAGGTAGAAGGGAGGTAGTGGTGGTTGGATGGTAGTGCCGTAGGTAGCGAATCCAAGAATGAAGATTCTTCTCTGCTTTTTGAATGTACGAGGGAGTCATATGCTCGTACAGAAAAGCTAGAAAAAGAGGCGAGGGCTCATATCCAACGCGCTGACAACGTTTCGAGGTCGCAGTGGCGACTTTGGAAGATTATGCCGACGCCGGACCGAATAAGATTCCGTGTCTTTTTTATGTGTGTAACGAGTTCAAAGAGTGGGATATTCGATACTGGACGTACTTCGTCTCACAAGGTGTTCGAGTCCAAGTCTCGTATCGTTGGAATGCACTTGATTGTTTTCACTAAATGAATCTAAATCAGCAAGAATATCCCTTTATTTGCTACATTCTTCCAGTGCTCTGCTCACTTGGTCAGAGTCTTGGGTGTCTTTACTACCTCTTGCAGTTTTGTTTCGTCTGAAACTGAAAAAAAAGTCGATAAGCAGTTGACAAATTCTGTCTTGTACGTCAGGAAGAGAGCGATTGTATCGCACGCCACGCGTGACAAATCAACGCCGCCACGAGCCGGATAGTTGCACACGAGAGTTGGACCCAATGTCTTATTGATGTGGGACAGGCTGCACATGGCGGTGGGTTCGCTAACTCGCATTGGTCACGATGACCCTCGCAGTGTTTGTGTGCGGCCAAGCCATGTCATTTTACGTCCAGCAGGATGTTCATTTTTGTTGCACTTCCAAATCTGACGCACGCAACGATGCAGACCAAAGATTGGTTGCGAGAACTTTCGCAATGCTTTTTTTCGAGCAACAGCGCGCGACTTGTCCTTGGCACGCGCTAGCTTGTGTGCGAACGACGGTACGATCCGTACAAAACACAACTGTAATGATGTCTGTCGACTTAAGAGATACATTCGTTTATCGAAAAAGCACGAGGAAAGACGCATTACTGCGGTAATAGCGATAGAGTAATCAAGTGCATGCGACCAATGACCAGCGCTCACTTCGAACCATAGACGTTCATGATGCAATTTACACGAATTGTCTCTGGCTATCCGCTTACTCTACAATATCTGCCTTCTTTTGCAAACTAACATAGTTTGATTTTATCCTTGAGCCTAACATCCACGTTGCAATTGCACCGGTCATGACACGATGGTCACAACAGTGAGGCGGATCTCGCCAAAGGTGCTAATAACCTGTTCTTTGTTTTCAAAGTTGCTAACAAAAGATTGACGGTATTTGCTTCAAAAACAGGTTCAAATCACAGCGATTGAAAGTCTCGCGTCCTTTGGTGATGAGGATGTTAGTCAACGCGTGCGTTGACTCATGAGTGTGCCGCGTAAGCTGAATATCTTCAATTTGACTCACTTCCATTGAGCTTTTGAGCAATGTTCAACGATCCAGAATCGAACGCCAGTTCAGCTCAGGCACATCGTTCTGAACCATCACTTCTTCTTCTTGTAAGAGCGTTTTTTACGACCCATTTAGTAGTATACTTTCTGAATCCTTTTCGAAACATTCGCATCAGCTCTTCTTAGCCCGTTTGTTCGTTCTATTCTGAAAAAAAGGAATAATGTTGACCTCGTACTACACTAGGATACTGAATCGAAAGAATTTGAGCATAGCCGAAAGAAGCTCGTATAGATTCTTTCTCTTTCTTCTGTTGCGGTAGGAAGGAATATTGTGATTTGATTTGGTATTACATAAAGCTTCTTGTATAATGAATTGATAGACAAGTCGAAGAGTACATGAGGTACGAAGAACCACAGCTTGTTGTCTCTGTACAATTTTGTACTGATTGTTCACTGCGTTGGCGGAATGAAGCAAGTCTGATGTAGCTACTGAGAAACCAAAGCCTTAATAGTAAGTTTGAAATGCGAGCAACATGTAAATGACACGTGTGGCATGATTAGTATTCGTTTTCAAGTGCTGGTCAGGTCCTTCAAGAAGTCGCTAGTCCGATAGAAATACAGAATATAAAAAATTGTGTTGTGGTAGCACGAATGCATGTTTCCATGTCCTCAGATTGACGCGTAAGCGGCAAAGTTACTCTTATACGAGGTTGTTAACAGGTACAGCAACATGCTACATAAATGCTGCTTGCTCTAAGAAACTACCTAAATCAAGAGAGAATGTGGACATACTCAGAGCAGCTTGTTGTCTACGTGTTCCCTGCAAAATCTGAGTTCTTAATTGCTTAGTATGATGCAAATATCTTTCGGTAGGGCTTGCACAAACAACCCGCGTCGAATTTGCTTTACTTTGCGTCTTGCTACGATCGTAGCTTTGCATTTTGTACTGAATGAACTGTTTAGGTCGGTGTGCTTGCCTTGTGTTTGCAGCAAGTTATTTTTGCTAGCGTTATCCTGCATTAACAACAAAGCACTTTGTGTTCGCTTGGAAGGGCTGTAGTGCTGGATAAGCGCCAATTCCAGTTCATTAGGTCGCATAGAAATCAGTATTCAAGAGAAGAGCTACCTCCAAGTATTGATATACGAACGTCCTGGCTATCGTCAAGTGCCGATTTTTAAGACGGGTTTCAACTGATCATTCAATTTAAAGAAAGCAAAGATGTGGACGTCGAACAGGTTTCGATTGACTCTGCGATTGACGTCCTCCGGCATCTGAGTAGACCAATTATTTACGCCCTCTTTAGAATGTCCGTGGTGGCCTCGAAAGTGTTTATTCCACTTTGGCGAGAGCCGCCGCTACGTCACATTGGCTGCACAAAGCGATAGCCATTGTTCGGTCTCCATCGCGTCATCAGCAACACGTCATATCAACTGTAGACATACTTTGCAGGCATTGCATCTTTTCGCTATCAAGATACAAATATTCACTCATGCCGGTACTCAACTGGCGCCCAGGCAAATCATATTCACGACAAAGTTGTCCTCAGTTTTGAATGGCATGTAACAAGATTGCAAAGCCGTGTACAAGCTTTTAGTGGTCATAACATCAACGTGACCGGGCTATTCCCATGCTGCGCGTCGTTGACATCTTGCTTGTATAGCATTGCAAATCTTCTACCCTGCTGATGTCAAACACGCCCTATGAAATATAGACCCCCGGCTCGACAGAAAAGCATGACGCGCCCATTCCAACCAACCTTCTTGACGAAAGTCAGTCGAAGCAAAGAACATTGGTTTGTTGTCGACTCAACCTTCTTGATGTATGTCAGTTTATACATGAGTTACAATGGAAATGATGCGTTTTTATGAACTGCCTGTGTAGCTAAGCAACTTGCATCAACAGCGCGGTCTTCTGCTCTGCAAATCTGCATCCGTGGCTTGCTGATCAAAAAGAGCTCAGCAACTGAAGGATGTGGCGTCTGAAACATCCTGCGGTTCTCGAGAATTGCTAGTATCTTGATCAGATCCATCCTTCATCGCAGCTTGGTACACTTCATTTAAACGAGTGATCCAAATCTCTGCGAACGCCAGCATGCCAGAAAGATGTGACTGTGAAATGTGGTAGAGATTCCAGTTGTTGAATGGCCACAAGTAGCTTGAGTTGACGACTAGGCAAGTGCATCGTCAGAGTGAGTAAAACATACCATGACGACGTTGAAAGATTTCGCTAGCTTGAGTTTTTATGCGGAAGACTATCAATAGCTTACGAGTCTTTGACAACGACTTGGATATAGAAATGGAATTAATCGTCTTGTCATCCAGTCTGTACCAGACACAAGTGATGAGTAAAAGCTACACTGAGTCTCAATCCTTTCATGATATCGGACTGTCAACGAGAGATCAGCAGTTTGTTCAGTATCACGATTGTCGGCATGTGCAAGTGAATTCGGCCGAGTCAGAGGCGGATCTTGCGTGTAGAATGATGCCTGCATAAACCACAGCGACGTTTTTTGGCTACACCCACGCAGCATCGCATGTGCTGTCCCACAAGATAGACGCTCCTCAGTTCTCGGTGACTTTAGTTACGACTGTTTGCTCAATGCATAAGGGAATGTAAAAAAGCTTTCTCTGGTCATCTCCAGCAAATATTTGGCCAAAGACGCTGACTTGGTCAGGCGCCGACTTTGTAGCGAGCAATCGACATGCCAGCTGAAGTTAAGATGAAGCGCTCACTCTATATCTACCAGACCTAGTTGGAGCAACGCGAACAGGGCTTCAAGGTGACCACCGTTGTAGTCGCTCCAGCGCAACCACAGAACACTTGGTTCTCGATGGCGACACTTCGGTTGAAGATGGTAGACACGCTGAATTAGCTTAGAGCACCCTAGCATCGCGTGTGGCGTTAAGATGCACAGGTAAACCTAATGGCAACCGCACAATACGTGTGCCCTACTCAATCAACCGAGGCAGTTAGTTACCTCAACGGCCCCTTGTAAACAGCACAAAACACTGGGTTTGGATACGAAGAGTGTTTGAACTAAAGTATCGTGCATGAAATCGAGAGATAGATACATGGACACATAAGCATCTACTAGTAGAGCAGTTTCTCTCCCGATCGCACAAGCAGTGTCCATTATGTCTGATCCCATTTGATCGTCAATGCTGGGGTACATCATCTAATTGCAAGGACTGCTATTTTATCTCGTAAGCTTAGGTAAGCTGAGGTATGAAGAATAAGACTTAGTCCAATCTACTGACACCCTATATCATTCCTTTCTAAGCTTTCAAGGTTAAGCAAGTGTACATGAGAGGAAACACACTCGTCTGTGCTTGTAAATAATAGCTTCATTGTCTACTATCAAGTCGAACCAAGTTGACGATCGTTACAGACAAGCTTTAACTTTGCACTCAAGGTCGTTAATGTTATTGATCTGAATAGCTATTTCGATTCAAAGGTTTGTTACTCGCAGCGGTTGGCTAATCAATGTTGCGTCCAAGTCAAAAGGGTGTTACAAAGAAAACAAACAGTAACTTCAACAGAAGAATGGCGACACAACGATTCATCGCGATGTAAATGTACTTGTACGAAATGGTATCAATTCTTACAGTGTCTCTTCTATTATTAATATAATGAAATCATTGCTGGCGTGTAAGTGTAAAAATTGCAAGAGTCGAATGGATGAAAATTCAATCGCGTCCCGAGATCTATGGGGTCACGGACACGCGGTGACGGAATAATAGCTCTGGACACGGTATTGCCACGCTACCAGTCAGCTAAACTTGTATCAGGACCGGCCTCCGGACGGGACTTGCACGTATCGAAAATGTGTAGGACAGAAGGAGACCCAGGAGCATCTCTTCTGGGGATGTCCCCGTGCTCAGGCACTTTGGGCCCGGCTCATCAGTCATTGGGAAAGCACACCCGTAAGCTTTGCCACCTACTGGGATGGCTCGAGTACTGCGTAAACCGTAGCGTACCCCGCCTTTCACCGAGGGTCACAGCAATGCTGGTAGCCCGTTACCCCGACGAGATCGATCAATTCGCCACGGCCTGGAAGACGATATGGGAGGTCGCAGGGACCGTCATCATCACAATGCTCTGGCAACACCGCGTCGACAATATGTCTCGCCATGCAAATATCCCAATGCAAGCCAGTGAAGCCTTGATTTGGGGCAGGATTCAGCGCCAACTGCGAGCGCTCATTAAACGCTTCCATTGCAGGGCTGACACGGCCGTGCGGGGTGCCCAACTTTCTGCATGTTACGACATATTTATATCAGAACCGAGAGGGCCGCCGGGCCTTTATAGCCAGGCAGCCAGCCGTGGGCAATGTCTGGACTCTCCAGGGTTGCTAGTGTGGTTAACAACCTACCAGAGATCTTGCACTAACCAGTAAATAGACACTCTGTTCTCTCTAAAATTCAATCGCGTCGTCTTTAACCACCTGTTCGAATATCTTTGTAGCAAAACAAGAATTAGTTCTCAGAAGATATCAGACGGGCAGCATGCGCACAGAAAAAATCGTTCTTTCCATGTTCTTGTCGGTTTCATAAATGCTGTCCCCAAAAAATGATTCCATGTGTATCCATCCCAACACTCAATCGCAATAGGAGAAAGATGTTATTGTTATACGTACGTGTACTTTCACTGGCATGAAGTAAAAACTCATGCTCACTTTGTTTCGTCACCTATAGTGCTCAAAAAACCGAAAAAATGCCTGACGATGAACTTGATTTTTTCAAAAAAACAACAACGTCCATAGCCATGCGATCTGCTTCAGGGTGAGCATAAAACGAGCATATCTGGGAACAGTAGTACTATCCCCAATACTATGATTAAGTACGAATACGACGAAGCTCGTCAGTCGACAATTTGCTTCGTACTAATACTAACTTGCCAGATTCTTAACGTTTCGGCATGGGAAAAATTGCAAAAGTACTCGGTCTTGGAGTAAAAAGCAGTATAAAAGTGATATTAGATCGTTCGTATTATTATCCAGGTGATATAATGCGTGGTACTGTCGTCGTTAGCATTATGGAGCCACTTTATTTGACTTGTAAGGAATAGATTTGGTGACTTGATTGTACTATTCGTACATTATGATCACTAACATTCGTTGTAATGTATTGTCAATAGCACTGGTATTACGTATCTGTGGTAAAGAGATGATTACATGGAATGAAGGTGGTGGACAAGCTGCTGCTGTGTATTTGAGAGAGCATTTACATTTGAATGAAGAGGTAGTGTCATGTTTATGAATTCGTACAAGATATTTGATCTGAGCATTAGTGTAACATTTGAATGTATTTATTTTGTCAGGTTATGTTAAATACCAAGGAACAAGTCTACCAACCTGGTGAATATGTGTACCCACTTTGCTTTCCATTGCGGAACAAGTTGTGTAATTCCTTCCACATCTGGGGTCGTGATGCTGGTGTCATGTGTCGCATTGACGCTTCATTAAACTATACGGCTACTGCTATTCTGACAGTCAAAGACAAGTTTGCAGCTGATATTCAAGCAACAAAGTCTTTTGTAGTACAACATCCACCTGTGGGTGCACCTATTCAATCATTGAAGAATTCAAGGACAGCAGATATTCGAATGCTGCATATGATGAAGAAAGGAACGTGTGCTGTCTCCGCACAGTTGCCTAGTAATGTCTGCATTGCTGGAGAGACTTTACTCGCACAGACTGAAGTTTACAATGATACGTCCAAGGATATGAACAAATTATCCATGATGCTATACGAGGACATGATAGTACACATGGGTACGTTCAGCCGAAACGTGGAAGGGTCCATGTGTGTCAGTCGACAGGACTTTCCAGGTGTAAAAGCTGGTATTACGCAAAAGCAAGTGTTATGCTTGCATTTGGTTACTAAGACGTCTCCTCCTCGGCTAGTGTCTGCGGTCATCCAGTCGCACTTTTTGACAACCACGCACCGTCTCGTAATCAAAGGTAAATTTCGTTTCTGTCCAAGTGTTTCGGTGGACTTTCCAGTTGCCATCCTGCGCAAACCGGCGATGGAAGCGGCGCACGTTCCTACGGCTGTCGTGTTACCTGCGGTTGCTGCTACAATTGCCGTGCAGTCGGACGATGAGGTTGAAGTGATGCCTGTTGCCGCTGCACCAAGAAGAAAATCAACCAGTGACGGCAGGAGGTCAAGAAATTTCACGAGTATGGGTTGGTCGCCAACAAATACGCGAGATGAGGAGCAGGCGAGATGAAGTTTATTGCGTAATGAAACGTTGAGAATGTATATGACTCGAGAACGCATGTTCTAGGGACAGATTTTGAGCCGAGAAGAATTGACGAAAATGATGAAGCTGCGTACATGTAAGAATTTTTTTGTTAAGGTCAGGAAGGCATGAATGTTATTAAACTGGGATCTTATCAATTGCTTTGCTGGCTGGTGTATGAAAACTACAACAACAAGCAGTTGGATTATTTGTTTTTCTATCAGAGTTCCAGATAGCTCTCATCCGAGTTAAGACATTGGGTAATTGCCAGCTTTTTGCCTAAAGCCGCAGTGTAAAGCTTGATCATGGTGTGGAAGTGCTTTTGTCCTGATGCGTTTGTCTAGAAGAGTAGTATGAAGCACTGGATGTCGATGAAGTAGAGGCACACGTATTGTCTGATTGCTACTTGGTTTATTCGCGCATTTTGACGCCACACTCAATGGTAGATTGCTCAGAATTATCAGCAGACCTATGTCTATCATCTTCCAGCGAAGTGCCGACATAACACATCAAGAACTACGAGCTCTGTCGTGCACTGTAGCGACTACAACGATAGTCACCTCGCTGCTCTGTTCGCGTTGCTCAAACTAGATCCGGTAGGTAAACGCCCTTCATGTTAACCTCATTGGCATGTCGATCACCCGCTACAGTCTGATCATGTCAGTACCTTCGGCGACGTCCCCCAAATGTCCGCTATCAATACGAAATTCGGCACCTGCTACGCCATGGCATGCTCCGTCAAGTCTACAGATAGCAGCCTTAAAATCACGTTTGTGACAGAGTTCGACATGTTGTCCCGGTGACGGCAAAAACGCAGGAGAAAGCGCACATGATGGATGCCTAATCTGCAACAGTGCACATCATTATACTCAGCAAAGCGCGTTGTCTAGTATGGACGGAAGGACTTGCGCGCTTTTCGAATCCCAGTGGGCTCGACCCCCGTCGCTCTTCTACTTATAGAAGCAGGCGACAATGTCAAAGAATAGTCGTCACCTGCCTCGGCTGATACATCGACAGCGCTGCATACAGTCCATTTGCAGAGCCGTGTGTCTTCTCCTCCTGTGTACAGCGTTGTGGTTTCGGGGTTATAGTATATGCAGCGCACGCAGGCCTTGTGACCTCCCTTGAGCGACGCTGCGTGGTGCAGCTTTCCTGCCGTGGATGCATTTGTGCCAATGTTAACGACGTTCACATCGCCGTCGTGGTTGCCAGCAAGTAGGAAAAGCTCGTTCGACCGGTTGTCGTACACGCAGTCGATTAAATAGTCAGTGGTCAAACCGTTGCTAATGCAATCACCGCGGACCGTATTGTAGTGATGCAGTCTCTGAGCTGTCCAAATGTTCCACAGGTCTAGCGTCTCCGTGCCTGTGAGGCAGTAAATATTCTCCTTTTGCTGACCAAAGAAGCCCAAGGTCGTGACGGCACTCTCGACGTTCAAAATGCTCTCAAGAGCTTCATCTTCATCCGTCATACGACAATCAAAGCAGCACACGATGCCATCCTCCGAGGCCGTGACTACGAATGCCGGCTGCGTCGGATGGAAGCGTACTTTGGTCACGGCGTCCACATGACTCTCTCCATACTCTCCAATCTTCGTGCCCGTGCGCACGTCGTAGAACAGTGCACGATCATCCGTTCCTACGGCCAGAAGCGTTTCGTCGCGTCCAATGGATAGGCTCCAGACTTCTTGACCAACTGGTACGACCAAAGCCGGTAGCGCCGTGCGCGTGTCCCACAATTTGACGCACTCGTCACTGGAGCATGTAGCCAACTGATTAGGTGACACTTGTGACGTCCATATCTCGTTTATTGTGCTATTGTGTGCATGAAAATCGTGCTGCAGTGCCAATGTCTCGAGGCTGCGTAGCTGCAGTTTGCCCGTAGATAGCGCAAGCGCTAGACTGCTGCAATACGCCGTGGGCTGGCAATCTAGGATATAATCATAGTCCGATTCGACACTTGGGTTCACTACGATTAATGGCGCAGTATTGTCGACTTGTGGACTCATAAAGGAAGCTACAACGGTCTGTTCAAGTCGTAGACCACCATGATCAAGAGCATTGCGCATGGTTTTGAGGTCATGCAATAATGACAAGCAAAATGTAGCCATTTGATCGATGGCTGCCACACATTTGTAAATTTGATTGGATAAAAAGAAGAAAATGAAAAACGAGTACACAATATTACATTTCTCAATTTAGGTACAATGTAAACATGATCGTACCAAATTAAATCGTACAGGTTTATCATAATCATTACATTTTACAGGTCAAGTACCGTATATCACTTATTTCGTAACAAAAAGCCGTTGTCAGTGACATCCATCCGTCCTTGGTATATGATGACGCCGCTATCGACCGCTGGTCCTTCAGAAGAAGATAAACGTCTTAATATGGAGCTACTGGAAACATTGCGGTATGTTTTGGCTGTCTCTTGCGCTCTATCCGCTTTACTAAAGTATTGCAATATATATTATATGTCTCCATTATATCAGTTCCTTGGGTTTATATGAGACCAAAGAGCGTCTAGCTCGACGAGAGCACGTGCTTGAAAAACTGCATCATTTGTTACAGAATTACGTCCTGGATAAGTTTGATACAACCTCAAAGCATCTACAACCACAATTACAATTGCGTACCTTTGGTTCCTATCGTCTTGGTGTACAAAGCCAAGAAGCCGACATTGACACGTAATGTCGTCACACGAATCATCAAGTTCCACTGATGCTTTTTGACAAAACTGATTATGGGGCTGGGCGTTATGGTATGATCAGATTATGTATTGCGCCTCGACACTGTACACAGGCGAGTTTTTTTGACAAGACGCCAATTCTACTGGAAACGTCACCAGATGTCACGGGACTACGCGTCATCAGTGACGCGTATGTAATTATTGAGACGGGGTGATGGTAGAATTTGACAGTTTTTTTTGATATCGTTTGTAGGTTTGTGCCTGTGATTAAGATGAAAATGGACGGCATTCCAGTGGATCTACTATTTGTGTCGTTAGACCTGGATTCAATCCCAAAAGACCTTGACATGCTGGATGATCGGTACTTGAAAGGATTGGATGAAGCTTCCGTGCGAAGTTGCAATGGCGTGCGTGTCACAGAGCGAATCTTGCAACTTGTACCGAACCCAGACACGTTCCGAACGACGTTAATTGCTGTCAAGCACTGGGCCAAAGTACGTGGACGTCGAGAATTGAAATTGGACTGTAGAATATACATGACAAATGCACGTGTCGGTTTTGTACAGATGCAAGGGATCTACTCAAATGTCCTAGGCTTTCTTGGCGGTGTTAACTGGGCCATCCTAGTTGCTCGAATCTGCCAGTTTTATCCGAACTCTCTACCATCGTCGTTGCTCGTGCGCTTCTTCAGAATATATCAAATGTGGACGTGGCCAAACCCGATCATTATTGACCGGGTGGATAACCCGCTAAAACTTGGCTTCTCGGTGATGCAAATTCTTTGTACTTTCTCCGGATACAGACGTGACATTTGTATTTGTGCCTAATCTGTCGACAGTGTGTCCGCAGTACGTGCAAGTGTCAATAACTAACGCTTTGATTGATTTTTGGTGTTAGGGATGGAATCCGAAAATCAATGTTCGCGACCGATTGCACTTGATGCCGATCATCACGCCCGCATACCCGGCGATAAACTCATCGTACAATGTGATGGCTTCAACTCTTCGAATTTTGGAGTCTGAGTTTAGGAAAGGGTTTGAGCGGACACTCGAGATTGAGACAAAGGTGAGAAGGCCCTAGTCGATTAAATGTTGTTGATCTGTTGCTGACATTTTTGTGTGCAGAAAAGTTCATGGACAAAGTTGTTCGTACCTTCAGTATTTTTTCAAAGGTTTTTATTTCTCCTGTGACCTCAGTTTACCTCTTGTTTTGTTGAGGTTTGCTCACCCACCACGTCCGCTCTCTTTTGTGACTATTGTTTGATTCTCTGTGTCTTCATAACTAGGTCAAAACACTTTCTTCGTGTCCAGATCACGGCGAATAATGCCAAGGACTTTGATGGGTGGTTTGGTTGGGTCGAGTCGAGACTGCGTCAGTTATTCCTCCGGTACGTGACACTAATTGTTTTGGTCTTACTCGACTCCGTCTTTCGGAAATGGTCTGATTCATGTACGATCATGATTGGAATCTTGTGTACGCTCATGCTGATTCTGTGCAATTCTTTCATGGCGGTGTTTTACACGTTTGCTTTCAATTAGATTGGAAGCACTCCCAGATTTGCGAATTTACCCATTCGGCCGCTTCTTTGATTTTATTGAGACAAAGGACTCAAGTCGTGATAGTTCATTGCAATGTGACGTACATACGTCGTGGTTGTTTATCGGACTGGGCTTCGCTGTCCCTGAAATCGTCGCAGCAACTGGTGCGTCTTATAGCGTAGACTTGACGAGTGTGATCCGCGATTTCGCTTTTTACACGGATCAGTGGGAGGCTCGTCATGGTGGAATGGACATGCAGATTGATCATGTAACACGCCCAGAAATCCCTGAGTGGGTGCTTGAGGCTGTGGGTAATAATGGTGAGAGCGATAGTAAGCATTTGCGGAAGTCCTTGCCAGACCAGAAACTTTTCAAGAAGAAGAAACGCGATATTGATGATGCTAGCGATTGCAAGTGCATAGGGAACGGCATGACCAAGCTGGTCACAGGTTCTAGTCCGACCGAGAGCTCGTCTAAGAAAAGTAAAGGTACGTGAAGAGATGCTAACGAATGGTCTCATTGTGGCCAAGCACCATGGTGTTTGGTCTGTAGCAACAGTCCTAGAAGCTCCATTAGAGAAGCTCTAGTTTATCTATCTCGACGTTGGACATGATGACAGATGAAGCGTGAGGTTTTGGCCATCACGCTATTTGTTCTTGTCCAGAACGTTGTGATAGAGACTGCAGTTAGCAATATCATAAGACGTAATACATCGCCAGCGGTCGCTCGCAAGTGGATTTCAATCTTGTTTTACTCTGGTTTTTAAGTCGCTTTAGCTCAGACATCCACACACTTTAACAGCAGAAAGTGGACAGTGGACAATGGACTCATTCACACCACACATCAAGTGTCTACTCGTTCTTAAAGTCAGCCTTACGTTTCTCCACAAAAGCAGCCATGCCTTCTTTCTGATCCTTTGTGGCAAAAGAGCTCCAAAAGAGACGGCTCTCGTACTTGAGTCCTTCCTGCAATGACTGTTCATAGGCAGCATTTACAGCCTCCTTGGCCATTTTAACGACTGGTTGCGAGAACTCGGCAATCTTATTAGCCGTCTTCAGTGCTTCATCCAGTAATTGATCAGCTGGTACGACCCGAGCCACGAGTCCATCACGTTCAGCCTGTTGAGCGTCAATCATGTTACCCGTTAGTATCATTTCCATGGCTTTTGCTTTCCCGACGGCTCGAATAAGTCGTTGAGTACCACCACAGCCTGGAATTGTCCCCAATGTAATCTCTGGTTGCCCAAATTTCGCCGTATCACCCGCAATAATCAAATCACAGAGCATTGCTAGCTCACATCCACCACCAAGAGCGTATCCATTCACCGCCGCAATCACAGGCTTTGATATGTTTGTAATCTCTCCCCAATTGGCAAATAAATTACTACGATAGACATCTACAAAACTCTTGGTGGCCATTTCTTTAATATCTGCCCCAGCTGCAAATGCTTTGTCACTTCCAGTAATAATCATTGCACCAATATTATCATTTGTATCAAATGCATGGGCAGCACCATTTAATTCTTCAATCAAGGGACTACAGAGAGCATTTAATGCTTTGGGACGATGTAGTGTAATGATTGCAACTTTGCCACGTACTTCCGTGCAAAGATTTTCATACTCGGCTGTGTGACATGTGAACACGCGTAAGTAATATATTCTTGTACGTTATATATATAAAGAGTATATATTACCTTTTAAAGTAAACGAACGCACGATTGGACGATGACAAAACATCGAGGGACGTCGAGGGAGGTACATTTTGAACATTTATTTTTTTGAAGAAAGATTAAGTTTTAGAGGTAAGAAGTACAAATCAAATTTAACTCTGTCTAAAATTAACTTGATAATAAAAGACGTTTTTGAATTAGTATTAGATAATCAACGATACTGATTGGCTAAGTTCGATATCATGTTGAAGTTAGGATCTTGTTTAGATGCATAAACTGTTTACTGCATGATTTTGAAGAGGTACACGATGTAACATACATATATTAGGTTCACAAAACAATACAATCTATTTCTATCTTGCTATTACAAATGGCTACATGTTTAGAAACGAAATGTGGCTCACACATTCTTTCAACCGTTATAATAATAATAAATAACTCGCTATAACATGCCAAGTTCTAATGGGTCGAATGTTCATGAAGTGTTTGCACTTATGGAGACACTCCTAGCACCACGTATACCATTACACTATATAGAATTATGTAGTCGAATTCTACAACGTCGTCAAATGGAAGAAGTCTTTGAAGAACGTGCGTCTGCCAAGCGTTGTGCTTTTCCAGCCTGTGAGAATTTATTACTTCAGTACGTGATAGTTATGGATTATCCAATCAAATTACACCATGTTTCTTTTTAGCCAATGAAAAACTACTAATTTTTATGGTATATTGCATTGTATATCTTGTATGGAGCAGGCTGACAGGAAAGTTTCGGGTATCATTGTCTCGTCAAGAGATATATGACGCTAATTATGAACGACAATTTTGTTCTCAGGTGTGTCTGAAGGTATCAACTCCATTGGATTTAAATTTGAAGCTCTACGTGGTCAAAAATGAGGAAGAAAGTCAAATTAACAGTTTAGTTTTTCTTTTGCTGTGTTGCTGTGTAGAAAGCTCGAGTTTTACTGTCCAGACTAGCTCATAAACCTCCACAGCTCGTGCCGTCATTGATTGACGTATTTGGTACAGAAACGCCCAATCCTCGTGACTATGAGGACGATATAAAGCCATCTAGTAATGCTGAGAGCCCAGTACTTGCTGAGAAACGAGAGCAAATACCAAACGTTCGATCCGTATGGGCAAAGACACAGGATCTGGGTATTGTGGAAAGAAAGCACTCGACGGCAAATCCAATAGCTATGGACGTTCCAGCAGCTCTGCAAGCCATGAGTTCGCTCACGTTGAAGGAGAATGAAGCACCTGCACCGCCAAACCGAAACTTTCCGACAGTTGAGCATGCAATGCTTATTGAAGGCTACGTGTTTCCAGCACATAAGCAGAAGCTGGCACGGAAAGTCGAGAAAATTGTCAAGAAAAGCCAAGAAAAGGGAGATGACGACGATGATATCGTAGTGAGCGATAGTGACGAGAGCGATTTGGCCGCAAGTGACGTATCTTCCGCTGGTAGCTTTGAGCTTTCAGATTTTGATGATGATGAAGTGGTGAATCTGAATGACTTGCCATTGTTTAGCCATCTTTGGGGATTGTTTTCCAGTTGGATTACTCACGAAACGACCCTGTTACTGGCAGGGCAGCTCCTACCTGCTAACAAAGAGGAAAAGGATGACCAAGACAGTTTCGTTGGTGGGCCAGTCAAGGCCGAGGCTGAAGATGCACGCCGTCGTGCACGTCAAATTCGTTTAGAGAGGTGGAATTCGCTCTCACTCATGCTGCGGCGTTCATTGCCTCAAGTAGCACTGAAGCTCAAACTTGCCAGCGACCGATTCGCAAACTACCGTATCGACACTATTACAAAAACATTCGCACTTCATCACGCCATCGATACACGAAACACACACCAGGTAAAACGCGTATGAAACGTTTGAAGGTTGTCATAAACTAATGGTGTCTTGGTTAGTGGACCTGTGTCGCAACAATCTTGATGCTTGTAGCCTACAACATCAAACTGAATGAGCTCTTAGAAGGAGAGCGCAGGTGAGTTTGTTTTTGTCTAGTGTTGATACTAGGTAGCGAGGTCTGATGATCGTTGTGTTGCTTGTGTAGCGACCAAGTCAAAGCACTGACGAAGCTGGACGTTTCGGAGCTTCATCAGTTACTCCATCTATTTTATGATGTGCGAAGGGATAGCGATATTGCTATTGATATGGATGTGGCTCCTGTACTGGAAGACGTGTTGAGTGCCAAGAACGCAGCAAATGGAGAAACAGCCGACAAGTCTTCCTTGCCTTTTGTCGTAAGTGCCGTCGTGCGAAAAGCAAATGTATTTGCGAAACTCGAGTAAAAGCTTCAAAGGAGGAAGAGTTATCCACTGACCAGTTGGAAGGGATGCTACAAGAGGCACTTGTACTACGCGACGAATATGACGAGATAATGCAAGATTGATAAGATTAACCAGGAATAAAATGATTACGGATGTAAAAGAGTGATCTGGACTTGACTATCTAATAATTCTTGATTCTTTTGCATTGTAACATTTGCGCACAACTTGTAGATACAGTACAGATTGAGATTTGCAGCATTCAATAAACTTGCGCAACTTTGTCTATAAATTGCCAGATCTTGAGCACTCCACTGTTCCGGACCAACAATCGCCATTTGAGCTGCAATATCTGCTTTGCCACGACGCATCAAGATTGATTAGTACATCGGTCTAAATTGAAAAGACTGGAGAACAGCAACGCGCTGCATCGACATTACGACTAGCTGTCGACAGCCCCTCAGGTCCTTCAAGCGGCAGCGCTTATTCCTCGTCATCATCCATTTCTTCCTCTTCCTCTTCATCCATTTCAGCGTCGCTACCTTCGTCTTCATCTTCTGATGTCAGGCCGTCATTCTCCGGTAGCTCTCCCATTACAAGGTCGTATTCTGTGGTATCACCGACAGCGTGCAAGACAGGAGCTGCCTTAAAAGTGAGCACGCGCTTATGGCCAGTCACATTGGAGCTGTAAAGCCGTGTCTCAGCGTCAGGAAGCTAAACAACAATGAAAGCAACACGAGTTAGCATAATAACATATGTGGTGAAATCACAACCCACAGCAAGCACAATGCCAACCTTAGCAAGTCCCAGCTCCTTGTACCAGGCAGGCAACTCGAACCGCGACTTCGACTTGGCCGGCGGCAGACATGAAGGGCTGTACACGGCCTTGCCCAAATTCTGCAGAAACGTCCGCGCCACCATGAGGATATCTGGGTCACCGCCCTTGCGGAGCATATTCCGCTTGATGGCAAGCTTGGCGAGGAACTCTTCGTGACTCCGAAACAAGGGAATCTGAAGCGTCTGCATGAGGTTCATCGCATCACCACGCTCAATAATGCTCTTTACAACTGGCACGGGGTCGTCCACGAAGACGCCAGCAATACCATGACGCAGGACGACAGCAGACATGTCACTGTAGTCCGGGTCCAGCGCAGGGCAGTCCACCAGCACAACCTTCTCGCCGTATTGCACTTCCTGCGCAGACTTAGTCGACTGTGCATTACTAGACACGTGAGCCACCTGGCGGCGTTTAATTGAGTTGATAAGTGTGCTCTTGCCCACGTTCGGGTATCCAACGACAGCCACTCTTACAGGTTTACCTGCACTTTTAGCCAACTCATCCAAAAAGATACGCAATGGCTCCACCTCTCCATTGTCACGCATGCCACTGATCTCCTGCTGACGGTCGTAAAATGCCTTATGACCCTTTTCCTGCCTGTTTTTCTTCGAACAGTCCAACATGTTGCTATTTAGTGCACGCACTGGAATCGTTGGATGAAAACGGCGTAGATAAGTGACCCATTTCTGGGCCGTTTCAGCCGCTACAAGATCCACCTTATTCAGCACAAGCACGACCTTCTTGTGTCCTTTGGCTACTAGACCGTCCTCAAGCGAGAGTGAGCGAGAACCCTGTGGGTCACGTGCGTCCAACACAATCAACACGACATCAGCCGTCTGCACGGTACGCTTTAGGTCCTTTTTAGCCTGCATCTCAACGCTTAATGGGGTTACGGGTGCCATAGTATGGGAGCTACTTCGCTCAAATCTCGCTAGTAGCTTTGCCTTCTTCTTGTCCTCTTTACGCTGCTGTTGCGCCTGACGTTGAGCATCAATTTCTGCCAGACGTCCCTGTTCTACCTGTAGCAATAATTCTTCTTTGAATGGCCAATTATTAGGAATCCCTGGATCTTTTTTCTTCTTCTTCAATTGATTGAGTTTTTTCTGCTTTACGCTCCTGACGTTTGTGTTCCCGCACTTTACGAGCGAGTTTATACTTCTTATGCAGCGATAGACGCTTGGATTTGCCTTTTTTCTTGACCATAAGAAACTATTTCGACTCTAGTTGCTCGATTGTATCTATACTCGCTAGCCACCCACACGTAAAAAAGGTAAAACTTAAATACCTTTGACTTTGACACTGTTTCTAACAGCATAGTGATGGTCTGGAACATGCACTCTGTCGCGGTCCAATCATTTCAATGAGTGATTTGGATTGGTAGAAAAGAAGAACGTGATGTCCACTTAGATACACTACATATACGTCCACTTACTATTACCAAGTGGAATGCGACCTTAATCGGTGGACACCAAGAACAAATATGCGGCTACTGACGCACAACATGCTCGTGTGCCACGTGAAGGTGATTGCAACAATACGTGCTAACAGCTAGGGTGCATTATGTACAATACATACAGCGAAAAGTAACGGGTGTATGATTTGGTGTTCCATCTACAGGCGTGTGCTGATACGGCTGGACGCGACGCGGACGCTCGTCCACTGAATTTTCCGCTGAGGGTACGTCTAACACCGTGGCTGATGCTGTGTAATGCGTATGGTGTGGATGCTCAGCTACTATTTCTATGTAGATTGTTCCAGAGATGGATGGTGTTGTGGTGCTTGAGACACAATACAGTAAGAGTTTCATGCTGCACATCATGCGCTCCATTGACTATCCTGCACTGTGCTACACGACAAGGGAGGTGAGTTCAACACTGGGTCTTTCCATGCTTCGAAGAAGATCTCACGGAATATCGTTATCACTGCTGACGCTCTAGTTAAACCATCCAGAGGTACCAGTCTTACCAGAACAGCTTCCTGCTGATTTGTCAGAGCAAGACGACTTGCTGAAGCTGATCCACCGCGTCATCTTCGACGTAAGTAGCTCTTTCAACAGGCTGAAGCACAACATGGTGCTTGATCAATATCGTTTGTTAATGTGTGACGGCTTTTGAGTTTTTGTGTTGGTTCTTATTTGATATAGACAAATATCGTGGAGGGAGAGCTAGTGTGCAACAACTGTGGACGCAGCTACCAAGTATCGAATGCCGTACCAAACATGCTACTCGAAGAGGATGAAATGTAATTGCTGGAGAAGTTTATACTTCAAGCTTGGTAGATGTATTTTTGATTGAGCTATCCGGCTGGTCGGGGGAGTCATCGGCGGTAGAAACTTGCACACGCTCAGCTTGCTTGAATGTGCACCAAGCTTTCGAGTCTTTGAGGCTATGCTCATGCCTGGCTCCGAGAAGGTTTGTCTTGTAGCGTGACTGTAAGATTAGCGTCACGCGCAAATCGCGCAGGTTACGGCAGACGCCGCGGCAACAGCTTCCGTCAACACTACTGAGCAAGCAACATCAACGTAATATAGTTAGGTATAACAACATCAAGGCAGTGGCCTCTATGTTCTTAAGCTCTACATATCGGATAAGTTCCACGACTGTGATCTATGACTCGCTTCTACAACACTTTTTGACACCAGAGAATTAATCCCGAGGTACGACCAAGCAAAGGTCAACGTGCCGCTCAACCGTTGCATCATTATTTTGCAAACCCGGACATGTCAAAAGGCTTGCGAGATGCGTCACTTCGTGTGCCGCGGTCGTGTGATTGCCAAGCCGTCAGGTAAGTGTGCTCGAGGAGCACGACCGGCATCTTGACACCTTGACTCGTGCTTGTGCATGCAACGGTTGCCGGCAAGACCCATCATGATTTCATGAATACCGCTGCGGTGTTCAGGTCGTCAAACGCACCATTGTTTCCACACAATGTTGTTGATTACGACAGCAGCCGGCTATCCGCTCAGTAAACAGAGCGGACAAGCTGGCTATAGTGAAGACGGTTGGCCAAATGCAACATAATCCACAAGACAACAGGACGTTCTTGTCTCCGATCAGCTGACGAACTTAACGCATCACGCAGTTGACTTTCCGCGTTGACCTGCCTACTGCTGCTGTTCTGCTCGCTGCCTTTGCTGTTCCTCATTGTGGGTCGCCAGTGTATCCAGCTGCTTTCGGTAAAATGCCTTAAGCTCTTTCACCTCAGCTTGCAACTCCTCAACTTGTTCTTCTTTCTCACCAAACAATTCAAGCAGCACCACTTGGTGCTTTTGCAGTTTCGCCAATTCTAGCTGTGTCTCCTTGCGTTGGGTCTCACCGCTCTCTAATAACGTGTTGCGCGTGCTCAGTCGAACGATTTCGTCAGTCGTCTGTTTCTGTCGGGCCTCCAATGTTTCTAGTTGTTGTTTCAGCATTCGGTTCTCGCCCTCGCGCAAACGTAATCGCTGCTGCAGCTGGCTGAGCTCCAACACAGACGTATTACCACTCGAGACGAGTGGATCGGTCATAATTGCTGTTTCCATTGGTAAAAGTATCGATGCCTCCGAAGATAGCTCACCATTGGCAATTTCAAATCCATGCAATTGCTCATCACCACACATGCGCCTCGCATAATGATGCTGCGAAGACGCGGAGTCTGTAGATAATGGTGGTGGCACAAGTTGCCCCGTCAAGCTTTTAAGTCGCTGAAGCTCTTGTTGGTGCCACTCTAGGTCTTGGCGAAGTTGTGCTTCAAGCTCACGAGATTGTTCTAGTTCAGCTGTCGCTGACGATGAAGCCTGCAACTGTCTTAATGACTGCTCCGCATTATTCAATCGAGCCTGAAGCTGTTCTTTTGCTTCTGCGTGTGCATCGCGTTGGCGCTTCACCTGGTCAAAGTCAATTTGTAGTGCACCAGCTCGTCCGCGCCACTCGCGTACTTCAGCCTTAGCACTATCCGCCGCATCTTGTGAGCGTGCGAGCTTGACCTGTATCCTTGCAATTTGCAACTCAACTTCCTCTACCTTGTGTTGAAGTTCCTGCAATTGCTGCTTCATGTCGGCTTTCTCCTGTTCCACAACACGTCGTTGTTCTGTTGCCTCCTCGATGCGTGATACAAGAGTGTTTTCTGTCGCTTTCCAAGTATCATGCCTTGCACGTTGCTCCTCTTGCAATGCATGAATTTGCCGAAAAAGCGGCTGGGTGGCTTCAGATACGCTCTGCCCCAGCATGTCCACTCGAGCCACAGCATTCCGCCACTTACGCTTTAGGTCTGCAATCTCTGCCCGCGCCATCTCCTCGTGGCGGGATCTCTCTTTCTCCAAGTCACGGACATTGTCTTGAAGAAAATGCAGCATCTCTTGAAGCTCCGCGTTTTGATGACTAAGGACCTCATTGGACTGGGCTTCCAGCTTCAGTCTCTCAATTTCTTCATCTTTACCAGCTGAAGCAAAAGTCAGCTCTTCCATTCGATCCTGTAACTTTTCTAGCTGCTGTGCAGCCTCTAGCGCCTTTTGCTCAGCTGTTTCGACTCGAGCACTCATAGAATCTGCGTTGCCCGCAAGCTGACGGTTTTCCTGCACAAGGCGCATCTTCTCCTCTTCGCTCGCCTTCAGCTTCGACAAGATTCTTTTTATCTCCTCACCTGACACTTGAACTATTGACTCTGCCTTGTGTGCTCGCTCCTCCAACTCATCCTTTTCTTTACGCAACGCACGCAGCCTCTGCTCCAGCTGCGCCTGCTTGACCGACAAAGCCTGACCCTCACCTAGTAACGCACTCAGCATTTCCTCCTTCTCCTCGAGAGCTATTTGCAACGCCTGCATATCAGCACTTTGATTCCCACTCGTGTCTTTGCGCAACTGCGTCAGCTCTGCTATTTCACGCCGAAGGTCTTCCAGTTGCTCGGTAAGGCATTGTGCGCGTTCTACTGCTACAATTTCACGGTGGTGCATCTTATCGAGCTCATCGTGCAGCTTGCGGAGTGTCGTCGACGTTGCCACCAGCTGTGACTCGCGCATCTCAAGCTTCTTCTGCAGAGCCACCACCTCTGCGTCGTCACCGACAGCATCAATCACCTGTTCTTGATCACCTTGTTCTCTGCTTGACTTGTCGAAATTCACGTCTGTGTCCACCAGAGTTCCGTCAACTTTAGCCTCCTCTTCTTTTCTTGCCTCGTGATCCTGCAGCTGTTCCTCTACATCCTCTTCTCGCTCTTCCACAGCCTCTGCAACAATCTCTTCATCCTTTTCATCACTTTCTTGTCGCTCATTCTTCTCCACTTCCTGCTCACTCTCATCAATCACATTTTGTTCATGCAGATCTTTCCCATTCTCTTTCATTTCAGCTTCTATCTCCTCCTCACTAGCTTCATCAATATCTCTGTCTTCACTTACATTGTATTTTACCGTTGCAATAACCCCATCTTGCACAGCAATTGCTTCAGTATTATCAAGCTGTTTGTCCTCCACTTGTTGTAGCGGCTTCGCATCAATAGAAGACGTAACACGAGCAATTGGAGGACCCGTTACCACCTGGTCAAAAGACTTCTCCACATCTTCGCGTAGACTACGGACTTGCTCGAGTCCTTGCGTTACAATAGACGTCACATTAAGCTTGGTGCCCCAGCCGCCCCACGGAGATGACGAAGACATTGTGTGAAAATTAGAATAAAGCGTTAGGATTGGCTGAAATCATAAAATGATTATTTGTATTGGTATTTTCTGTGTTCAATATAGCCAATTAAATTTGATCTGATACCCCAAAAATTGTGAAATATGTCGCAAATATTTGCATTCGTTGCGAATATTCAGGTATTTGAATACAAAGATGCTGTGAAATGTGTCATCACGGCGGGGTCCCAGAGATTTGCTGATAAATTCTGTTCATCATTAGCAAAGGAAAATAAAAAGGGCAAACTCTTATTTTTCTCAGATTTCCACATCAGTCTAGAAATTAAACCTTATTTTGCAACGAAAAGTCATGAATTTTCAAATCACAGAGCACAAAACTGAGCACGACATCCGAGAAAAGTCACTTAATAATAAAAAAAGACTGAACGAAACTGATTACACCATCATGTTGTACAAATTCGTATGCAGTTGAAGCTGCACATAGCGTTATCATATTTTAAATCATCATTTAAATCACTACAAATTATGTAAATCTTCTTATTTAATCTTTTTAATTCAGTTCTCTGTCGTACCTTACGGTTCATTTTCGAAAAAGCTTCGTGACAAGTACGTGTCTTATTGTTTAATTGTTACCTATTATGTGTGAATCCATGCAGTTGAATACATGCAACCCAGTGGAAGATGATGCACTTATCTTAGAGCGTCAGCGCACAGCTGCATTGGAGCTAGAAGTAAAGGCTTTACGTGCATCACTCGTGGCCTTGGGTGAGTCAACAGAGTTTGAAGAGGAGCGTATGACGAACCGTCTTATGAAACGTCTACATGACGTAAAGAGTGAGAAGGAGAAGTTGGTGCTTGAGGTGGAGAGAGAGGAGGAGCTGTTAACTAATAAACTGCAGAAAAAGTTGAACCAATTGCGCAAGGAGAAGGTGGATTTAGAAAATAAGCTGGAAAATGAACAGGAGTATATTGTTAACCGTCTCTCGAAGCAGCTCGAAGCTGCTCGTCGTGAGAAAGAACGTCTGCTACAAGAGTTACAGAATGAGGATAATGGTGTGCGAAAGGCACTGGAGTCGCAAGTGGCCAAGATCCTGCATGAGAAGGTGCATCTCGAGAACGAGCTAGAGCAGGAGCAGGAGTTTCTTGTGAACCGACTCCAGAAGCAGCTTTCGGGACTGCATAGCGAACGTCGCAGGATGGAACGTAAATTAGCTAAGCAAAACGTAGCTCTGCTGGACCAGATGCAGCTCAAGATCGATGTGCTCAGGCTCGAGTGCGGAGACAACGTTAATGCATTTGCAGATGGTGTGAGCAAGATTTTGGCAAAAGCTAAGAAGCAACAGGCCAAGAAGGCGGCCGATGTTGTCAAAAATACCAAGGACGACATCAACATTAACGCCTGGGCTGCTTCATCCGGCTATAAGCCGCAGCTTACGTCTGAAGGACTGGTCTACCAGCACATTCGTCGTGGCACGATGTGAGAAGGATGGATGAATGGTAGATGGTCCGATGATGGATGGCAAACATTTCTCGATACTTTGCTGCCGTGGGATAAATGAATGGGTGCAAGTAACGTTGGAGCCGTTAGCCTTTTAGTTTTCTCTCGTATGCTTATGCCTTGCCAATACAAGAAACAGCGGCGCGAGACATGGAGACAAATCGGCTGTAGACCGCTAACTCAAAGAAAAACGAAATCTGATGCGAAGAAGTAGGAGTAACAACACCAACATTCAATATAATGATGTAACATAAATGAAGTACGAGTCTTTTTGTTAATTTGATGTGTTTGTACTGCATTTAGGAATTCCTCGACTAGCAAGAATCGATTAAATTAGGTATTGGGAGCTTGTCATTACTGATGTCCGTATTCGCAAATAAAATTCACCTGTTTATTGTTATAAAACGCTCATGCTACAGATTAGAATGCCTGGCGTACCAAACTTTTCTGTGCTTCCGTAAGACTCGTGGGGAACTGCACATCAAATTCCACGATCAAATTACCTCGCTGCATAGGGCTTTTCTGCAGTGGCATACCCTCGCCTGGAATTACCTTCTTTGTACCTGGAGCTATGACACCTCCAAGCGGAACAGGCACTTCGCGTCCGTCCAATGTCTTGACGGTTAGTGTACCATTGCCTATCAATGCATCTCGCAGCGACAACTTCGCGCGATACAGCAGATTGTCACCATCGCGTTGGAATTTACTGTGTGGTTTCTGCTTGACCACAAACACGATATCTTGGGCCGGACGTCCAGGTAGAGCATCCCCCTGCCCCGCAAATGTCACCTTTGTTCCATCCTTCCAACCAGGCTTAACATTAATCTCTAAGATCTTTTGCTCTTCACGCATTTGGTTTGAGCTTGGATCGTGTACCTTGCGTGTGATCTTGAGCTTTTTAACGTAGCCTGTGTAAAGCTGCTCTAGAGGTACTTCCAGCTCGCTCATGAGCTGCTGAGCTCGTGGCTGTTTCTGCTGACCAAAGGGATCTCCACGGCCCCCAAACCCACCGCTTCTCATGCCACGCATACCACCAAAACCCATATCACCAAACATGGACGCCATTGGGTCGCTTCTCTCAGCTTCATGAGGATTAGACGTGCCAAAGAACTGCTCAAAAATCTTGGACGGATCTGTCGTGTGAAAGGTAAAGCCTCCAGATGGAAAACCACTACTTGACGTTGTGTATGTAAAACCTCCAGGCATGCCACCCATTCCTCCTGGCATTCCACCCATTCCTCCTTCTGGTCCTTCAGGACCTGCTGGCTGACCTTTGAGTCCTTCTTCTCCATACATGTCATAGATTTCGCGTTTCTTCTTGTCACTCAATACTTCGTAAGCTTCTCCAATCTCCTGAAACTTCTTCTGCGCATCATCTGGATTGTTTGGATTTTTGTCTGGATGCCACTTTAGTGCCAACTTACGATAAGCTTTACGAAGCTCGTCATCTGTAGCATTCTTGTTTACATTCAGGATTGAATAATAGTCCTTTCCCATGATATTCTTTTAATGCTTTCTCTCTCTCTACTTGATGCTGTCCTCTTGGGTACTTTGACTTTTTAATACTGATAGATGAGAGGTTTTTGCACCGTTGTCGCGTAGAAAATTCGAGATGCAAGTGCAGGGAGTGGCTGAATTAAAATGGTGAGTACATATGATTGGCTGATTGTCGAGAGATAATGGCAGTTGCGACATTACGATTATTATACATCAAAGCCATTGATGTGATTGATTATCCCACTCTGATAATAGCCCTCAGCCTACTTGGGTATCTACTAATTACAATATTGTCTCCTCTGCTACGTCGCACTTGCGCTGCGATGGCTACAACACTCAAGCGACCAAACTGTATATCTATTCATATTCATCCTGCTGTAGTAATAGTTTGATGGTATTGCCAGCTCAACTTTGAGTTCACACGGCATTCACAAGAATTTCAGACGAAACACTGCAGAATCTAAACAACATTCTATCATTTTCAGCTGCATCTTCAGCGTTTCAAACACGAGGCTCATGGCAAGACACAATTTATCTAACAAACGCATCCGATATTCTTCTGTCTACTGCTACGAACAGCACGTGTGTCGAAAGGACTTTATACTCTACTGCATATAATACTATTAATGGAAATTCCAAGATGCTAAAACCAGAGCTTTAACGTAACCAACCACATGCCAATATGCAGTTCAAATCGTTACGAACCCATAGCTTCCATCAACCTATAGCTTCCATCAAATGTACAGGCCCAATGAAAGTAACTGCGGTAATTACTATGAAATCTTGCTTGATTCTTGATACAATTTGTTGTGCCAACGTTTGCGTACGTGATATCAATTATTACATACCTTACCCCACAAGAACTCGTCACATTGGCTAATTTTATCTGTATATCTTTTTGATTGGCTAAAACCCGACACACTTGATTTAAATACACAACAACCCAAAGACCCCCTCTCCTCATTCTAACGTACCCCACCGGTTATTGTCGTCTCAAAGACGTCCATACTTGTTTCCTACGGCACTATCGTCCTCCTCCTTCATCTTCACTTCCTTCGTGACATCTCTGTGCGTCTTTTGGTGTTTGTCGCGTCCTGTCAATTGCTCAGTTTCGCTCCCGACGGACATTTCTTCTCTCCTCTCTTTCTCTCCAGGTCCTGCTGCTTTTAGCCCCGTTCTGACCTGTCCGTGAATACACGGAGCCGTTGTATCAATCGTCACCACGCTCACGGACCGCAAGAGAAAACGAGGCGACGGAGGGATGTCCCATGATGGATACTTCACCTCTTCGCGGGATGATACGCCACCACCGGCCCCGCATAGCTCTACCTCGGGCTTTGAAGACTCTACTGCAGTCCATTCCATGGCCGAATCCAATGGTGTAATCCCTCAGAATCATATGATACTGCCGCTACATCTTCAAGGGGACGAAGATCAGTCCATGACAGACTCGGGTAGCTCGAACGCGTCCTCTGCGCTCAATTTGGCACAAGCATCCGTGCTAGACATTGTAAAAGAAGGAAAACGGGTAATTGCAGCCTTTTTGAGTGATACGCAGTGCTACGATGTTATAAAAAACAGCGGAAAAGTAGTGGTATTTGATGTCAAGATCCCTATTAATCTAGCTTTTTTTTGCACTAGTAGAACATGGTACGCTGAACAATAGCAAATGGTATGAAGAATGACTAATGACTGACTTTTGTTGCTACTGTTGCTGTTATTATCAGATATCAAGTCAGTGCCAATTTGGGACGCTGAGCAGGGCAAATTCGTGGGCATGTTCACAGCGACCGATTTTGTTAACATTCTACGTCACTTTTATATCCGTGGATCGCCCATGAATGAGCTAGCAGAGCACAGCATTGCCTCGTGGAGAGGTAAGCTATAATAATATAAGAGTGGACTTGACGCGGACTAAGTTGTGTGTGTTATGCTGGGTACAGCTATTCCTCATTCTTTGTCGATGGCACAAACAAGAGAGGAGATGATATCTGTCACACCGGAGCACAATCTATACGACGTATGCAAGATTCTTCGTGACAATAGGCTTCATAGACTTCCCATAGTAGACCCAATCCAGAATTCGGTCTTGTCTGTCATCACGCACAGCGGGATTTTGGAATACTTGGTGGCCACTTTCCGCGAGCAGCGTCGGCTGTTCGATCAGCCCATATTTGACCTAGGTATAGGCGTCTACAGTGGCTTCGTGACTGTTCCCGAAGATATGCCGCTTATTCGCGTGCTGCACACGCTGATTGAGAGGAGGGTTTCCGCTGTACCGATAGTCGACCCCAGTGGTAAGTTGTTGGCCGTTTCTATCCTTGCTGACGATACTCATCATTTTCTACGTATGATTTCGAATCAGGCGTTGTTGTGAATATTTATTGTGTATCGAACGTCACCGAATTGGTGAAAGACTGGTCACTTACTCAATTAGACATGCCTGTGGGAGAAATTCTTAGGATCCAAGCTGCTGAGGTGCGTTGACAAGCTGTCTGGTTGAGTTTGTACATGCTTATGGACCACCTTTTGCTGACTGTAAATAATGGCGTTAGGGCAATGCCGGAGAAGGCCTGCATTTATGTTACAAGACTGACACACTTCACATGATATTCGAGCGGTTTGCGGCATGCAAGGCGCATCGGTTTGTGTGCGTGGACGAGTATTCGCGTTGCGTGGGTCTCGTATCCCTCAGTGATTTGTTTAATTATTTTGTTGAGTAGCGAGCGCATTACTAAGTGACTCGCGCTCGCCAGGGACTGACAACAGAAGGCAGATATAAAGAAATTGAAACATTGTGCAGCGAACAATGACTGCAAATGAATGCGCGATAGCTGAAGACAGGCAAAAACACAAACAAATTAAACCACAGACAACTTTAAGAAAAGACAGTTGGGAGCAGCAAGTAGAAGCAGTATCAACCACCAGCAGCCTTGTTGGTGTGCTCTTGCAACAACCTAACAAGTCTTGCACTTTTGAGTCCGTGCTAGTAGAAATGGTTCAGGCAAACTATAACGACTGGATAATGTCCACAATGTAGAAAATGGCTTGTAGTCATGTCTTTAAGATGGCTACATTTAACACCCGTTTGCGCATACATGAACACACGTGTATTACAAAGCCATGGTTAGCATCCAACCCATCACAATGTTCACGTATCTTTTGTCATTCAACAACAAACAACACCACCACCAACTTGTTTCTTGTAAAGCCCTTGGTCTAGTCTATTATTGGTCATTTCAGCGCAGAGTTTCGAAGTGACGGCGCAATTGTTCCAAGTCGCAGGACGGCAGTCCAATCGGTGGTTCTCTGCCCAGTGTTGTGTATTTATTATATATCTTAGCCAACAACTCATCCTTCTCACGGCGTTGTGCAATGTTGTGCGCTTTCTCGGGGTCTGCATGGCCGCCCTGTCGCCAATCTCCTTTACGGGCCTCGGCCGCTGCCGCTGCTCGTACACGTTTCTCTGCAGCTGATAATTCAGGGCTGTTGGTCGAGGAATTACCACCTAGTATCTGAACATTTCTTAAGGGCAGTGGACGTGTACTTGGACGAGATTGTACAGGCTCCGAGACTGTCGCGAGCTGTTTCTTGGATGAGCAGCACCCCATTCTTCACACTTTGTCTGCTAATTCTGGTTTGAGGTTAGTTATGTTGTTGTTTTGTTAGAACCTCTGTTAAGGTATAAACCAATTCATCAAAACCTCCTGTAAGGACTATTTTAGACCCAAAAATAAACCACAATTTAGGTGATCCTGTCCAGTTATTTTGGGTTCCTTTGTTTCACCAAATTGGCTTGATTACTACCACCCGTAACTACTGACTTACTTAAACACACACGTAGCCATGTCGTCTGCAATGATCAAGATCGCTGAGCTAGAGGCGGAATATGCACGTACACAGAAGAATAAAGCAACAATGAAGCATCTGTGTTTACTAAAGGCAAAAATTGCCAAATTACGACGTGAAATGACGGATGCAGGCTCCAAGTCTGGCGGTGGTACGGGCGAAGGTTTTGACGTGAATAAAGTGGGTGATACACGCGTGGGGCTTGTGGGATTTCCTTCTGTTGGCAAGTCAACACTCTTGACTAAACTAACAGGAACTTTCTCAGAGGCCGCTTCTTATGAGTTTACAACGCTTACGGCTATCCCTGGCACGCTCAATTACCGGGGTGCACGCATCCAGATCCTTGACTTACCTGGTATTATTGAAGGTGCTAAGGATGGCAAAGGAAGAGGACGACAGGTCATTGGTACAGCACGGACCTGCAATGTGATTCTTATTGTGCTCGATGCCATGAAACCTGCGACTCATAAGAAACTTATTGAATTTGAGCTCGAGGGGTTTGGCATTCGACTAAACAAGAAGCCGGCCAATATGGTGTTTCGGCGCAAGGAACGAGGAGGTATTCACTTTCAGACCACTTGTCCGCAAAGTGAACTAGATGCCGACATGGTGTCCCAGATTTTGCACGAGTACAAGATCCACAATGCCGACGTGACGCTGCGCGCGGATGTAACGGTGGATGAATTTATCGATCAGGTTGAAGGAAATCGCGTATATATTCCGTGTCTATATGTGCTGAACAAGATCGATCAGCTTACGATCGAAGAGCTTACGATTATCGACCAGATTCCGCACAACGTAGTGATTTCGGCACACCATGGCTGGAACTTGGATGAGCTACTAGAGACAATCTGGGACTACTGCCACATGATTCGCATCTACACGAAGCCTAGAGGTCGACTGCCGGACTATAACGCGCCTGTTATTCTGCACGAGGAGTCACCGACAGTGGAGAACTTTTGTCAGCGCATTCACAAGTCGTTGTTGAAGGATTTCAAGTACGCCTGGGTTTGGGGAGCGTCATGCAAGCATCAGCCGCAGAAGGTGGGCAAGGAACATTTGCTGCAAGACGAAGATATTGTACAGATTGTCAAGAAAGTGTAACGTGGTATAGTGCAGCATTTGTTTCAAGTGAGACGGAGCTTAGAGAAAGATCTCCGATTGCGTTGACGTGTGTTGTTATCAATGACAAAAGAGCCACAGAGGTAGAGCTGAGTGATGGATTAGGCATCCTCATTCTTAAGCGCTGGTAAAATCCAGGATGAAGATTTGCTTTGTCCTTAGCGGCGTATGTGGCTTGGCATTTGCACAAGACCCATTTCCAAATATACAAAGGGATTGTTAGATTCAACATTCACGAGCGATGGTGCTACCCATTTCGAGCACAGCTAGCATGCTGGTTTAATCAAAAAGGATAGTGTAAAAGGATAGAGAAGTTGAGCTCCTACTGGTGTAATCGATGATAAGTGGTCTACTATATGTATCAAACTAGTGATTGACTTATTCTGAACGAGTGTCATCGTTCTCTAGAGTCGATATCCATCACTGTCAACTGAAGCAATCATTCAAGTTCAGTCTTTTTTGCATCTTTGAATAACAGGCACTGTTAGTGTTGCTGCAACTTTAGTTCGAGTCTTTATTTGGCTAAACTTGAAGATTCTATTGTGATTTTTTTAATTTGCACGTCGCAATGATGCTTTGCCTCTTTTTCATTGGACAATAAAATGCGTTAGTCCCCATTGGGTCGTTAGGGACCCAAAAAGCCCAAAGGGAAACACAGAAGTCGGCGATTCCGCATTGCGTCGTCGCAGCACGCGCTCTATCTGCATCTGTTAGTGTCTACAAGAATCCTCCTCCTCACTTGATTTGAGCTCGCAGTAAAAATCTCTCGCATTCTTTTTCTTTCGTTCTCGTTTTCCTTGTTCGCGTTGTAGGTAGTGAGGGAGGTAGGTAATACCGTGATAAAGAAGGCCCCAGTCGTAACGTGAAAAAACCCAGACGATATCAAAAAGACCCAACAATAGGCAAGTAAAGAAGACAGTAACGAACATGAATTACAGTGACTTGGATCTGAATCGAGTGGAATCAGATAAACTGAAACGAGAGACAAAGAGCTCATCCTTCTTCCCTGCAACACACTCAGAGCGCCAGCTGAGCTTTAGTACGTTCCTTATGGACGATGTAGGATCACCCGTTCAGCTACAAAAGGTTAGTAAGCGGTCTCCACCACCACCTCTACCATCTCTAAGAGCTCAGGAAGCAGCAAGGACTGATTACATGCCACCACGACGCCAAAACTCGCCATTTACCGTCGCATCGAGACTACGAGGAGGCTCTGACGGAGACATTCCCGTGCTAGAGGCTGTACGAGACAGCACCTGCTTTATTCTGGATGGATCCGATCAGATAGGAGTGGAAACGAGAAGCGAGGAAGAGGTAGACGCTAGAGTCGTAGTAGGTGAGTACGATACTGAAGAGGACGACTTTGTGCCGGTATTACAAACGGCAGAGGACGCGCTACGTGTCCATCGACATATGGGTAGTAAAAAATTCTCGTGGAGAGTTTCGGCCAGAAGAGGTGTACCCATTGGCAAAACAGTCCGAGTGCCCGACCAAGAGACGCTTTTGAGGATGTCGGCAAAGAGTGCAGACCTATTATCGAGTTACTCGAGCAGTAGTACCCTGAGATCGAGCAAGAGCTTTGCTTCGTCCATCCCGATTGACCGTGAACTGGTACGCAGTGGATGGCTTTACAAGCAGGCGAATGTCATGTACGTTGTCAAATTGGTGAATTTTGTTGGAGCTTTATTGATTCGTATGTGCTCAGGAAAACGTGGAAACGACGGTATTTTGTGCTGATTAAACGAACAAACACTGCGACGGGCGAGTACTGGGCGTCACTGCAGTACTACAAAGGAAACAACTTTGGCAAATTACGCGGAGAGATGCACTTACAGGATGGCATGCTGTCGGTGCGCTTTTTGGAACCGGACGAGACCAAGAGACCATTTTGTTTTGAAATAGCTGGCGAGGACTTTTCGTTTGTATGTTCTGGATCGAACGACGACGACGCAAGTGCGTGGGTGTGTCTGCTGCAGAGTTTGTCAGGAGGAGGTAACAGTACAATTCCACCGTCGGCCGGTCTTATGGGCACGGCAGCAACCAACAGCCTATTACAGTCGGGAGATGCGTCAAGGGGAAATCGGGGTTGTATTAGCACCATTGATGTTCGAAGCATACGCATTGTGGCAGAATTACGGAAAGTCCTCCACACAAGCAAGTCCCCTGAAGCTGCCAAGTATAAGAGCTTTATTAGCTCATACGAGTGTCGAAGTACGGAAGCGCTTCGCGAATTTCGAGGGTTTCATGCAGCACTGACAGAATCCATCGTGACGGACCACGGCACTCGTATCTTGGCAGCTCTCAAGGATCTAGGTAACGATGGTACGAATGCTGTTAAAAATGAGGACAAGAAGCAAGGCTTGCAGTCGATATCGCTCGACGTAGTGCGTTTGGCTGTTTCTCGTCATGTGGAAGAAGTGCTTTTCGTACCGCTACAGGATAAAATTAATTCGTGTCTACGTCGTGTGTACCATGAGGAAGAATCTTCGATTAACCGCAAAGTAAGATGGTTACAAGGAAAAGATCAGATGTACTTCAACATTCCGCTGCACCAGATCTCCTGGAAGGAATGGAGGAAAGCATCAAGAATTCTTGCTCAAATTGCTCATGTACCTCTTCCTGCTACAAAATACGACGTGCTTACGAGCACAATCAAAGAGATCCAGGCGACTTATGCTGAAGAGCATTTTATGACCGGTGAAATGGAGCCACTTGAGACCGATGATATCATACCAATTTTTACCTACGTGTTGTCGAATAGCGGGCTGGAGAATCTCATCTCGCTTAAAACCTTGTTAGCTGAACTAAACGGGTCTTGGGCCGTCGGCGGATCCCCTGAGGACGAAATATCACTGAACATTTTGACAAACGCTGTAGACTTCATCAGTAACGTCAGCATCCCCGCCGTATTGGAAGACATTTTCAAGGATCAAATTACGCTCTCAATTGACGGTGACTGGCGGCGTGTACTGGAGTTTGAAGTAGAGCCAACATACCGTTACGGTGCAATTGTTGAGCATATTTCACCTCATGGCTACTCAGCTGTTGGAACCATTATTACCCGAGGTTACGTATTGGTGACAGTAAATGGACAAAATGTGGTACTGTGGCCATTTCAAGATATAATGTCCTTGCTTCTGGAGTCGTCGTCTCCTCATCGATTAGCATTCATCCCTGGAAGCAGTTATTTCAAAATTTTGACATCTAACAAGGCGCTATGGAACGTGGCGTTGATGCATGCATGCCAGCGCGGTGATGTGTATAGTGTGCAAATGCTGCTGTCAAACGGTGCTGACGTGAATTACATTGCTCATGAGTGCGGAAGTAACACGCCACTGCACGTTGCAGTAAGTGCTTTACACTTCAACGTTGTTTCATACATGCTTCAACATGGCGCAAAGGTAAAAACCATTGGGAAATGTGGCCGCAGTGCATTGCATATGGTTGGGTCACCTTGCATGATGCCTGCAGCAATGAGTACGTCTCGTGACATGACGACAACAGGAATATCAGCTACCTTGAGCGACTCAGATAAGGCTGTTTTGATAATCAAGAAGCTGATCGCCCATGGTGCACTTGTCGATACTGTTGACATCTATGGCAACACTCCGATCATGTTGCTGGCAGAAAAAGGCTTTCTTGGCGGAATCGATGTGATAATGGAAGCAGATAGCAATATTGACCTGAATGTGCGCAACTGGCAGTGTGGTATGAGCGCTCTCGCTTTTGCAGCAAAGAGCGGCCACGCAAATGTGGTGGAGGGGTTGCTAGATTACGGCGCTCAAGCCGACATTCGCACGCTACATGGTGAGACCCCACTGCATTTTGCGGCAGCAAGCGCGAGTCAGCGTGTGTGTCAGTTGCTTATAGAAAAGGGCTGTGATGTGGATATTCGTACAAGTGAAGGGTTGACTCCACTGATGGTTGCAGTAGCGAAAGATCACGGGATGGCCAAGGACAAAACCGCTGCTTTGTCTGTTCCATCTCTAACAGGCTATTATCGTCACTGCCATGAAAATGACAATCACCTTCAGAAGACAGCGATTGATCCGCGAAGCAGCATTAATATGGACATCTCCTCAGTCATTCTTACACTGAATTATCTCGTGCAGAGTGGTGCTGAACTGTCTGCAGTTTGTGAATTGTATCGTACGCCTTTGCATTATGCAGCTTTATTCGGGTGTGACGAGTTATTTGCATGCCTTGTGGCAAAAATGGGAGACGAGGCGAATTTAGAAAGGCGCGACTTGTATGGACAGTCAGCAGTATTTATGGTGGAAGCTACTCGCTCCTCGCACGCGCTCGCAAGTGAAGACGCATCTACTGGCAATTGTTCAGCTGAGGTGGGCGAGAACGCTGATGACTCTGATGATGACGACGACGATATTGACGACCTGGAACAGGCTGACATTCCCATGTCACTAAAAGGACGTAAAGATTTTTCAGGAAAGAGCTTGAGTATTAAGGATCTTGTAACAGAAGAAATTGGTGGAGAAGAGGAAATCATTGCAGGGACTTTTGAAGCTATTGCCGGCTTTTTGTTGCAATATGAGAATTATCGTCCGGAGGAGTTAAGTGCGCTCATTTGGTCGTGCGGGTATGCATTCAATGGAGGTGGGGACAACTTTCGTGAAACGGTCGATATATTGCGAAACTTGTGGAAACAGTACTCGATTAAAACGGAAGCTGGGATTTACGTACGACGTATGTTGCTGAGCGCATTGAATAAGTTGGTAGAGATTTTAAAGCACAGCGTGGAATGTGATACAACTGTGTGCAATTACGTTGCTGAGTTGTACATGGAATTAGTCCCTTTACAGGGCGAGCTGGCCAAGGAGGACCCACAATGTGCACAATGGCTAAGTGTGTCGCTGTTACCTGAATTTTCAGATGCGTGTCAGTCAAACCGTGTGCAGGAATTCCAGGTGCTGTCTTTTTGCGAGGGCGATTACACGTCGCTGAAACAGTTTATCTGCACAGCGAAGCAAGCCAACCCAAACCTTGAGTTTTTGGATGACGATTTATTTGGCGTTGCAACGGGTATGGAGATTATCACAGAAACGATGCGGCGCCGGATGTCTCTCGCTGGTGTGTGGAGAAGGGGGGAAGTAAAGAAATCGTTTGTGGTTAAGCCAGAGGAGGTCCTTGATTCTGTATCGGAAGGACGGTCAACTACAATTACACCTTGGCAGCCGAAAGGTGTAAATGTGGGCCGTTCATTTACTCTAGAGCAGCGTATGACGAGATTATGGTACGTTATGTTAAAACTTGCTGAACAATTATCGATATCAGCCAATACTCATGTCATTATTTTGCAAAAGGATTTTGGATTTGGATCCTAGCATTATCGCACAACAGATCACTCTGATGCAGCACTATCTTTTCAGCAAAATAAAAGGTAACGATTCAGTCGCCGCATCGTTACAAATTGTGAGTGAGTCAACTGCGGTTGCTAATGCTTGCTGTGTTATAATTGTGTCTGTTGCATCTGTAGTGTCTGAGGTATTGGCGTCTAAGCGCAATGCGGAAAAAACACCAGGGTATCAGCGACTACGACTGCTGCACAATCACATTTCCACTTGGGTGGTTAGCCAGATTTTGATGCGAAGCGATGTGGATCAACTTGCAGAAATCCTCGCTTATTTCATTCGTGTCGCTGGCGTTTTGCTTTCACCCCTACAAAATCTCGACGGATTTATGGCTGTCATGAACGCAGCAAACGATTCTTCAGTTTTTCGTCTCAAAAAGACATGGGGCCGGCTACCACCAGAAGCACGCGACTTGTGGCAACAGCTGGTGCCGCTCACAGAAAAGGGTGCTCGACCATTAAACAAGTTCACAAAGGAAGCAACTCCCCCGCTGATCCCGTATATGGGTGTTGTAATTCAGAACGTGATTGCACTACAAGAGTACCCCGATCGTGTGGAGGGAGACTTGATCAATTTCAAGAAAATACGCTCCATTAGCTTTCTCGTTCAAAGAGTGCTTTCTTTCCAGAAGACACCATACTTGCTACCGACGAACAAGCGTGTTTTGGTAAGCCCAACCAGCTGCTTTTGTTTATATGAATTCTTGACGACTAATGTCGAATGACTTATATCTTCTATGTTGCTTCCCTTTCAGGAGCACATATGCTCACCAGTTCCTTTCGTTGATGGCGACTCCTGTTTTGCGCGCTCACTGGAGATTGAGCCCCGCGTCACCGATGCTGCGCCCGGCACTATGTGACAATGTGAATAGGACAGTTGACGACGATGATTTTAGTCGTCATTTTTAGCGATGAAGTTACGTGACATCCTGCTTAGAATACCGTGTTAATATACAAGGATGACACAGTGCATTGGATCTAAAGCTCGGCATAGCCACATATGACGCCGAATAAGAAACAGGTTTGACAACTCAGGTATGTTATGTTTTGGTACGAGAGCGAAACAAGTATCTAACAAGTGCAATTTGTATTGTTGACTTTTGCTTATTGTGGTACAATGCTTGTTTGCTTTGGTTCAGGGCTCTACGCTGTCAACCCTCCATCCTTTCCAATGTCCGTTTTCAAGTGCTTCCAAAACATGAAAATTGCCAAAGGATAGTGCAGCATTGCGATGATCATCAAAAAGTATCCCGTCTTCAATGATGTGTCGTCCTTCTCACCCAACGGTCCCGCCTGCACGACCCACAGCACGATCGTTAGCATCGCCGTGAAAGCAGCCACGGCAGCCAAGAAGAAGCCGGCGCCAATCCACTTCTCGTTTCCTCTGCAGCATGTGATCGCACCCACCATGGCAATTATCGCCATCAGACCGTTCGACATGCTCATGCCACCAGTCGTCATCGTACTCATACCGAGTATCCCGCACGACTTGTCCAGAAACCTGTCAAATTGTTTCGCATCCATGCCGGCGGCTGTCGCCAGCACTGATGCGTATGCCAGACGCTCAGCGTCGCTCACATCACCAGCCTTGCTGTAGCCCTCGCACGTGGCGAACTTTGAGTATTTGGTCCATATCATTTCGTTGATGACGGAGAGGCCGTCGTACCCAGACCCAAACTTGTAGTGGAAACAATGGTCAAGGGTCGAGCTTGAATCCGTGAGTTCACTGTTGATGCAGAAACCCATTAGACCGGCCTTGAAGTAAGTGCTGGCTACCTCGTTGGTAAGTGCTGAATTGACGGTGAAATTAGCGGTCCACAGGGGGAGTATCACAGCGACCGTGTTGTAAAGCGTGCCGATGACGATCATGGCAATCGCACCGTATCCGTGCTTGGAAATTGACATTGATGGACTTGTATTTTTCGCGTTGATTGGGACAATGCGTTTTGAAAACTGGCCCTGTAGTGTCTTGATTTCGTGTGGTTGTGTCCTTACAGCTGTTGACAAGCTGTATGTGTCTTGCACATCCTTCGGTGGTCCACGTAAAGTAAGCACAGCAAAAGATTACCATGACCGTTATTGCAGCGCAATCAGGGGCCTTGATGAGTTTTCTCACTGCAAATAGGAAGAGACAAATGCTGCTCATATCATTATATCGATATCAGGAAAATGGCTTTTATCCGATTTTAATGGCGCTAAATTCTTAAACTCTTTGCGAATATTGCTAAAGTATTGCAAATATTGCTTGAAATCCCACATCAATATCAAATAATCGTCAAAAATTAACCAGATATACGAAAGCTTGTTACCGGCAAGTAGTCACTGCTTCGACATAACCTAAATTCTCTAGCATTGACACTCTTTGCTCTTTCAAGCTTCAACTCGCTATAATCTTACCACCTATCATGTACAAATACTGCTTCACAACATTATAATGTTAGCTTCACAACCGTAGGAATAAGGACAAATCACTCCATACTTCAAAACCCCATCCTCATCATTGGGTTGAATACATTTTCTCTTAGAACCATAGCTATGATCATCTTTTGCCACAATCTCCAACGTAGTTGCTACTGTCCTTTTATTGTAGACGCTTCTAATACGACTGTCAACAAAAAGAAGTTCAGCCGTAATGTATCCAGTACCAACTTTCAAACTGGTCTCTAGGATTCTGTTTTTGACAGCCAAAAGAATCGATGGGATATCGTTATACGACTGTTTTAAATAGTTGGATCTATGAGCGGCGAGTTATCAGCACTGAGCAATGAGTTGTGGTCAAAGTACTCATTCGATGGTGTTTGCAAGGGCTACGACAACGAAGTCAACGTAAGCGATGTAGGACAATCTGTATACTCGACTGTGCTTGTAACGGGGTTACACGAAGGTGTGTATTTTACTTACACTCCTGCCACATCATTGTGGTGTGGCTGTACTTTGGGTACACTGGTGAGTTGAGGGTGACCGTACCTTAGATATAAACGGTCGCATCGTGGCAGAGAGCCACGTGGTCATTATGTTTGGTTTAAGTATTATGAATACATATGATTACATAGTAGATAGATAGTAACGAGCAATAAGTATCGAATAGGTGCTTCTATATTTAATGCTAGAAGACAAACATAAATATAAATCAGCTTTAAACCGGATCTGAATAGTATCAATTGCTAGAGCATTAGCCCTTGAAAGAAGTGACGTTGTATATTAGATACTGGTCTCTTCGAAACGTGGTTATTTATAATCAAACGGCACAAGCTTGTATATCTAGCCTTGAGAGGTTTGAGAGTATTAGGACGCAAAGCTCTTTGAGATTGTCTTTCTCAGCGCTTAGTGCATAATTAGATTTGCTACAGTAGCTCGGCTACACCTAATAGTAGTCAATCCCGTATCTAGGTATGTGACTACTTCTCTGTGAGAATGGACATCGAAGAGATGCCCGCGGTTCACCTGTCCCAGGCACAACAGGAAGTGTTGCAAAAGCTGCTCCCTATCCTTGACCCTAAGGGCGTGTAATACCGCATCACCCAGGGCGAAGAAGAGGTTGACAAGCGTATTCGTATGCTTGATGAATATAACAAAGCTCTTGTCGAGCATGTAAAGGCATTGATGCCTTCTTCTGCACCGTCACCCATGCGACTATGGCGCAAGAAGTGGTCCGCAGACCAAAACCCATACAAATGGAAGTCGATAAGTTTGACGGCAGAGATGGGGACAACTTTATGCTTTGGTTCCGACAGGTTGAGTCGGCTATGTTTATAGCCGACATCACCTATGAACCGTACCGTGTGGGCTTTGCCACGGGCAAGTTAGGTGGATTAGCCAAACAGTGGGCATTCACATGTGGTGCATCACTGCAAGATGCATTTTCAACATGGGCCGACCTGAAAGTTCAGACAAACCGGCAGTATGCACCGCCAAACCAAGCACACCGTAATCGGTCGCGGTTTTTGGCGTGTCGCCAAGGCAAACGTGAGCTTGCGGCATATGTGCAAGAGTTGAGAACTCTCATTGCTGCCATGGTTATGGACCCTATGCCTAAGGCAGCAACCGTCACGGTCTTCAAGGAAGGCCTCCAAGTTGGCGTTTCCAGAACGGAAGTCTTCCGGGTAAACCCGTCCTTATTCTAGGAAGCAGTTGAAATGGCTATAGAATGCCGAGACCAAATTTAAGGCCGCTAGGCCTGCCACTTATAACTACTCGTCTGATGGGTCTGTACCCATGGACTATGGTTAAGTGGACGAAGAAAAATCTGAGCTTCATGCTGCGGAGCAGCAAGTTGTACGCATATGTTGTATCTGCAAGATCACAGGCCATTTGATGGCAAAATGCCCTGCAACAAAGGCATATTTGGCCTCGAAGAGCCGACGCCTCACGTATAAACCCTCTAGTTTGCCGCGGGGAAACGGTGGAACCCAGTAGGCGCGGGGCGCCCTACTGGGGAAGAACTGAGTTCTGTTGAACCTCTAGGAGGTAGAAGTAAACAGGGCCCAGCCCCAAAACGATCCGAACTCTCAAAAATGGAACGAGAATGCAAGCCAGGCTTGCTAGTCGTCGAAGGTACGCTTAAGGGTTTTGATAAGCCATGGATCATTTTGATTGATTCGAGGACATCGGGCAATTATGTGCGCCGTGCCACCGTGGAAGGTAGTCAGCAGTATGCTGAAGCGCTTGTAGCGCGTGAGAGTTACACAGTCATAGTTCGCTTAGCGACTGGTACGCGTGTTACGGTACCCAAAGTCTCGATGGACTAAAATGTAAAGTTCTTGGACTTTAACAGCATGGAACGCTGTTTGGTCTTAAACCTGGATGCGAGGTATGGCCTCATCCTAGGCATGGCATGGCTAGAAAGCCATGAGACATGATTGATTGGAGGTCGAAGACGTGAGGCGCAACGCGCAATGCTCCTGGAGGGGCTCTGGAAAGTCATGAACCCACCTCTGCTAGGAAGCAAAAGAACGTTTGGCGCGGATATTGAACCGGATCGGTCAATATGTTGGATGTCGGAGTATGACATGTGTCATAAGAATGATGTTACATCATTTAGCACCGTGAGTGATGTTTGTGGCTGCAAGCCAAGATGTCAGGACATGAGTCCAAGTGACATGAGTCCAAGTGACATGAGTGAAGAGGAACTGGCCCTGGAGGGCCGGGTGGAGTCACCAACGGATGTTGTCTTTGAGGATAACGAGGTGCCTGCACATAACGATGAGGTACTGACCCTGGAGGGTCGAGTGAAGTCATTAATGGATGTTATCTTTGAGGAGAACGAGGTGCGAGCACCTCATGACGATGCATTGACCTAAGATGGTGGGGTACAGCCAGTAAACGAAGTGGCCTTTGACCTTAAGGTATGTACACCTGTGGAAGCTGATGCGTCAGATGCTGAGAGCATCATGAGTAGCGATGATTATATCGTGAGTGACGGTGATAGCGAAAAGCTATATACACTCGTCAATGGTTTGACTGGGGATGTTGAAGAGCCGGTGGCTCTTCCAGCTATACCCGCAGTAAGTGCTCTGTTAGAGCTGGACAAGCAGGACCCTTTGTATCCTTACTTTATTTTGTTGAAGGAATATGGAGATGTTGTATCCAGAGAACCACCTACGAGGTTACCTTCGGATAGAGGTGTACGTTATGAAATTGACTTGATTCCAAGAACCAAATACTGTGTGACGCGACAGTGGCCGCTTCCACGAGAACAATGTGACGTCATTGACGAGTTCTTTCGTGCAAAGCACGCGGCTGGAATGGTGCGTGAGAGTAAGTTTTTTCAATCTACGCCCACGTTTTGTGTGAGAAAGCCTAATGGGAAGTGGCGCATAGTGCATGCTTACAATAAGCTGAATGCAGCCACTATCCCGACCCAAACACCTATTTCTCGCAAGGATGTTCTTCAGAACGATATGGTGGGATGTACGATGCACAGTGCCCTCGACTTAGTCGATGGATATTACCAACTGCTTATGCGAGCTAGTGATACCCCGCTGGCAGCGGTCAGCACTCCGAGCGGTATGGGAGTGGTTAGCGATGCCTTGAGGGCTTTCTGACGCACCTGCAACATTCAATAGTGTGGTGACGCAGTGTTTCGGCCCCATAGGGCGTATGCACAGACATGCTTTGACGATATATTCGTCCATAGTCGAGCCGAAAATGGCAAGACTGATGTGGAGGATCACATCGAGCACCTGCGAGCTGTGTTCGGTTGCATGAGGATGCATAAGTTGTATGCCAATATTGACAAACGAATCTTCGGTGCGGAAGAGATTCTCTTTTCGGGATGCTTCATTGGGAAGCGAGGAATCCGGGCAGACCCTGTTAAGGTCAAAGCCATAGTGGATTGGCCGGTTCCGAGGAACCAGAAGGACCTCCGCAAGTGGTTGGGTTTGGCAAATTACTTGCACAAGTATAGCCACAACTATGCGGAGGTGGCTAGGCCATTGTCCAATCTCTTTAAAAAGGATGTGGAATGGTGTTGGAACACCGAGCACCACGAGGCTTATAAAGCCATTATGGAGAGTCTCCTTCAGGCGCCAATTCTGGCTTTGCCTGATCCTGACCGATCGTTTAGCGTCGTATGTGACGCTTCGGACTTTGCCATTGGCAGTGCACTTTTGCAAGCTGGCTCTGAAGGCCGAGAACGCGTCATCGCGTTTGAGTCTCGCAAGAGGAAAGCTGCAGAGAAGAACTGTCCAGTTTATGACAAGGATCTACTTGCGATGAGTATCATATGAACACTGGAGGCGTACCTGGAGGTCAATTTGACAACGAATTCGGCTTGAGAACGCTCAATCGCCGTTAATCGATCTGAGGTCTCAGAGCGATAACACTCAAAGGATTGACGGTGTCGATCGACACGGTCATCGAGCGATGACAGGTGAGGAGTCACCGATGCAAGAGCATCACGCTCCAGAATTGTCCAGACGCTCGATCTCAGAGAGATCAGAGGTCAATGAGTCGCCGACTTCCAACACAATGCAGTCTTCGGGCTGGTATAGTGTTGAGTCATACTATATGTGCGAACGTGCCGTTGCACGATATATCAATTGAATTTCTGCCCTATCAGCTTTGGATGGTAGGATATTGTCTATTATGGCATTAACATGTAACGAGCAATTAGGGTTTGGTTGTCATAAAAACGGCAGCCACATCCAAGAAAGACAGCAGGCCCATAAATATACGTAATCCTGACACAGAGCGGTAGTGGCAATAAAAAGCAATCCTCTGGCTCTTCGAGTCCGGCAATCGGAATGAGTACAGTTCAAATATTTTAACGAGGATCAATTTGGGGTGAAAGTCTGGTAAAATCAATTTCATTATACTTAAAGTGAGAAAAAAGAGTGAGTGAGAAAAAAGAGTGAGTGAGAAAAAAGAGTGAGTGAGAAAAAAAGAGTGAGTGAGAAAAAAAGAGTGATTAAAAGATTGAGTAAGTGGAAAACGAGTGAAGAGGAAACGTAGAGTGAACCAGGAAGCTGGGAGTGAGAAAAGTGGAGGAGAGTGTGCCGATGGAAACAAAAAGTTGTGCCTAGGTTAACTAATCTGACTAGTTGGTTGGCTCAGTTGTTAAGGCATAGCCGATCCAACCGGTATATCGAGGGACAAATCCCTTCAAAACACACTTTCCTCTCAAGCTGAAATGCTGGGACCTGGGAGGCAGCTGTCGTCCAAAGTGGGTTGCAGTGGGCTTCTGGTTGATCCGCTGATCAGTGTGGATGGAAGGTAACTTAAAAGATTATTCAAATGTGTTAAAAATGTTGCGTGACCGTTGTACGGAGGCAGTAGGGTAAGATTGATAGGACGGTGAAATTGATTGTATGACGGCACCAACGGACGACAAACCGATGGTATCCGCTAACCCAACGGATGGGAAACCGATGGAAATTCTGAAACCGATGGGAGTTGCAAGCCAACGGTCGAGAAACCGATAGCAATTGCAAACCAACGGCTGGGAAACCGGTGGGATGCGCGAAACCAGCGTGGGTGGGAATAGAAACACCTCATAAGAGAATTTGTGAGATGGGGACAACAGCAACGGCGACAAGAGGAGAGCAGCGGGAGAAGTGGCGCGTGGTGCAGTGGGGCTGTCAACGGTGATGGCCACGACAGTGACGAAGGAGAAGCCGACGGCGGAGGATCGAGGGGATGACGGCGGCGGTGCGCAGACTCGGCCGAGCGACGGGGCAGAGGGTGAAGCTGGACCTATGCCGTCCGAAGTGGGTTGCGTGGAACCCCTGGTTCAATCCTCCGATGAGAAGGAAGCGGGGGAGAAAGACGCGAGTGCGCAGGTCGTCGTCGAAGTAGAGGCTCGTGGCGAGGGCAGTCATGGAGCTATTGTCGAAGAGCCGAGGCCTAGTGATAGCGAAGTCGGCAAGGACGACAACGGCTGGAGCGTCAACGGGGAGGATCAAACCGGCAGGTACGGTGTAACGATGGCTGTGAACGACGAGGATGGGGTTGCGAGCGCGGCTTACACGATCGGAGACGTGATGATGGATGGAGAGGTGGAGTGGCAGCCAGGTGAAGAAGTTGAAATGGTGGTGGTGGGTAAACCGACAGGGCAGCCGAAGGGGGACGAACCCGAGGGAGCCGCAGGGTAGGGAGGCTCGCAAGCGCTAAGATCGCCTGTCATCTGGACCCTACCCGCCTATCCACCCGAAAGCGCGTGACTAGGCCGATCTCGGAGAGCGACGATTCCGCCGAGGAGGAGCCGCTTGAAGCGATCTGCGAAGCCTAGTGATTGGTGAAGCGCGAAGAGAGGGAGGGGAAAATGTGGTACCTGACGAAGTGGCTCGAGGCAGAATCCGGGGAAGAGTATACGTGTGTGCCGGCTGGAGCATTGAAGGGAGCGGCGGCATGGAAGGAGGCGATAGATCGGTATTACGACGTGGCGCGGGTCGAGACACCTCACCTAAACATCCAGTAATGGTTGCGACGAAACGTGAAAATTATCACAATGGGAGGTGACTCGTCGGCAACGTGCGTCTACGACGCGGTGCGGACTATTATGAAGCTGCAAGGACACAAATTTGAGCTGTGCGACACGCACATTGATGAGTTCAAGCGGCGCAAAAGATGGACCGCGTAGCGCAAGGTGGGCTTCGATCGGAGCAGGTTTAGCGGTTATTTGAATACCTGATCACCAAGGGATGGCGGGTGTAGCTGAAGCCAAATGTGTATGGGGTGAACAGGGACAAGACAGGACCGGCGGGGATCCTGGCTGTAGAAAAGAAGCCAGGAATCTACCTGGTGGCGACGCTGGATGACTTGTTCCGGGGCTCTTGTTTTGTCACTATGGTCGGTACGAACAAGATGGCCTTCGCCTACGAAGACGGGATAGAGATGGGTCTGGGCGTATACAAGTACGCAAAAAAGATTTGCTGGAACCGGGAGTGCTTCACAACGGACGGAAATGGACAGTGGGAAGCGGAAAAAGCAGGTGAAGCCGAGTGGAATGAACATTCGGCGATGATGTGTACAGTACCAATGGCGCGGAAGCCAGCGAAGCAGCGTCGTCGACATACCAAAAGAAGACCCCAGCAAAGAATACGGCAACAGCTTGAAGCGACGGGTCGAGTAAGTAGGCGGATTCACGAGTAGGAGGAGGCATAAATATTTGGTAATAAAACTACGTAAACTCGCTGCGGTGGCAGTGTTGAGGTTAAGCGCACGCTGAAACGTCCAAGACAAATTTTGGTAGGGTCGTGCATGAGTCGGCGAAAATGAAGCCGAGCAAAAAGCGGGCGTGTGCGCCCATCCACCCTTGGAATGAGCGTGAACTGGGGCGAAAGACTGCTCATTGTGGTGGATCCAGAGGCTACAAAAGACGGAGCAGTGGATGACATTGAGCACGCGGACAAATTGTGCTGGATAAAACTTGGGGTGAAAAAAGAAGGAAAGCAGTACCCATAAGATAGACGGATGCCTATCAGCCGATAGAAGGTCCGTAGAGGACTGGAGGGTCATGGCGCTTCTCTTGTTTTGTCAACGTTTGTTTGATTTATATCTCCCGGTCTGCTGCATTGTCGTCTGCATAGATCACGTGGACTAATGTGTCTTGGGGCTCCCGTTCGCTCACGCGCTCGCATTAGCCTTGCACTTGTGCTACGTTCTTGATGCCTTCCGTGACACGACCCGACTTTTACCGTAAGGCAAGTCGCTGATAAAAGATACTCTCTACGATAATGGGGTCACCTTTGGCAACCTCTACTCTAGCGTTCCATTCGGCCTTCCTGCCGTCTGCTTGGACGTATATTAGCCACTTTGAATATTCCTTGTCAACGCCTTCGTGACTCATCTCTCAATACGAATGTCTTTCCGTCCTTCCTGCTCGAGGCTCCTCTCAGAGACAATCATCTGTTCATGTTCGGTCGGCCCCAGCGCGGTTTCGCGTAGTCTTCCATACTATGCTTCCTCTTTCGCGCTCTGGGATACCTCTGACTCTGGAATTTCGTAGATCTCCACGGAGGTATTCCTAAGGTTTGCCTCTTCCGCCCTCTGTGGCCTCAGTACTGTTCTCCAAGAATCGGATTCAGTAATTGGCTACCTACCACTTAATTTGGAAGTTTGCAATCTAGGCGGACCTCTCTTCCCCCGTCGTGTTCAGATCCTTTCCCTAGCCGTCGTGACCCCGTCTCTGCCTAGCTGGCAAACTCGTGGGACCCTGATTGTTCATATGAACAACCGGGGGTTCTACCAGGCAACCTCCACACGCACCCGCCTATTCCAACACATGCAGCTTTTGAATTGTCTCTGAAATCCCATTGGCCCGGTATCTGGCGAAGGGAGCGGTGCCTGAACCGTATATACTTTCCGTCTTCAAAGGCTAAAAATATGTGCTACAACACAACGCGCTAAACCTCATGTACACGTACCAGTTGTGGCCTTTCGACGTGCTATGGGTTCATTGAAGACCGGCTGGTAAAACTCCACGCCACCTTGTCGATTACTCGGCTGTAATCACATTTTCTGACCCTCAGTACTCTACGGACCTTCCTATCGGCTGATAGGCATCCGTCTATCTTATGGGTACTGCTTTCCTTCTTTTTTCACCCCAAGTTTTATCCAGCACAATTTGTCCGCGTGCTCAATGTCATCCACTGCTCCGTCTTTTGTAGCCTCTGGATCCACCACAATGAGCAGTCTTTCGCCCCAGTTCACGCTCATTCCAAGGGTGGATGGGCGCACACGCCCGCTTTTTGCTCGGCTTCATTTTCGCCGACTCATGCACGACCCTACCAAAATTTGTCTTGGACGTTTCAGCGTGCGCTTAACCTCAACACTGCCACCGCAGCGAGTTTACGTAGTTTTATTACCAAATATTTATGCCTCCTCCTACTCGTGAATCCGCCTACTTACTCGACCCGCCGCTTCAAGCTGTTGCCGTATTCTTTGCTGGGGTCTTCTTTTGGTATGTCGACGACGCTGCTTCGCTGGCTTCCGCGCCATTGGTACTGTACACATCATCGCCGAATGTTCATTCCACTCGGCTTCACCTGCTTTTTCCGCTTCCCACTGTCCATTTCCGTCCGTTGTGAAGCACTCCCGGTTCCAGCAAATCTTTTTTGCGTACTTGTATACGCCCAGACCCATCTCTATCCCGTCTTCGTAGGCGAAGGCCATCTTGTTCGTACCGACCATAGTGACAAAACAAGAGCCCCGGAACAAGTCATCCAGCGTCGCCACCAGGTAGATTCCTGGCTTCTTTTCTACAGCCAGGATCCCCGCCGGTCCTGTCTTGTCCCTGTTCACCCCATACACATTTGGCTTCAGCTACACCCGCCATCCCTTGGTGATCAGGTATTCAAATAACCGCTAAACCTGCTCCGATCGAAGCCCACCTTGCGCTACGCGGTCCATCTTTTTGCGCCGCTTGAACTCATCAATGTGCGTGTCGCACAGCTCAAATTTGTGTCCTTGCAGCTTCATAATAGTCCGCACCGCGTCGTAGACGCACGTTGCCGACGAGTCACCTCCCATTGTGATAATTTTCACGTTTCGTCGCAACCATTACTGGATGTTTAGGTGAGGTGTCTCGACCCGCGCCACGTCGTAATACCGATCTATCGCCTCCTTCCATGCCGCCGCTCCCTTCAATGCTCCAGCCGGCACACACGTATACTCTTCCCCGGATTCTGCCTCGAGCCACTTCGTCAGGTACCACATTTTCCCCTCCCTCTCTTCGCGCTTCACCAATCACTAGGCTTCGCAGATCGCTTCAAGCGGCTCCTCCTCGGCGGAATCGTCGCTCTCCGAGATCGGCCTAGTCACGCGCTTTCGGGTGGATAGGCGGGTAGGGTCCAGATGACAGGCGATCTTAGCGCTTGCGAGCCTCCCTACCCTGCGGCTCCCTCGGGTTCGTCCCCCTTCGGCTGCCCTGTCGGTTTACCCACCACCACCATTTCAACTTCTTCACCTGGCTGCCACTCCACCTCTCCATCCATCATCACGTCTCCGATCGTGTAAGCCGCGCTCGCAACCCCATCCTCGTCGTTCACAGCCATCGTTACACCGTACCTGCCGGTTTGATCCTCCCCGTTGACGCTCCAGCCGTTGTCGTCCTTGCCGACTTCGCTATCACTAGGCCTCGGCTCTTCGACAATAGCTCCATGACTGCCCTCGCCACGAGCCTCTACTTCGACGACGACCTGCGCACTCGCGTCTTTCTCCCCCGCTTCCTTCTCATCGGAGGATTGAACCAGGGGTTCCACGCAACCCACTTCGGACGGCATAGGTCCAGCTTCACCCTCTGCCCCGTCGCTCGGCCGAGTCTGCGCACCGCCGCCGTCATCCCCTCGATCCTCCGCCGTCGGCTTCTCCTTCGTCACTGTCGTGGCCATCACCGTTGACAGCCCCACTGCACCACGCGCCACTTCTCCCGCTGCTCTCCTCTTGTCGCCGTTGCTGTTGTCCCCATCTCACAAATTCTCTTATGAGGTGTTTCTATTCCCACCCACGCTGGTTTCGCGCATCCCACCGGTTTCCCAGCCGTTGGTTTGCAATTGCTATCGGTTTCTCGACCGTTGGCTTGCAACTCCCATCGGTTTCAGAATTTCCATCGGTTTCCCATCCGTTGGGTTAGCGGATACCATCGGTTTGTCGTCCGTTGGTGCCGTCATACAATCAATTTCACCGTCCTATCAATCTTACCCTACTGCCTCCGTACAACGGTCACGCAACATTTTTAACACATTTGAATAATCTTTTAAGTTACCTTCCGTCCACACTGATCAGCGGATCAACCAGAAGCCCACTGCAACCCACTTTGGACGACAGCTGCCTCCCAGGTCCCAGCATTTCAGCTTGAGAGGAAAGTGTGTTTTGAAGGGATTTGTCCCTCGATATACCGGTTGGATCGGCTATGCCTTAACAACTGAGCCAACCAACTAGTCAGATTAGTTAACCTAGGCACAACTTTTTGTTTCCATCGGCACACTCTCCTCCACTTTTCTCACTCCCAGCTTCCTGGTTCACTCTACGTTTCCTCTTCACTCGTTTTCCACTTACTCAATCTTTTAATCACTCTTTTTTTTCTCACTCACTCTTTTTTCTCACTCACTCTTTTTTCTCACTCACTCTTTTTTCTCACTTTAAGTATAATGAAATTGATTTTACCAGACTTTCACCCCAAATTGATCCTCGTTAAAATATTTGAACTGTACTCATTCCGATTGCCGGACTCGAAGAGCCAGAGGATTGCTTTTTATTGCCACTACCGCTCTGTGTCAGGATTACGTATATTTATGGGCTTGCTGCCTTTCTTGGATGTAGCTACCGTTTCGATTGACGGTTACCGGTACAATTTTGAACTTCAAGGGTAAGTATTTACGGCAGAGTTCTCACGGTAACTACGGTAGAATTCATTAGACTAGTAGGTCAACTGTAGAACCCCTGATCCACATATAAATCATTGATATGAACACAGTCGCCTAATTTGCATGTGGACAATATATAAATCAGGCAGAAGTAAGAACAAACTTTGATTAAATTAATCGCTTTCGAATCTTCATTCAACTGAATAAGTATTTTCCACTCTACTCGCTCCGGTCTCCCCGCTTCCTTTTCTCCCTTTGTTCAAGCTTCAACAAGTTATGAGCCCAAGTGCCATGTCCTCGTCTCAAGATCCCTCGACCAAGGTCTCCATTGATCGTTTAATTGGGAGAAACTACACGATTTGGAGCCGCTACATGCGTGGCGTGTTCCTAATCAAGTCGACGTGGCACGTCATCAGCCGCGAGACGTCGCCGACGTTCGTGAACCCGCGCGCCAGGAAGGACTATGTGAAGCCTAGAAACGTAGCTTTCGGTATTATGCGTTTGCATATATATGCAGACTATCATCACGTGGATAATGATTGCGAGAGAGCATGGGTTGCGTAGGCGCGGATCAAGACACTGTCAGTGGATCTCAGAAGGCTGTGCACATCTACCTGAAGCGCCATCTTTTCAGTATGGAGATAACAGAAGGCGGCAAGAGGTTGCGTTATTGCAATAAGATCCTCAACATCAGCGTAAATATGGCTAGCATCGATGCCAAGATGGAGAATGAGGACGTTGCGATCTGCTTACTGCGCAGTCTGCCCAAGATTTCGAGAACGGGGTTCTCAACTTGGAGATGAACAGCGCAGAGCTTCAATCGCAGGACGTCTTGGAAGTGCTCACGATTAAGCATGTTAAGCGGCAAGGTACGGAGACTACGGAGATCAAGACTGAAGACGCGGCCATGGCGTTCAGTACCGAGCGTGAACCCCACCAATGCACGTACTGCGGAAAATTGAGGCCTACGGTGGACCAACGGTGAACCAAGCAGTAGAACGAAAACAAGGGCCCAAGACGCGGCGGCAAATGGTCGTGGACGTAGGGAAAGCAACGTTCTCTGGCGCAGCGAGGACGACTACGAGAGCATGATCGAGTCGCTTTTGCAGTTTCGCTTGAGTGTGAATTATCGACCGGTAAGAATATGCCAGGGATGTGAGCGGTCGACAGCGGCGCAACACACCACATCTGCAATGACAAGGCCAAGTTTGCAAGTTTCTATGAGCGTAATGAAGGCAAACTATTGGTGGCTGACGGCAACAAGGCTGCAATAAAGGTGCGGGAACCATCATCGAGCGAGTAATTCTGCCGAATGGCGACGAATACGACATCGAGATCAAGAATGCGCTGTTTGTGCCAACCATGAACAAGAATCTTGCTTTCGGTACCACAGATCAACAAGACCGGAAAGTTTTAAGGAGTGTTCGACGGTTCCAAGATGCATGTGGCACGCAAAAACTCGACACAAGTGGTGGCGACAGCCGATCTTGTCAATTGCCCTCTACTGGCTTCGGACACCACAACGATCGGCAAACAATGCGACAATGTCCGAGCCTTCGATCTGCACGCGCGCATGGATCACGCGCCACTTGATGTTCTTTGCTAGATGCTGACCAGTGGCATGTTCAAGGACGCAAAGATGCCGGTCAAGCTAAGTCGATCAAGCGAATGCCTTGGAGGTCAACACGGGAAGATGGTCCAAAAACTAGCCCCATTAATCGTGACAAGCGCCGCTACGACACATATGAGCTGATCCACTTCGACCTGTAATCCGATGGAAGAAGTCTCAATCGGCGGCAGCAGATACTTACTGTTAATTGTTGACGAGCTAGTGGGTGCATGAAAGACTTCTGTTTTCGAGAACGTCATATAGAGCTAAATCACCAAGATCCAGACTCAATCTGGCAAGACAGTCAAATTAGTTCGTCATGATGAAACTCGAGAATTAGCGACCAGCTCGCTCAAAACGCTTTAGGAAGACCAAGGCATCGAGCATATGTGGTTGTGTGTGGATTGATGCGAGCTTTAACTTGTTGCCGTTCGGGACGTTGACGAAATGGAACGATCCGACCCGTCTTGAAACACGGACCAAGGAGTCTAACATGTGTGCAAGTGTTAGGGTGTGGAAACCCCAGCGCGAAATGAAAGTAAAGGGTAGCGCAAGTTATCTGAGGTAGGAAACATTGTGGACTTTTGTCTTACGGTGTGGCACTATCGACCGATCATGAACCTTCGTGGTGAAAGATTTGAGTTTGAGCACATATGTTGGTACCCGAAAGATGGTGAACTATGCCTGAGTAGGGTGAAGCCAGGGGAAACTCTGGTGGAAGCTCGTAGCGATTCTGACGTGCAAATCGATCGTCAAACTTGGGTATAGGGGCGAAAGACTAATCGAACCATCTAGTAGCTGGTTCCCTCCGAAATTTCCCTCAGGATAGCAGCAACTTATTTACGATAGTTTTATGAGGTAAAGCGAATGATTAGAGGATTCGGGGAAGAAACTTTCTCGACCTATTCTCAAACTTTAAATCTGTAAGACCTGCAGGTTTCTTAATTGAACCTGTGGATGTGAATATCAAGTTGCTAGTGGGCCATACGGGGTAAGCTCGTCTGGCGATGCGGGATGAACCGAACGCAAAGTTAAAGTGCCAAAATACTCGCTCACCTAGATACCATAAAAGGTGTTGGTTCATTTAGACAGCAGGACGGTGGCCATGGAAGTTGGAATCCGCTAAGGAGTGTGTAACAACTCACCTGCCGAATGAACTAGCCCTGAAAATGGATGGCGCTTAAGCGGGTTACTTATACTTTGCCGTTAACGCGTTTGCATATATAATGTTTGCGTTAATGAGTAGGAGGGCGTGAAGGTCGTGAAGAAGCTTGTGGCGTGAGCCTGAGTGAAACGGCCTTTAGTGCAGATCTTGGTGGTAGTAGCAAATATTCAAATGCGAACTTTGAAGACTGAAGTGGAGAAAGGTTCCGTGTGATCAGTAATTGGACACGGGTGAGTCGATCCTAAGAGATAGGATAATTCCGTTTGAAAGCTGGGTTGTTTGAGGCGTGGGGTTTGTCCTTGCGTTTTGTATGCAACCTCGTGTATCGAAAGGGAATCAGGTTAATATTCCTGAACCGAGACGTGGATAATATGTGGTAACACAACCGACC